TGCTCACGGTGAAGACATTGTCTTCCCAGAACATCCGTTATTGGTAACAGGGTCTCGTGACCACAAAATACACGTTTGGAAGTTGCCAATTCTTCAAGAGGACACTGTAGGTGAGACTACGTTTGATAGTGGAGAAAGTGAAAATCCCTACTTGATAGCGGTTCTTGCGGGCCATACACAATCGGTGCGTTCTTTATCGGGGTATGGAAACATTATAGTATCCGGTTCATATGATTCAACCGTTCGAGTGTGGGACTTGCTTGACAATGCGAGATGTAAGCATATATTGCAAGGACATCAAGATAGAGTGTACTCAACAGCAATAGACTACAGCAAGAAAGTGTGTTTTTCGGGATCCATGGATTCAACCATAAATATATGGAATTTTGAGACAGGCGAGTTGTTGAAAGTTCTAGAGGGCCATTCGTCGTTAGTTGGTCTATTGACTTTGGTAGACGAAGTGTTGGTATCTGCTGCTGCCGATGCATCGCTCAGAATTTGGGATCCGGTGACTGGCGAATTGAAAAGTAAATTGAGAGAACATGCTGCCGCTATAACTTGTTTCGAGCACGATGGATTGAAAGTTGTCAGTGGAAGCGAGAAACAACTCAAAGTATGGGATGTGCGACGGGGAGAATTCGCCAGGGACTTATTATACGATGTCACTGGAAGTGTTTGGAACGTAAGTATCGATTATAAGAGGTGTGTTGCCGCTGTGCAAAGAGTAAACAGAGCTGGTGAGGGTGAATTGTTTCTTGAGATATTAGATTTCAGCGAAAGCCAGCAGAATTAAAGCGTCGATTAGGGATCAAGCTTAAGCAAACACTTTTATATAGAATAAAAAAGATACCAAACAAATAATGGACTTCTGTTTTGAATGACCACTAAACTACCTCTCCTTCCCCCACTACAATTATGCTACACCATAAAGTCTGCATCCTTAAAAGAAGCCGGTTCAGAATTCAGATGGAAATCAATGACTTTTTCAAGCATACCAATTAGTGAAATAATATAATGTCCCATTGCTCGTGAATAAGCAAAATTTCCAGCACCACCAAGGCAATCAGTGGCATTGTTGCTACCTCTTATGTAATTGTAGTTATTGAATGCCACAACATAAGGATTATTGTAGCTAACTGGCCGGATCATTCTTAAAAATTCAAGGTATCTGCGTAAATGTTGGTTCAACTCTGGTGACATTTCACAACCAATATGGTCTTTTAAAGCTTCATGACTTAAAAAACAGACGTTAGTGGGAAGCGAGTTGGCTTTAACTAACTAATAATTAACATACGATTTCAACATGGTTTCAATATCAAGGATTTGGCATTTAAATAAATCATCAAGGAAGCATAACAATTGGTGAATTTCGTGGTAGAGGCAAAGTAATTGGTTATGTGAGTACTTTGTATCCAGCACCGCCTTTGATCTGTGAGTTTTGCTTGAGCATGATCTTGGTGGACGTCTGAGAATCCGACAAAGTGTACCAGAAGGTGCTAGCATTTGGTGGTCGATGTGATGATACTAGACGAAATTAGTATGGGTAAGGGTTCTCTTTTTTTTTACCGTTTTTGCACCCAGGAAAGTGCTTCCGTGCGGGGAGATTGACGAGAAGATTTACCAAACGGCAACAGGCATCGCAGAGATAGCATCCAAACTGGATGATGGTTCCATCAGATAATCATCTTTTCAAACTATACACCAACATAGAAACTCCTACACACACGGGCTACCCCCTTCATGTGCTCTTTTCCGTTGCACTTGAGCCTGGAATATCGCCACTTGCACCAGAGCCAGCAACCGTTTGCTTCTCCTTCTCCTTCTCCTCTTTCTTAATCTTGGCCAATCTAACCGCCTCTTCGTGGACATCCTTCACGTCACCAGCAAGACTTTGGTAGTACTTGTGAATCCTTTGTCCCAATGGCGAGCTGATTGCATTGTCAAAGTACTTCTGCAACCCAGAGCTAGCAAACGTCGATTGGGCTTTCTGCAACTGTTGATTGACTGTCGATTCCGGATCCTGCGAATGAACGTACTTCTTATCCAATGAAGAAATAAACGACTGGAAGCGTTGCGAAACCCCGTTTTTCTTGTCAAACTCCAAACCACGCTCAATGATAGGGTCTGATAGAACGTATCCATCGGCCAACAACTGTGCCAATATGGCGTATTTTGGTTTCTCTTCTTGCTCGACATCGTCGTATGTCTTGTCGCCAGTCTTGATCGAATCGTTTTCAACTCCTCCGCCTCCAGTGGCGGTTCCGCCAGCACCAACAGCACCACTCAACGTGTCCCTGATATCTCCTTTCTGCTGTTGAGCTTCCGCGGCACCTGCACCTGCACCTGCACCTGCACCGCCTTGTTGAGGAGCCAACCCTTTAGCTCCGTCCGTGAGTTCCAAGTCTTCTTCGACCTTGATGAAAGCATTGTCAAGTTCAGCGTCGTTCAACAATAGAGCTGTAGATACAGCTTTGTTATTGGCAAACACCACTTGATACTTTTTTGTCTTGCCATTGTCTTCAAGGGGCACCAAGTCAGAGACCTTTCCGCAGAAGGAAAAGAATTCAGAGACCTTGGCTGGGGGGACGTGCGAGGGGATGTTGGAAGCGATAACAGACATTATTTGTAGTCGTGGGTTGTATTTAATGAGTCAATTGATAGACGAATTGGAAAGGAAGCAACTGTGCTAATTCTCCTCCGCCTCTCTATTTATATGCCCACCTCGACCAGGACATGTGCGGCTTAACTATGTAGCATCACACTTTACTGCGTTTTGTGTCATGAAACATTATCACAGGCCATTGTTACATTGCTATCCAAATGTACACGCATACATACACCAACAGCTTCGTGGAAACTCGTATATGCTTTTCACGTGCGGCAATACTGATAGAGAGTACTATCCACTTTAGATGTTCCTTGGTCGGATAGCTACACTTGTTCCTTGTGTTCAACCAATTGCAATGATATGATTACCTATACTGTGCTAACTACAAAAACCTCTCTCTTCCTTCAATTACTCATGATACCTCTGCCCGAGCCTTGTCCATTATGCTGCGCCAATTTCATTGCCTCATTACGGATATCTCTCACATCGTTGTTATCAACAGTCTTGTAGAATGAACTGACTCGAGCATCGACCGAAGGCGTTGCTGTATCGATATTAACACTAATCTCATCAAAGTACTTTTTCAACTGATCATTTTCATAAGCCCTTTTCTGCTTGCCCTTTGCTTTCAAACTGTAATCATTTAGTGAGTCAATAAAGTTTTGGAACCGGGCAGAGACTCCATACCTCTTGTCAAACTTTGCTCCTCGCTCAATGATATCATCAGCAAGGTCATATCCGCCCGCGATTATTTCGGCAAGTATAACTGTCTTTGGCTTGTACTCCTGATCGATATCAGCAGTGGGAACAGGATCTTGGTTTGCACCATTACCCAGATTGAAAACTTGCCCGTAAGCATAATCCAAAGTGAACTCGATGTCCTCTTTACGCAACTGCTGCAAGGTTGGCTGTCCGTTGTGGTGGCTGGCAAACCCATTCATTTCCATTGGGCGCTCCTGGTATCTGCGTACTTGAAGGAAGCAGCCATGTTGCAACTCCACGTCATCTAGCAAAAGAGCAGTTGACACTGCTTGTGGAGACATGTAGATGATTTCATATTGGCGTAAATCTTGCAATGTTTCTCGCTTCAAAGGAATAATACTGGATATGGTGCCGGCATACTGGAATAAGCACCTAAGTTGGCCAGCGCTAATGTGGCTAGGAACATCAGACACGAGAACAGATGACATTGTTTGGGTGGCGGAAACTGTAGTATATGAGTTGGTTAGCCTTATGAAACTGAATTCAAGTAGAAGATGAAATGTAACATATTTATATATAAATACTTCTGCAGTGGGTGGGTGTGGGTGGGTGTATCGTAAGATATAAAGTCTCCTAAGGATGTCTTAGATCATCCTTTTTGTGTTGCCTCATTTATTTTTCTCCTGTGGCACATTTTCCATAATGTTCCGAGATAGGCAAACAAGGGTGGAGGCTTGGTCAACTCTCATTGGATAAATCTTCAAGACAGAAAATTAGCTACTAGAACTTCTCTTAAAAAAACGCTGAACTAAAAAACATATGCCACTTCACGTCGATTTAAAACAATAGATCTGCGGTTTTTCGTAATTACTAAAACCACAAAAAGAGTCTTGTTGGTTTGGGGGTCCACAAAGCTTGAGGCGCAGGCGGTAGTTGAGATTTCTGGCCTTCATTGGCCTCGGCATAGTACATCTTCCTCAAACGTTTGTATATGTTTGCATTGCTGGTGTTGTTGTTGAAGGTTATCAACTTTTGGATAAGCCGATGTTCGCTGATCCTAATATGCACACCAGGGAACGCGATAGGGCACACTCTACACACCATTTTTAGATAATATCACCCCATACAAAACCTGTGTAACCCAGACGCGTCTGCAGGGGGGTTATTTTGAACCATCAAGCGGCTAGTTAAAGCGAAAGAGGTACCTGTACCACCCCAAGACGCGTTCCCTGTGCATAGATCAAATAGATAAAGAAAAAAAGCATATGCGCTGGCCAGTGACACACAAAAATTAAACAACCCAAGACTTGCATCACGCACGAAAGGAAGTAAAGTTGTGGCGCCTTTGGATTCGCTATTGACCATCGGTTTAAGAGATATAGACAGTTGACCTCCACTGCCGAGGGATACTTAGCGTTATGGAAATTCGCTGTGGTAAATGCTACCAAATCAATTGTACCAACTTACTTTCTACAGCTTACCGTTGACCATTGTGATACTTCACATAGACATTTTTCAAATATATTATTTTAATTCAATAACATCTAAAGCCGTATAAAACTAGGCCTTTGAATTTTCTCTCTCCTTAGCCAATTTCTTTGCATGCTCACGAATTTCATTGACATCATTAGCAACCTTTTGATAAAATTGACTAACTCTAATGCCGCCTTTGGAATGAGAAATATCGTCACTCACATCATCAAAATACTTTTTCAAATCAGAATTCTCATAAGCCTTGCCGACTTTCTCTTCGCCTCTGATAACTGGACATTTCTCCTTGTTTTCATTCAATGATTTGATAAAATGTTGGTAATTTTCAGAAAGACCATTCTTTTTATCCAATTCAGCTGCCTTTTTAACCACATCATCAGAAAGGGTGTATCCGTGAGCCAATAGTTCGGAGAGTACAGCATACTTTGGCTTATCCTCTTGATGAATATCAGCTGAGTGCTTGTGTCTAATTTGGCCATAAGCATTACTCAAGGTCTCTTTAATATCGTCTTGTCTCTCCTTTTCAATTCCACCTTGTTGAGTAGAAAGACCAGTTTCACCATCGGTGATTTCCAAATCTTCATCAACCTTAATTGGTTTATTGTCCAATTCGGCATCATTAAGAACCAAAGCTGTCGAGACTGCCTTTGGGTCTTCATACACAACTTGGTATTTGCTTTCACTTAATGGTCTTAAATCGGTAACCGTACCGGCAAATGAAAAGAACTTGATGAGCTCGGCTGGTTTGACTTGAGAAGGGACGTTAGAAGCAATGACGGATGACATGGTATTATTTAATTGAGGTAGAATTCAAAATATGTCGTGCTAGAAACATGTTTCCATGATTGGAAGGAATTGGGCCTTTATATAGTGTGGTTGAAAAGGGGCATATACACAGTTCCTATTTTAAGCAATGGAACCAGTGCAAGAGAATATTCTTCAGAGTTCTTCCATCCTTTGTGCCGTAGCAATTATAAAAATAAATGACAATGTATATGCACAAACTCTGTACATAAAGTGAAGTCCGATTCTAGGGAGGGTTATGATTGTCAGAAAAAATGTACAATGGGTTATTTGGTTGTTCTTTGACGTTCTTTCACCAACATAGTAAATAAAAAAATGCTTTACGAGACTTTCAATTATCTTAAAACGTTACTCTATTAAAGCTCTAAATACACCCCCTTACAATAACGTCTGGCCCAAAGCACATCTACCAATGGCACAAGCAGCACTAACGGTATCCAAAACGTGTTCCTCAGTTTCAGCCAACATTGGATTAGTTTCAACAATATCCATACTTTGCAACAAACCCAGTTGAGCGATTTCTTCAGCGACAAATAATCCTTCTCTTAAACTTAAACCACCTTCGACTCTTGTACCGGTAGCTGGTACAAAAGAAGGATCAATGGCATCTACATCATAAGATAAATGGACAGGGCAATCACGGTTGGGGTTGACTTTATCCAATGCCATATCAACCACTTTACCAATCCCATATTTATCAATATGGTACATTGAATACGCAGCGATATTATGTTCACGCAAAATCTTTTTCTCACCTTCATCAACATCTCTTAATCCAATATAAACCAACTTGTTTGACTTTAGCAATCGAGGTACCCATTTGTACTCAGGTGGATATGAGTCATCATCAACACCCATTAGGAAACTCAATGGACATCCATGCAAGTTACCCGAGTCGGTGGTCTTGGGACTGTTTATATCAGCGTGAGCATCTACCCACACAACACAAGTATCTGGGTTATGAGCTAGACTGGCACCAACAGTAGCAGTACCAATTGAATGGTCTCCACCAATAACCAAAGGTAATCTCCCTTCACTTAAACTCTGCTTACTGGCTTCAAATATTAATTGACAGCATTTACTAACAATGGCAGCATTCTTGACACCGTATTCATCTTTGATATTAGATTTCTTTTCTTCAAGGGATACATCAGCAAGTGGGTTGACGACCTTAGTAGCCCATCCAAGGGAATCAATTTGTTTTTGGAATCCTGCGTTCAATATGTACTCGGGACCTAATTCAACGCCCCCTTTTGGTTGACCTCCAGAAAATGGGGCAGTGATTATTGTAGCTTTTTTATTAGGATGAAATTTGTATTCGACTGACATTGGGGATGTATTGTATGTTTTTGTAGAGAAGAATAAAGGTTGAACAAAACTTTTCTTGGGAGGATGGTGGAAAGTTGTTGGCTATTTATAACTGATTGAAAACAAAATTTCGATTAGATATGATCTGTCCATTAATGGCAGTGCAGTGCGATGAGAGAGTTGCAAAAAAATAAAAGAAGAAAAAAGAATGTGACATCAAAAATAGACAAATACTGATAGGCAAAAATATCTTTTTTTTTTCTACCTTCTGGTTTGTCTACAAAAGACAATTTAAAGCGAGAGTAGTAGTAAGATTTAAGTATACGTCGGCTCAAAGTTACAGAACAATGTGCCGATACCCCACGTTGATTCTTTTTGTAGTCTTAGAAATAAAGGAGGGGAGTAGTCACACCGTATTTGTAACCCACCTCTAAAGGCATCCAAACGCGAATACCCACAACTTCGGAGCAGGAGAGAGGTGCAGTTAGTAAAGCCGGAGAAGTTACAGATATCAACCCCATTTATGGAATGAATGGTAATTGCGGGGTCGAGAAGGTGAAATGACTTCAACTTAAAGGTCAGATAGAGCATATTTATTCAAAAATGTATACCAATTTTTGAATGCCGTGGCTATGTGTAAACAGCTCTGTAGTAGCAGCTTTATAGTAGCATCTCTAGGTCTATCACTTGGGAACAACAATACACAAGTATCGTCTGTAATACTACTTTTTAACTTCATTAAAACCAGTCAGCTCCCTTAAATCTGTCAAAAGTTAAGTCGTAATTCGAATTTCCTCGAGATACGCGTCAACGCATATAAAACAAACTTGGAGTTGGTAGACGTCATAGTTATATTTCATGTCCTGCATATAACAACTGGTCTCAGATAGCGCGATGCCCACGTTGTTACAATTGCAAATGTTGATTGATTACACGTTTAACTTTACATTAAGACACATATTATACAAAACTCGTATTACTAAAGCAGAAAGTATATATCTTCAAGAATAGTATATTTCAACAGAGATAAGTCACAAGAGTGTTTACTAAAGACATTTACTCATTCACTCACCACACCCTTATCTAGTCTCGCACAATGAAGTTTGGAAAGACGTACCTATCACATCAGATCCCCGAGTGGTCGATTTACTACATGAACTACAAGCATTTGAAAAAGATTATCAAATCTATCAATTCTGAGAGAGATACAGACGAAGATGAAACGACATACCCCGAACTAATTCTGGAAACCTTGAGCTCCTTCTTTTTTGAAATTGATAGAAATATCGAAAATGTCGATGAGTTTTACAATGCTAAATACAAGGAATATGAAAGAAGATTGGCCAAGATTATTCAAGTGTTGGGATTTAATGACAATGTTGTAACTCATAAAGTTGAAAGTCAAGAAGAATTGGATGAAATTATCAACATCTTGATTGAATTGCGTATGTTGTTTCGTAACTTGAAATGGTTTGGTGAATTGAATCATCGTGGATTCATCAAAATTTTGAAGAAATTGGATAAGAAATTGTCGTCAATTTTGAATGATGGACAGGTTAGTGAAATTGATGTTTCACGTAACAACAAGGAAGCTTATTTGACAACAAGAATAGATGCATTGCCATTTGCTAATGAAGCAGAAGTTGCAAATAATTTAGACATTATTCATCGCATCTTGCTACAACTAGGAACCATGGGATCAGCTAATGAAATAAAATTGGAAGGGTTGAAAATTGAAGACAATGTTGAATCTTTTCAAACTATTTTGGAAAACGATGATTCAAAAGCATTGGAGGAGAAGGTCTTGGATAACAAAACGGAGAAGTTCAACATTTCATTACTTAATAAAGCGTCTCTCGTGAATGCTGAAAGATGTGTCAATTTGATTTGGAACCATTTGAATAGCTTATACGATGAAAAGGATATAAATGGTCGAAACTTTTTCCATCATAATGTTATCAGTCTTGGAAAAAATCAATTTATCAAAGAGGAACAACTAACTCCCGGAGACTCGCCTAATTGGCTAGTTGGTGGTGCCAATGGTGCTGATAACAACAATATCAACAATACTAGCGGGTTGTTGCAAATCTTGTACAAGTTGGATGATAAGAAATTGTTGATCGCAAAAGATCATTACAACAGAACTCCCTTGCATTATGCAGCACAGTACGGACTTGTTCAAGTGACAAACATCTTGTTGGATTATTATTCCAAGTGGGACTTGATTGATCGTGAGTCGTCAATCGATAATATGAAAATTTGGGGTGATCAAGAAAATTTAACTCCATTGCATTTATCAATTATTGGCAAACATCCAAAAACCACTGAAATTTTGATCAAGTTTAATAGTCCCAGGAAATTGACTTGTCCTGATTTGTTATTATTATCGGTGCGGTTAAACTCGAGCCGCATTTTAAACTCATTGATTACTGATGGGCTTATTGATATTGACTACACTGATGAAAATCATAAAAATGAAACGGCATTGTACATTGCCTCCAAGATGAATCTTGCCGGATTAGTTGAGTTTTTATTAGAATCAAATGCCAATACCGAAATTGGCGAACAAGTGTTTGGATGGACGCCTATATTCATTGCTGCGTGTGAAGGGTATACTGAGGTTGTCAAGGTGCTTAAAGAGTTTGATGCTAATTATGACATTGTTGATAATTCTGGTTGGTTGCCAATGGAGCATGCTTGTCTAAGAGGTCATTTAAATGTGGCTGATTTGTTAGTCCCTCGCGACCCCAATCTTTTACTATATGACACGTACCACCCCGAGAATAATATTGCGCGTATCCCCAGTGAGGCAGCCAGTCCCGTCTTGAGGGCCAAAGATGATGGTGCTATTCCTACAAGTATTGATAGGTTACCGGAAGCACACAAAAACGCAGTTAATGAGTTTTACAAGCAATTGAAGAACTCATCTTCGGGTAATGTATCTCGCTCAACATCTCCAAAGAGGAAGAAAAGAGTCAAGGCAGTTAAATCTTTTGGTCATAGGTATTTGGGTGAAGATGAAAGTTTGATTTTGGTCACTTTAGGAACTACTGATTTGCGTGATGATAGAGCTCCAGTTGAACTAAACAAGATTTCCTTGGCGAAATCATTTGCTACTGAATTAGATACTGCATTGTCGTTGTCAATTACCTGTCGTTACAAATCAACTAATCAACAAGTTGAGCCACCCATTGTGATTGATTTACCATTGGAGGATTATCACGGAAGTGCCACTGATCCTATTTCGTTCAAGCTTGCCAACAATGTGTCAATTGATGATGTGATCATTACGTTTGATTTAATCCCCACATATCAAGTTCATAAAAAGGTGTTGGGTAGGGCCATTGCTCTTTTGAAAGATGCCTACACTAAAGTGGGACCTCATTTGCGCTCCTTAAACAACAATATCACTGTCCCTATCCTAGAGACTACCAATTTGGACATCTTGGGGCTCATTCGGTTTGAATATTTACAAATTTTGCCCTTTAAACATCATGCAATGTCAATTGCTAGATCAGATACGTATTGGAAACAATTGGTATCCACTAGGGTCATTGGTCACCGAGGCTTGGGTAAGAATGAGAGTGGTAGACAATCGTTGCAATTGGGCGAAAACACGGTGGAGTCATTCATTGCTGCCTCTTCATTGGGGGCTTCGTATGTCGAGTTTGATGTGCAACTAACCAAGGATTTTGTTCCTGTCGTTTACCATGATTTCACAGTAGCTGAGCTGGGAGTAGATATCCCGATGCATTTGCTAACATTGGAGCAATTTCTTGGGTTGAACAAGACTGGGGAAAAGCCCCATCGTTCAGTTGACGATGAAGTGTTGATAAGGTCCAAACCTAGAGCTAAATCGTCTTTTCAATTGAATGGGACTCACGATGATGTTGTTGATAAGGATTTCGAGAGCCAAATCAATGAGAGGATGAAATTGACAAAAACTTGGAAAAGCAAAGGTTACAAGGGGAATGCTAGAGGTACCTCCATCGCATCGAACTTTGTCACTTTGAAAGATTTGTTTAAAAAATTGCCAGAAAATGTTGGGTTCAATATTGAGTTGAAGTACCCCATGTTGGATGAAGCTGAACAAGAGAGCATGGGTGAACTTGCGATTGATTTGAACTTGTACTTGGACACAATCCTTAAAGTTGTTTACGATGAAAACACCAATGGTCGTCACATCGTGTTTTCCTCATTCCATCCTGACGTGTGTCTTCTTCTTTCATTAAAACAGCCAACTATGCCCATATTGTTTCTTACAGAAGGAGGTACCGCCCCCATGGCCGATATCCGCGCGTCATCGTTACAAAATGCCATTAGGTTTGCTAAGAAATGGAATTTGCTAGGAATAGTCTCAGCAGCACAAGCATTGGTTAAAACGCCACGATTAGCCCAAGTGGTCAAACTGTCAGGTTTGGTGTGTGTGACTTATGGGGTGGAGAATAACGAGCCAGAGTTGGCCAAGATCCAAATGAGAGCCGGTGTAGATGCAGTTATTGTTGATAGTGTGTTGGCGGTAAGAGAGGGTTTGAGGGAGCATAATGATTCTAGAAGGGAATTTGAGGACTCAAGTAGTGAGTGAGTGAGTTAATGAATAGATAAAAATATAATTTATTAATTTTTGCGCGATCGATTTGTAAGAGAAAGAAAAAGACAGAACATCACATTTAGCTTCACATCTTTTACACCAACAGCATGAGTGATAATAATGACAAACGAACCAGTCGTCCACTGAACTTTGCTATTCCGACACAACCACGTCGTGGTATTGATGCCGTACATGTCAATGCTGCAAGAGAGATGGTGCAACTACATACCCGAGGTCGGGCACCACCAACAAGACAACCACCACAACCACAATCGCCACGAGGAGGCTCTAGAGCTCATGCCCCGGTAATATCAGAGCAGTCTAAAGCGCCAGTTTCTAGACCCAATATCAGCATACCGCTAGAACACGATGGGGAATGCAAAAACCCCCAGTGCCAACATTGTGGTAGTATCATCATACCTGCTCCGCAGCTGTCATTCCCTCTACAGGATAAACCATCGATCAAGGTTAATGGCTGGGAGATTTATACCATCAAGAAACCGATTCTATCTTCAGCTGAACTTGATCATTTAGGTGATACCAAGTTTGAGTTCCCGTTGCCGGAAATGATTTTTGGCAATAATTTTGTTCGGATTAGGTATACTGGTGGTGACGGCAACGACATCGACATCGACAACGATAACGGACATGAGATTTGGTTTAATTCAATAGACGCATTGGACACATTAGAGGATGAATGCCATTTGAAAGTGAGTTATCATGAGGAATGGTTACAACTGCGTCAGAATAGACGGAAAAAACAAGAGAGAGGGGGTGATGCCAAAACTTCAACCGATGTGGACAATGAAATGTGTGGCAAGGTTAGTGAATTAACCGATATGGATGCGGTGAAGCCATATGATTGGACATATTCACCTAATTACGTGGGCCATACTCGTGGGTTTGACTTTGTTGTTGATAACTCGTTGGAAATCCCCGTGAATCGATTAATGAACCCCGACCCAATTTTGTTTTTCGATGAAATGATCTTGTATGAGGATGAGTTGGCTGATAATGGAATCAGTATGCTTTCAATAAAGATTAGAGTCATGCCAACTTGTTTACTATTATTGTGTCGATTCTTCTTAAGGATAGATAATGTCATATTCAGAATAAGGGATTGTCGAGTGTTTATCGACTTTAACTCAAATGAAGTGATACGAGAGTACAAGTTGCAAGAATGTGATTATGATGAGGTATTGAAGTTGGCTGGTGGTGGTAGTGGCGGCAAAGTGAATAACGATCCAAAGAGATTGTTACGAGATCAGAACTGGGTCAGTTTGAACATACCAGTTGTTAATAGGACTATTGAAAAGTGTACAGTATAGTAAAAAAACATGCGTTGGGTAGTCTTATATCGTCTTGAGCTTTCTAAGAAAGTGCAAACCTGAAGAGAAAATCAATTAAAAAAAAAAAAAATTTTTTTCAACAGTGTTTAGCAAAATCAAAGGCTAGTCTAAAGTATGTTTAAACCAAGTCGAAATAGTCTCTTGAGACAGCTCCGATCTGTTCATACAGTACCCAGGTTGGCCAATCACGAAACATGGTCAGCTCAAGGAATACCAGGCCTCTTGTCGCCTCAAGGCTATTCAACAGCATGGACTGATTATCAAACGTATTTGTTAACCAACTTGACCTTACTCACCAACGGTACTGCCAATGAGACGAAGAAACCATTTGAAATACTACTCAATGCTGCTAAACAAACGACTCAACAACATACGTTCCACTACGCTGCCATGTCCCACATGAACCACTTTTTTTTTGAGCAATTGACAGATAAGTCGACGTCAAAATTGAGTAAACCATCCCGATTCCTTATGGAGAAGCTAATACACCAAGATATATTAGATGTGGATGCTTTAAGAACCAAGATCTTGACCATGGCGGAAAACGCGTATGGACAAGGATGGATCTACCTCGTTGAAGACAAGACCAAGAATTTGCAGTTTCTTCAATGTAATAACGAAGGAATGCCCTATTATTTTGGTAAACGTCAACAATTGGATTTGAATGGCGGCATTGATGAATTTACATTCAACAGTTTGGCCAATTTGCAAACGAGAGCTAGTAATGAGGAAGTCGCTCAACAACAAGAAGAACAGTATTTGCCTATATTGGCGATAAATTATTGGGATTATATGTATGTTGAGGATTATGGCGTTACGGGAAAGAATGAATATTTAAACAACTTGTGGGATCATTTGAATTGGGATGTGATTAATAAGAGATTGTTCCAAGTGTAAAAGGGTGAGAGCTTTGTATATAGACAATTTTAAAGACATAGTACTAAAAACAGGTATATGGACTTTATCAACAGCACCTCAGTTTCTGTACAATGTTTAGCTTTTCCTTAGGGAGTAACTTGCTCATTCACGACCTCCTCTTTCACTTTATTTTTTTAACTTCTGGTAGCAGAGCCATTTACTCATACTTGTTACATATGAGTGGTAAGATAGAGGGGAATGTTTCTCCGAGGTACGTGACGAATTCTTCGAATCTGACACTTACAAGATTAGGTTCTCCTTTGAACTCTTCAATGCAATATTGCAGTAAAAGTGACTGGGAATCTAGAAAGTTCTAGAGACTATTTGACAGAGGCGCAAAATGCTGAGGGACATTTGCTGATAGTTATTCACGTCATTTGCACAGTTTTAAATTGAGGTATTTATGCCAGCACAGTATGGGGGCATGGGCCAAGACGAATGAAGTAAAGCTTAAAATGCTCATTTTAAATCGATATATTTCCTGTATATAAATAGATTCTTTAGTCAGATGTTTTCCCAATGAGGAAATCGCCGCATTCGGAGTCTGTAGGCAGAATTGTCTCAAAACAATTTAATACATACACGTCATTGTGTGTGTGTGTGTGTCACGTAGTACAAATTTTTTTCACCAAGAAATATACTTCCTGATCATTTATATAAATAACAGTAAATTCTCACCCCTTCATTCTATTTACAATATTTTACAACATTTTACAACATCATCAAGTTATCTTACATAATAAATTCATATAATGTCTTCTAACGCCAACGACGAAACCAAATCAACCTGCAGTTGCGGCTCTTCATGCACTTGCTCCAAAGAACAAGGTGGTTGCAAATGCAACAGTTGCTCAAAATAAAGATATAGCTGGAGAGGAGAACTAATGTTGTATAGCTAATCTAATGATATATTTAAATTCAAGCAGCGTTCAATTGTAGACCAAATGGTCCTTTTCTGCTACATTGAAATAATAGTCCTACAAATCGAAGAGGAGGGACAAATTCTGATGCTTTCCACTTTTTACAGCAGTGGCCCTGACAAAATACTTATACTGAAAGACGAGATTGAATGCAATTGAGAGTCTTTAGCCTATGTTGCTGTTGGCAGTAAGTGATCGGGTCGGAAATATGCCTAAGCTCGCATCAAAGAAAAATGGGGCCGCTGCGTCGGCCGTTGCTGTAAACATTTCAATGTCCAAAGCAAGGAAAAGTTCGATTTCGAAGCCTTTTAAAGAAAACTCTACAGTTTCAAACAAATTTGTAAAAATAGTGTGCTTATTGACTATGTAAAACTATATAGAACCTAGCACTTTCATTAGCCTTTAGACTACTTTACTTTGGTTGACATGTACACTTGTCAGTGCTTTCACATTGACAGGTATTTGCGCATGTGCATGTACTTGAGCAACAGGAACAGGTGGCTTTTGAACTCATTATTGGTAAACTTTGACTTGATAAAGTATAATAGATAAAAAAATGAAAGAAGGAAGGAAAGAAAGAAAGAAAGGACAAATGAAAAAGAATTGATTGAAAAGGAGGGAAATTCAACTTCTATTTATACTATTTTGCTCTTTGTATAGAATGTTCTATAAAGGCTAAAATATGCAGTATTCTCCTTATATACATTTTAACCAATCGTCTTGCATTGGGGTACAGCACAACTAATAAAAGTTTTTGGCTTATTTTTGTGTACAGATTGTTATCGCTAAAATTGGCACATACATTTTATATACACGACCTGTTGGCCAATATGATACAATGTACACCCAAAAAGGTTCCAACTCCATGGTGCTCCACGGAGAAGTGGGTTAAACACGTCGCCCAGAAAAAAAAGTGTATGACAAAGTTAAAAAGAAGCTTACTGGTTTGATAGGCCACGTTGTCCTTTATTCCGTTTAGTAAGTGGTTTATTTGGCAAGAGGATATCCAATACCGATATGAAAGATTGCTATTTTGGGCTAATTGTTGTGCCGTAATTTTGAAGAAAACCAAAATTGCTTCTCTGTAGTAGATAAATTCCTATAGTATCACTAATGGAGGAGCCCTTCTCCGAGCATTTACACCCGCTCAATAATAAAGTAACTAAGGTGTACACATTTTATTAGATTAATCTATTTATTTCCCGTTCACAAATCGTCATCATTGTTTCCTTTTCACTACTTCCTTCCATTTCATGAATTGTTGAGTACAACCCTTCCCACGTAGACTTATTATTCTTGTTGATGTCGATAGAGCGCAAGTACTCCTTCACACTTGATTGTAACAATGCACTTTTATCCTTTTTAGAGTCAATTGATGAAAGACGATACAATAATGCTATTTTGTTAAACACAGTGTAAGCATCGGGCTCTATTACGAGAACCCTTTTGAGACAATGGATGGCTTTGCTGAATTCCTTCAATTTAGCATATTCATCAGCCAATTCGCACCATGCAACAACATCACCAGGTGCAAGGTTTAAGTAGTAGACGAGATTGTTGATGTACTTCAAGTCATCAGCGTGCCGAGACATTGTAGTTAGTCTCCTCGACAATTGTAGCTCATCTGGGTCCTCACTGAGGATCTCCCCCGCCGATTTCAAGTCGCCGATTGCTTCAAAGTAGATGGACTTGAGGAGCTTAATACGCTGCGATGAAACTTTGTTGCCAAATTGGTCGTTTAATCTCTCAAGAACTGCTTTCGCTTCAATATCGTGGCCCGTGATTAATGACAAGTAAAAGTCTAATTCAAAAAGTTGAAATAACTCAATTGAATCTAATTTGTCCTGGTGGTTTTGAAGATAAGATTTGAGCTGTTTGGTATGGTTGTTTATTTCTTGTGGTGTAAAAGTGGCAAATCTGCCAGTAGTGGCAACATTAAGGAGCTTTCTCTTAATAACGGCTTGGTCAGTGGACATGACGGGAAGGATTGTAAAGTGGAAGGTGGCCGTTAAAAAAAAAATACAGTTGTCAATCTTGTCAATTTTGTTGTCAATTTTGTTGTCAATTTTCTTTTCCAGCCTTTTTCGTCAAAACAAAAAGGTTCCAATATGTCAGACGAGTTGGGTGAAACATGCGACCACTTTCTCAAAACTACGACGATACTATCGCATCAATACGGCATTCCTCAGGTCCAGCGACAGCAAGATTTCACGTCATGGTCTCACATTCATAATCTAGAGAAGCAGTACTACGCGGTGTATCAGGATCTAACCCACAAACTCAATCACTTGATGTACTTGACGAAATTGAAGGAAGTTTCTAACCTTGATGATATATCACATCAGATTGACCAAATCAAGCAAGCAATGGATATTGATGACTTGGATGAACTATATCAGTTTATCCAATTGCAAAATGATGTAGTCAAGACCGATTCTTTGCTTAATCGCTTCTTGCTCATGTCTCTGCCAATATTAAAAGCTATTAATCAAGCCAGTTTAAACACTTCAGAGATGAAAATACTAGATCATTTGGGAATATTGTACAATGAAGGTGGACTTGTGTATAAAGTGCAAGAAATTGAAAACAAGAATCGGGATGAAGTTAGTCAACCAGAAAAGAACCCGTTTGAATTAATCTACACTGATATAAAGCCATTGATGGATGAAGTTCAACAGTTGGATGCTCAATTCAAACAGTTACAGCTAAAGTACATTTCCAACAAGGAAAACAAAGTTGAGGAAAACGAAGAAGCTCGCACTCGATATCATGGGCTTGTACTGCGATGGCACAAACTAGATAGATTATGCCTACTTTTGATCCTATTGATTACTAGTCTACCTTATGCATGGCTGACAGATGAACTGTTGATGACTATGATGCTTGACTTGAATGACATGCGTGATAAATTGGCCAAGTACCAGTCGGTAGTAAATAAAGATAATATAGACGACTTTACAAGTAGGGAGTTGCTAAGCTTGGAGTTTGATTGATCCTTCTAGTATTTCTTGTGACAGTCCGATACTCAAAAGACAAACACTTTTAGTATACATTAGAGTAATTTTTTTAATCAAGTAATTAACAGTATCGGCTTTGGCGACAACATTATCGAACTCGTCAATCCAGAAGTATTTCATACATTTCCACAATTTTCCTAGTTAGAGCCTTATTTTCAAACAAATCCATCTCGTAGAAATGATTGTGCTTGACCTTAGCATTATGACTAATAGATTACACGGATATCTTCTTTAACTTATTGCCAGCTCAATTAAGCAGTTTGAGCTTGGTAAAACCTTCGGAAAACGAAGCTCCTCTACACTAAGAGTCAAATAATTGGGGTTTCGCAATACTCAACAACTTTGGTCTTTGTTTGTTTCTTCAGTAATCTGGATTTTCCCAAGAACTGTCAAGTACAATGACAAATTTTGTGCAGCGGTTGTCAAATTTATAGCTTGTTCAGTTCTAAGAATGTTTTATCGGAAATCAACAGACAAAATTGTTGACTCCCGCCATAGATATACTGGCCTCTAATAACTCGGTTGGGGATAAACCCAAAGCAATCATTTAACGTCGGTTGAATAGCTTCTGTAATGCTGGGTGGGGATCCAATATAGACTTATAGCTGCTGATTGATACCAACCTGTAAGTGTGGAAAGAGATGCTTAGTTGGTGTAGACAGATTTCTTGCATTATCAAAAGCAATAGAATTATGTCGTGTAAAAATATGTCGCAGTGAGATGTGACTAATTATGCCGTTGCTTTGATAAATGATTATGTCGCACTAAACGAATAATAAATAGAAAATAAAAAAACAACACTGTATTTATAAAAGTAAGATGACTAAATTGATATTACGATTTAGGTCGAAGCGGTAACGGAGGTCAAGAACCAAATGTTTGCCCCTTTATCAAATAAAACCGGATATTCGGCAAACAGGCGTTTTAAGGCGTGACTAGATATGATGATTGTGTTGTTCTCGAATGATAGACAAAAGGAATTTAATTTTTTGTTTTTTGACTCATATCAGTTTATATGCAGTACGTTATCTATTATTTTTTATTTTATTACTCATACAACATACAGACAAAGAGAAAAACAAAAATCGTTCAAAACTGTGGATGGGTCATCAAAACCAAACAGAAACCAACAGAATATATAAATAGACAACTCTTCAGTACACACACACACACAGAGTGTTCTTTACAGTTCTATCTTATCAGAGTTACTTTAGTACTACTACTACTACTACTACTACTACTACCTCACTAACCAACAGATAGCATTACAATTTATTACTCAAACAGAAGATAAATATTGCAGAATTCTTTTGGATTATTTTTTTGGCAACCACATCCACCTCCACATCCACACACTATTACCACTATACTTATCCAGTTAAGCTGTTTTAAAACCCACTTTTTCTTTTCTACAATTACAATAACAATTACAATAATAGCTGAGATGTACTCACAATACTTTTACTAAATTTTTTATCCTTTCACTAAACATCGTCGTGCTTAAGTTTTGCTTTATATCAGTTGTGTAATATCATCGTCATCATCATCATCAAAGAGACTTAAGTTTTTTATTTACGCAACAGATTTTTTTATATCAAACAGGGAGTTTTTTTCATCATTTTTTATTATTATATCAGTCAAGGTTACTATTAAATTAAATTGGTAACTATATTAGTCATTTTATCACCAGGAGTTTTGTACAACAGGGTATTGTTTTGTTTTGCTAATTTTACAAAGATTGCCTTTTCTACAAATAAACAACGGCGTTTTTATTTTCAGGTAACACAGGGGCCATAGACAATCAGGGGGTTTTTTTTATTTGTTTGTCTTTTATTCATTTTCCATCATTTCATTTCATTAGTTACGATTTTTTTCCATTATGCAATCGCCAGTGTCACCTTCTTGCAAGAGACAAGAAAAGCAAGAAGTTGCTCAAATAAAGCAAAACGATCAACAAGGTGTTGTTGACTTGTTAACACCACCAAGTGCTTCATCATCCTCATCATCGCCTGAAGGAGATTCACTTGCAGCTGTTAAAGCATCTATTACTGCATTTTCACCAAATCATCATGATTACTATCACCAAGCTCATTTAAGCAAGGCTCAATTCAACTCCATCTTGGTCAATTGTGCTACGAATTTATTAAAAATCTTGTATTCGAAGCAACAGCACCAACAGCACACTTGTGACACCAAACAAGTCAAGCAATTCATTATTGAGATACTCAAACGGTCCAAAACGTCAATTCAATCGTTGCAGTTGGCTTGTTTTTACATTTACAAGTTGATAATTGCCACCACCAACAACAAGAACAACAACTTACACTTGCCAATGAAATGCCAACATTTATTTCTTGGACTAATTATAATTGCCTCCAAATTTAACCAGGATTATAACTACTCCTTCAAGTCGTGGTGTAAAATTATTGGGTTAGGTGACGAAGATACGACCAAGCATGTTAAACATTTGCGCAATGTTGAAGTTCAAATACTTGGATTATTAAATTACGAGATGGGGTTAATGGGGGACAAATATGAAAATTGGTGTAATATCTTGTTCATATTTGGATATGATTTCATCAAGTATCAAATTATTAAACAAAACCAAATGGACAATGTTGTGTCTAATGATTTAATTTGGGATTTGGATGTATCTTCATATATGATTAAATTAGACAAATGGAGACAATTTTTCCAAGATTTAAAGCTTGATAATTTGAATCTTGTCAAGATTAGATTTGAATCTTATTTCACTCAACAATTGAATCAAAAGGTGTTTATCGTTCTTGAGCAACAAGAGTCAACTAAAAAGAGATGCAGAGATGACATAACTGTCAGTTTATTTGATCATGTGAAAAAGATTAAAGTTTAGCTATCATTGGCTCGTCTGTATATTATTTTATATCATATATAAACATCCATCAGCACCAAATTTACCACGTATATTCACCGGCATAAACCCATCTCCTTCGCCATTGGAGTTTGGCTCTTTTGCTACTTCTCCCTTCAAGTAATTTGTCGATTTGCCAATAGTATAGCCTCTAATCAACAAATTACCTATGCCATTTGCATTCAAATTATTCACCTTCATTTCGAGCGATTGCGGCATCACGCCAAACTGACGAGTATAGGTGCGATATTCATAATAGTCAGTGGTCAAAATGGGGCCGAGGATATTGTATGTGCAATATTCACGAATTACGTGTGAATTTGTGACAATGCGTAAATGATTTAGTTGCGAAGAAGTCAATTGCGGATGCGAAATGGGCGAGTACACATAGACTAATTTATCCGATTCAAAGATTCCTAATCCAAGGAAATATAATTTGATATTTTGTCGCCATGACAAGTCAGTTAATGATGCTTGTGATTCAGGGAGGGTTGTTATATCGGTGTCAAAGCTAGGTGGTGAATCGGCAATGTGAACTTCCATTTGACAAACAAATGCCATTAGTAATTTGACAATCGTGTTTGCCACACCTTCGAAATCTGGTGATGACACAATAGTGATTGATTTTCCCGTGTAGTCCACTGGTAAATGCTTTATTGATGATGCAACAGCACTAATCAAATTCAATTGAGCAAAGTCGACAGCCACATCAATTCCTAGTTTAACCAGTTTGTTGAATCTGATAGCGACCCCTTTATCCCTGTCGGGCGTGTATACATTAGCGAACTCGGATGATTTTTGTGGTTTTGGGGGAAGCTTGATTTCTGAGATTGATGTACCTGATATAGGCTCCTGTTTGTCGTAAAATTGCAATGGAATTTGTTTAACAAGACCAATCAACACAATGATAATCCAATGCCTATCCAATTTGTGTTCCACCGGTATGTTTATCGCCTCCCATTTTGCATCTTGCCATTGGGAAATATAATAATTGATGGTTGCAAATTCGACAAGCGCATCATCACCAATGTAAATACCTTTTGTTCCTCTACTCTTCATGGCAATCTCCCAAATGTCATTGCAGTTGCCACGGCGTAACTTGTAATGATCATATCTGATATCCAAGCCAAGGCGCAATCCAGTAGGGGATTTAGTCGAGTGATAAATTGGCGACTCGTTTGGTAATCGAGTGGGGTCGGGATATGACTGTTGTTGCAAGTATAGATCAGGTACACATTTGAAGTAATTGAGTAGCTTTAGAACGACATAGATAATCGTTAGTGAGACTAATATCGTTGTTACGAAAAACATACGTGTGTGTTGGGTAATGATTTCTTTCTGGCGGAGTATTTTTTTTTCATGGAAGGAAAGATTAGAAATAAAAAAATTGATCGCGTGTTTCAACCACAAACCCTTTGTTCAATACCAAAAACACCAACGATGAAAGATTATCGGGTATTGCTATACCTACTCATCTCCTGGATTGTTGTGTTTCTAATAAATGAGAAATATGTACCTTACAGAACAATACGGAAATGTAAATGGCCGACCCTCAACCAAGATGGCCCACAGACACAAACCAACATCTTGCTCATTGCCGATCCCCAATTGATTGATAACCACACTTATCCTGGACGCAACTCTTATTTGCTAAGTTTATCGCAACATACAGTTGATCAACATTTGAAACGCAATTATCAACAACTAACCAAATTGCAACCGAGATCAACGATATTCTTGGGAGATTTGTTAGATAATGGACGCGCTTCAACCAATGAATACTTTACGCAGGAAGTGGCCCGGTTTAGATCGATTTTCCCTCCAGTGGCCAATATGTACACTAATCTTCCGGGGAACCATGATATTGGATTTGGCGATTTGATTAGAACTGATATACGTGATCGGTTTGGTGAAACTTTTGGTAATCCCAATCTACAAACTACGATTGATGGGGTTGAGTTTATAATGGTTGACACTACTAGTTTATCATCGACTAAGAATCAAATAAATCAGGCCTCGAAGGAGTTTATCAATAACTTGCCCACAAAGAGTACACCAAGAATCTTGTTATCGCATGTGCCGTTATTTCGTGACCCTAATACAAATTGTGGACCATTTCGAGAAAAACCCAAGTTTGAATCCATGGGTCGGGGGTATCAGTATCAGAACTCCCTCACTAAGGATGTAACTTCTCTGTTGCTTGGTAAAGTTGAACCAGATTTGATATTTTCTGGTGATGATCATGATTATTGCGATATTGTGCATCCTCAAGGAACAAGAGAAATTACGGTGAAGTCAATGTCGATGGCAATGGGTATATTCTACCCGGCTGTCCAACTACTCAGTTATAGCCAACTGCCTGAAGGCTTGAAATACCAAACGAGAATCTGTTATATGCAAACTCCATATGTTAATGTTGTCGTGTACATTGTCATGGCCATAGTATCAATGATTGTTTTATTTCATCAGAACTTACGATTGAAAGCGGGTAATTCGAGTTGGACAATTTTACCGTTGAGTAGACTGAAGCGAGAAGAAAAGAGCAAGATGGGTACTGGGGGGTGGAGAAAGCAAATGTGTTTGGATGTGGCTAAGGAGGGTTTTGTTGTGGGTTTAGTGGTGATTCTAATTTACAAGTACTTGATTGCAAAGTAAGGTTTTGTATAGTTAAAACTATTTCATATTTAGCCTTATAAAAGAGCAATGGCCATGATCAAACCAAGAGGCATAAGTAAGCTTGACATGATCAACTTATCAGCACTGTTTGATCTTTGAGCTGAATTATCTCCATCACTTGCTGAACCAGTGCTAGTTGATGAGCTACCACTACGAGTGGAAGTAGCTGATTGCAACTCATCTTCATTAGCTGCAGTTGAACAAATATAGTTATTGCCTTCGATATCTCCATCCTCATGCAATTGGTCAAATTCAGAACAATCAAAGTCCTCTGACGTTGAATTCAATTGGAAATCGCCTCGGACTTTTTCTAAATTAGACATTGACAAATTTCTAATGTCACCACTTATGGCCACTGCTCCTTCAACTACTTCTAAATTAGGGAATGTGTTTTGTAAATCGTGCAATTGTGAATTGTTGAAAAGACTCAATTCACCGCCAATTTCTCTCAACGACTTAAAATCAACTGAAGTCAATTCATCATGAGCAAAAAGTTGCAAACTTGAACCGACGTAGCCCAAAGTGGAAAGATTCAATGATTCAAATAAGTTATAACTAATTTGCAACGTGCCATTAACGGCACTCAAATTTTGAGCTGATAATGAACCCACGGATTGAATTGTCAAATTAGCCGCCCATTCCAAATCATTCAATTCAACAACGGCATCATCATTGTTAAAACTCAAAATCAACGCATCAGTAACACTTTTTAAATTGGCGAATTGAATCTGAGTAATGTTTTTATTATTATTGATATTCATATACTCAATATTGTTAAACGAAGTCAAACCATTCAAATTGGTCAATGCAGTGTCAGACAAGATAACTCTTCCAGCACTTTGCAATTCCTGGTTTAAAACTAAGTTGGCAAAGGATGGTAATGAAACCAATTCCAAGTCGCGTGAATTTCTCAATGATGATAAATCAATCGAATTCAATTGAGTCATGTTGACAATGGTTAATTTACCATCAATTGTTGTCAATTGATTCAAATTGATGGCAACAATTGATCTTGAGTTGATAACAGTCACGTCGCCAGCAATTTCCTCCAATTGGGGTAAATCAATTGAGGCAAATTCGTTACCGGAAATAGTAATTTCTCCATCTAAAGTTGGGCATGACGCCAATTGTTGAAGTGCAGTGGCGTTAGAAATGGTGGTTCTTGAAAATGAGCAAGAGTTTGAGGTTGAGGATGAGGATGACCTTGAGGCTGTTGAGCTGCTGCTCGTGCTTCTGGAGGTGGAGGATCTTGAACTTGTGTTCGAAGTGGTGGATGTTTCATCATCAGCAAAGATTCCACTGGCAAGAATACTAAACAAAGTAATTAATTTGAACTTCATTGTACAATAGAACTGTAATCTCTTAGTTGTACAAGAAATGAAATCGGATTTCTTTTTGAATGATAAAGGTGTGTCTTGATTATAGGGCTTGACTTCAAAGCGTTAAACCTCGTTTCAAAAATCTCACTGACTGACTTAAAAGGTGAATGAAGATTTTTTAGGAAAGTAATGTGAACGAATAAGAAAGCTTCTTCTGTAAATTTTGGTAAATTTTATCAAAGTTAGTCAAATGCAAACTTTGTTTCGTTAATATAGGTTCCCTTGGTTGAAGTAAATTTGGGAAAGGGCAAAGAAAATAAATTTATTTTTAAAAGAGGCGTGGGGCACAAACAGAGAGACGAAATGTTTTTGACTGTATACTTACAAATGCTAGAGAAGCTTATTAAATAGAGATACCAAAGAATGAGAATGTTGGAAACTGAAACTAGTTTGGGTCGAAGTTGGTATTATCTTAGCTTTATTTCTTGCTTTTTTAATTTATTAAGTGGCGTGGTTTTTAACTTTGTGCGTATAGCCCCCAAGAAAATAAAAATACCACCATAAACGCACTAAACACGCTAAACCTTGTTTTAATTTTTAGTCATAGTCAACAGAGTTTTGATAGAATGTAAACAAAGCAATGTGTTTAGTTTGGAATTATAGCGGTATGATTCAAGATCGCAGTAAATCAACTCAAGTTTTCAACACTGTATAAAGGTTGGCAGGAGAAGCAGGGACAATAATGTATTTTAGCGTGTATCGTTATAGGCTTACTTAATTGCACTTACCCATATTTTACAGCTCTTTAATAGTCTATATTGCAATCTCGCTGAAAATCACTTGATGCATAACCTTACACGACAGTACCACCTCTAAACTTTTTTACATTTAAATAATAATCGCCAAAATCTACCTTCAAGTAACTCCTTTCGGAAAAGTCAGGAAAATCAATTAGTTTCCAAAATTAGTTAGAATCCTAGATTTATTTAACGTGTTGTTCATCCCTGGTTTTATTTTTGGTATTGCTGCAAAACATTTGATTCACGCTTGTCAAATGGATATGTCGCAAGTAGGAAATGAGACACTAATATGACACAAAACTGAATAGTGATTTCATTTTTAGTTTAGATAGAGATCTCGTTGAGAAGCACTACTAGACAAGTTTAAAGGTGTATCTCAGGTGGTCGTAGTGTAGTTTAATTTCATTGCAATTAAACTAATCTCTGTCCTACCCCAAGCGGAGAAAATATAGCCATAAACTTGTAAGGAAAACTTTTGAAGAACGCGTCGTTGTTGAAGAATAGCTATAAAACACTACAAGGGAGGCAAAGCTGACACTGGCTATATGAGTATTAGTTCTCACTATTTGTAACCCTGGGGAAAAAGCAAGATATTTACTTATCAGAGATATCTCAATATACGACTTTCCTTGATCCTTTGTTAAAATTTTTTATGTCATAGATTTGGCGCAAAAAAAGAAAAAAGAGGAGGTAAAACAATAAAACCTAGGAACAAAAATTTGCAACACATTATATATTAAATTGAATGACGTCCTCTTTTATTACTCTTCTATACAATCTACACAAGCCTTGCTGACTCCTATTGCACCTTTGTTTGTTCCAATTCCTGCTTGCTACAAAAGAAGAATTGATTGTGTGTTTTATATGTCTTTGTTTTCCAAAGCAATTCCTAATTAGGAAGAATTATAAACAAAGTAAAAACAGTAAGAGAAAAAAAAAACAAAAAAACAAAAAAAAACAAATCACTTATACACAACACAACTCAACTCAAAACATCCAGAAGAAAGAACAATAGACTACTACTACTATACTACAAGATTCAACTCATTACTAGAATTTACAAACTGCTTTATCATATTTTCAAAATTCATCTGCTTAAACCACACAATCCTTTTTTTAAACTCACATTGCCAACAGTATGTCACAGTTGGAACAACCAGTCGCGTCAACACAAGATTTATCGCGTTCGCTGAGTCAAAGTACGGACTTTTTCAAAAATGAGAATGGTATGTAAAACAACAAACAGGGGAAAAAGACAGCTGATGATCATCAACTGCCAAATAAGTGTACCCTTTCACTTCATGTCAACAGTTGTACTAACCACAATTGCAGAGTCAGTGGACCTTTTACTCAGAGAGATGAGTGCCGATATGGATAGTTTAGCGCCTCCAACAACATTCGAACCGGACCACAGGCGAAATGAACATAGTTTCTCAACTTCAATCAATACATCACCAACAAAACCACTAAAATTTCCTAATCAACAACAGACTCCTATAAACGATCCCAATTCCAGCTCAGACACTTATGCCAGCGATCAAGACCAACACCAAAGCAAACTCTACCCAGAAGTCAAAAATGACCTCAAATTGTCTTTGAACCGTAACTTTGATGTTGACACTTCTGCTGACATACAAGATACTATTGAAGTGTACAATAAATACAATTCAGAAGTGGATATATACACCCTGCAAACACCAAGAACTTCAACTACAGATCTATTGACGAAGCAGCCTTACACAAATTCCTCCCCTAATAAGTCGATAATGAAGAAGACACCAACAGGCTCTCCGAAAAAAGTTGCCTTCACAGCAACAAATCCAGAAATTTACCAATATGCTCAGGGACAGCAGGAACTGGAAGATGATCAAAAACAGTCAGTCAACAGCTTAGCACTTCAAAAGCCAATTCATCACCAGTGGGAGCAACCTCATATTCACTCTGAGGATGAAAGTTTGGCGTCGCCGCCTCCTCCTCCGCCACCACACACGAGTAAACCCACTTTTGCTCAACTTTTGAACCGTGAAAACTGTGACCATGAGAATACAAAGAAGCTAGACGCTGTACCGCTTCATGGAAAAGTAAGTCCACATGCAGATGAAGAATACGACTTAGATGCTCGCTTGCAAGAGTTGGAAATAGCGTCAAAAAATAAAGCCAAAGAGAATATTCATCATCTATCGCTTTCGTTGCAAACCCCTACTTTTGATATAGAAAACCCGCTTGATTCATTACAGAAAGCGTCAGATGTACAATTACCATCATCAGGATCGTCACAATCTTCATTACAATCATTAAGAGATGACAATAGAAGCTTGAACTCGGTTCCTGGGTCACCCACCAAGGCCAACCGCGGGCTTGCATTACGTGATGGAATCAAAGGGTTATCAGATGCAACCGTTGAATCATTGTTGCCTAGAGATGAGTCAGAAGATGCGTTATACATCAGCCATTCTAATGGTGAACTGGATGCAGCTGCCCGTGATGAAGAGCCATTGGATTCGTTTGATAATTCATATAGTCGAACTGAACAATCGATTATGAATTTGCTCAATAGTGCGTCGGCTTCTCAAGTAGCACTTAATAACATCACACAAGGGAATGAAATTCACGTAAAGCAAGAAACTGACAATGACGAACAAGCATTTGTGCCAGAAGAGAAGGAAACTGTTGTAAAACAAGAGTTTGAGCACGATGAACAGCTTTTTGAACCTCAAGTTCGGGTTGTGGTGAAGAAAGAGTCAAAGGAGGTCCTACCTCAGGATGAACAAGAGACTATAGTCAAGCAAGAGCAAATTAATGGCAATTCTGTGAATCAAACTCCGCAATTTTCGACACGAGTGTTTAAATCTGAATCTAGTGTTCACATATCACCGTATACTGGACTAACCCCACAACAGGAAGTCGAACAGATGCTAGCCGAAAGTGGCGATAACCAACGGATTCAAGATGATACAACTGAGATTTCAGATTTCGTAAATCGAGACGAATCCAACATGTCTATCAGGTTCCACACGGATAGTGGTTGGAAATTAGAAGATAGTAATGATGGAGATCGGGAGGACAACGACGAATATAGTCAAGTTCTTGGCCGATCAGATATGCTTGATGAAGGTGACTCCAACTCTTCAGCAGAAGAATTTGCTGATGCATCTAATGAACTAAGCCAGGCTCTAAGCAATACAAATGGTGATAAAAAGGAGGTTGAGGATCCCAAAAGCTTGGCTCCACCAAGAGCAATTGACGAAGCAGTAGATGCAACTCACGGCCCAACAAGTAATGAAACCATCTTGGCAAACTCATCAAACATTGCTGAGCCAAATGAAGATATTACCTTGCCGCCAGTTGAAATCAACAATTATTCCTCATTGGAAGAGATTACAAAGAATATGGATTCTATATCGAGCTATGAGCGTTCATTGTCGGCAGAAAATGACGTGGAGAAACCAAAGCCGGACGACTTTTTGTCTATTTGGCATAGTCAACGAAAACAAAAGAAAAGTCAGATGCATAAAGTGCCTACTCAACAGCTTATTGCTGCATATAGAGAGGAGCAAGTTGAGCAAAAGAGGGCAACATCAACTGATAAAGTAAGAATTCCTTCATCATTAAACGGGAAAAAGATTAAAGAAGTGCATGTCATGTCAAGAAGAGTGGTTAGTCCAGATCACTTTGACGATTTGCATGTATCGGGATTTTTGCCCGAGTTATCTAGAGACTCCGTGTTTAATGATTTGCACTTCACCAATCAATCTCGTGTTCCATCGGCACAACTCAACACTTCCAACATGCTTTCTAATATAGATAATAATCCAAATGTCGTTGAACCACCACAACCTTTGATACCTGGCCAAGCCCGTCAAACAAAGAGGTTCATTTCTTCAAATAGCAGCAACTTACAACGTGCATCGACCACAGGCCCAGCACCCACCGGGCCAACGAGATCAAGATTTAGAGTGCCCACTTTTGAAATCAAGCGCTCGTCGTCGGTGCTTTCACCCAAGAACATGTATGATGATATCTTTGAGGATGTCGTGCCAAGAAAGCCACCAACTATACGGGCCGAAGGTATGAAGACTTTGCCAAGTATGGATAAAGATGATGTCAAGCGAATTCTTTCAACGAGAAAGGGCATGACGCAGGATGAATATGCCCATGCTAAATTTGTGGAACAGAAACCGAAAAAGAATTCAGTTGTCACCGAGACAGAAAATGCACATGAGCATATTCCCCAGACGGCATCGATCCATGATGCGAATACCGAGTCGCCCCGTCAGCCTTCAATTGCAACTGGTTCTGATGTTTTGCCTTATTCTTATTTGGCAGATGAATTGAACAAGTCTCCTAGTGAATTAATGTCAAAGAACCAACCTGAAGATTTCCCAACAAGGACAAGTTCTGTCATTGTCCACAAGAATGCGCCATTGCCGGAGCCAGAGTTTGAATTTGACATTTCACCACATACACCACCATTGCCTGCTGGTGTAATTGATGAGTTGGATACTGATACAGCTTTGAACTATTTACACAGTGACAGCCTATCTCCCAAGACAGAAAGACAGGAGGCGAAGCCCAAATCACCATTGGACCCCGCACAGCAGCAATCTCCGGAACCAGTTGTTGAGAGGAAGTTGGATCCAAGTGTTCGGCCTGTTGTTGCCAAGCCAAACCTTCCCACGGATACACCAGCAACACCAATCAAAAAGTTTCGGAAGGATGCTCATACTCCCGTCTCCAAGAGAAGTTCGCCTAGAAAAAGTCCTATTAAAATTGGTTCTCCTGTTAAACTTGTAAAGAAGAATGGATCAGTTACCGGTATTGAGTTGGCGGAAAAACACCATTTCCATGACCTTGCCAATGCTGAGAAAGTCCAACCATTTCTTGGAGATGAATTGGTACATGCCAAGATTAGAGATAACTTGGACTACGAGAAATGGACACCAGAACATAAATCCAACATGCCAAGTGCAGTTTCAGTACCATCAGAATTTTCTGATTCAAAAAGTCAGCATCATAATTCTCATGAGCGTCATAAATCGGATCCCAAGGTTATTGACGATGAGCTTCCCGATGTTGCATGGCAAGAACGTGGCAAGTTGTTTTTCCGCGTGCTTGGGTTAAAGAATATTAATTTACCTGATATGAAGTCACACAAGGGTAAGTTTACCATTGCTTTGGATAATGGTGTTCACTGTGTAAAGACGTCTGAATATGACTTGGACCGGAATCTAGTTTCAATTGGTAAAGAATTTGAACTTATTGTTGCCGACTCTTTGCAATTTATCTTGACTATGAAGGCTAGCTATACTAAACCGAAGGGTACATTGGTCGAAGTACGCGAGAGGAAGGTTGTCAAGTCAAGGAATAAGTTGGGTCGCTTCTTTGGATCTAAAGATATCATCACCACAACACGGTACGTTCCTAGTAAAGTTGAAGACAGTTGGGCTAACAAACTAGCCACTGATGGTTCATTTGCTAGGTGCTATATTGATTTTGCTCAATTTGAACAGCAAGTGAGTGGTAGGGTGCAAAGATTCGACTTGAGTTGTTTTAATGAATGGGAAACGAGAGCTAATGGTAATAATGGCAATGGTCCCCAATCAAACACCAGGTGCAAGCCGTACAAAATAGCCGAGTTGGAGGTTGAAATGTTGTTTGTGCCTCGCTCCGACCCCCATGAAATTTTGCCAACAAGTATCAAATCGGCATACCAATCCTTGGCCGAGTTGAGTAAAGAGTTGAAGACTGTAAACGAAGGTTACTTGTATCAAGAAGGTGGTGATTGCGAAATATGGAAACGTCGTTGGTTTAAGCTTTATGCTACGTCATTAGTGGCCCATTCCGAATTCAGCCACAAGACAAGAGCCAAGATCAATTTGAACAAAGTGATTGATGTTATGTATGTTGACAAGGAAAACTTACACAATTCGAAACATCGTAATTTCAGTGATGTTTTACTTGTTGAACATTCGTTCAAGATCAAATTTGCCAATGGTGAAATTATTGAATTTGGTGCTCCAAATGAACGCGAAATGAAGCAATGGATTGAGATTTTGGAGAGTATTGTTCAGCGCAACAAGATTAGACGACAACCTTGGGTTAATTTGATGATGAAGCAGCAACTGGAGTAATCAAGGTATAGTTTTGTTTAGAGGGATGAAATAAAAATGTAATATTACGAATTTTTAATTTAATTAAATTACAAGGTTGAAGATTCTCTTTGTATTTCCGTGCTACTATTTTGGACATTAGACTATTTAGGCGGAGGTGGTGGTGGCGGCGACATGTTGAAGTTGAAATTGGGCATATTTGGCATGTTGGGCATGTTGGGCATGTTGGGCATATTGGGCATATTGGGCATGTTAGGCATCTGCATACCAGGGGGCATCTGCATACCAGGGGGCATCTGCATACCAGGGGGCATCTGCATACCAGGGGGCATCTGCATACCAGGAGGCATCATCATAGGAGGCATACCAGGAGGAAACATACCCATGGGAGGTTGAGGTATACCATTTTTCCCTGGCGCCGGGCTATTCTTGCCCACCTCTGTTCCTGGAAGAGGGCCCCCGGGTCCCTTCATTATTTCAGCCATAATTTTTTGTGGATTAAATTCACCACGTAACTTATCTTGTTTGTGACAATATGCATTCCAAGTGAACTCATCAAATCCAAAATTAAAGTGATCGGAAATGTCTGCTCCTGGTGCTCGCCATGGCTTGACTTTGAAAATTTCCAAATCTAATTGAGTTAATGGTTTACCTTCGTATTCGGGGTTAGCATCAACGTCAAGTTTGGAAGTTGTTCCTGTGGTTGATTTTGTCGTTATTTGTGTTGAAGAGGATGGGTTTGGAGTGCCTGTTGAGGAGGATGGTGCTGCTACTTCAGATAGGATGTCGTTGCCTGGTATTGATGGTTTGGGAGCCATATCTCCTATTATGATGTCAATGTCGTCGTCGTCGTCGTCATCGTCATCTTCATCGTCGTCGTCCTCTTCTTCTTCTTCATCTTCTTCTTCCTCTTCATCCCCCTCGTTCTTTTTCTCTTTGTCGGCTGCATCACCCTTGGCTTTATTGCTGTCAGTCGCGGCATCACCGTCTTTCAGTAGAATTGTCGTCAGCTCTCCTGATGTTTGTGTTTTTTGTTTTTTAGTTACTGGCTGATCCTCATCATCGGACCCATATAGGTAAGCATCATCGTCATCGGAATTGGCCATGGCTTGTATGTGTAGCTTGATTTAATGGCCCATGTACTGCCTTCCATAGATCTTTTTGTCTTTGTTCAATTTCTTTTTTAACAAACAGTGGAGAGCGCTACCATTACGCTATATAGTGTGTGATGGCATTAATGATATCGCCAATGAATCCACAGCTCGTCTTTAGTCTTCGAATTTAACAATCAATTCTTGAAACAACACAACTTGTTTCGACTGAGCTAAGAATCAATTCTTCATTCATACCTCAAAGTCAAATACAAACAAATTTACTCTACTCAAAGGTTCAATGTCGTAAGATGTAGCCACCTGACACACGCGACATTGGTTTTAATTTTTGTTTCCTCTCTTTACTCTCTCTCTCTCTCTCTCTCTGTCTCTGACTATTAGAAAAAAATTTTCCACCTTAAACATTTCATCATCTTCTATATACATTCAGTGGCGAATAAAACAAACCCATTTTAGATTCATTTTTATGATATATTTCAAACAACAACGTATAGATAACATACATTCATCAATTACAAATCTAGATATCATCATACCGCCGAAGTAAAAATTTAATACACCATGTCATTCATAAATATTTGTCGTGATAACACCGATCCGTTTTATCGGTACAAAATGCCTCCTCTCCAGTCCAAGACTGAAGGTAGAGGAAACGGTATCAAGACCGCCATAGTCAACTTGGGTGAAGTTTCACGTGCTTTGAACCGTCCACCGGCATATTTGGTCAAGTTTTTCGGATACGAATTGGGGGCACAAACGCAAATTCAAACTGATCGGTATTTGGTCAATGGGGCTCATGACACTGCCGAGTTGCAGGATTCATTAGATGGATTCATTAACAAGTTTGTCTTGTGTGGATCATGTAAGAACCCGGAAACTGAAATTGTCCTCAAGGGGAAAGATACGTTGGAAAGAGATTGTAAAGCATGTGGTAAAGTCACCATTGTTGATCCCAAACATAAATTGTACTCGTATATCGTGAAGAACCCACCTGATAACAAAAAGGGCAAGAAATCTGCTACGGCAACTGCTAATGTCGTTGGTGGTGGTAAATCGATTTCGGATATTGCTGCTGGTCATGAAGCAAATGAAACGAGTCAGAATGGGGCCGAGGGCGATGGGGACGATGACGAAGATGACGATTTATTGGCCAAGAAGATCAATGCTGAGGCTGCCATGTTGCAGGATTTGAAAATTAAAGATGATGAGTGGGCGGTCGACATGAGTGAAGAGGCAGTTGCCGCTAGAGCCCGTGAATTGGAAGCATTTGATTCATCTAATGCCTATGAGCAATTGGGTGAATGGCTATTTTCAGAATCAGACAATAAGGTGGAAAACTTGCCATCCGATGTTGAAATTTACAAAAAGATTGTTGAATTGGATTTGGTTGAGTCACCAGCCACGTTACAAGTTCTTGCTCAAACTTTATTCGACGAAGGTGTGCTAGATCAAGTTGAACCCCACGTTGGATTATTGACGAAATTGATCAATGGCGATACTGAATTTGAAAAGGCCTTGCTTGGTGGATTGGAAAGATTGATTGGATTGCTGTATCCTTCATTGATTCCCCAAACGCCAAAGATTTTGCACACGTTTTATGATTCTGATTTGATTAGTGAAGAAGTCATTATACGTTGGGGATCAAAAGTCTCAAAAAAGTATGTGCCAAAGGAGGTTTCTAAAAAGGTTAGAAAGGCTGCTAAACCTTTTGTCCAATGGTTACAAGAAGCTGAAGAGGAGAGTGATGAAGAATAAGAGCAAAGAGTTGACAAGAGAAATAGTAGAGTAGATGTAATATTGTTTGTGTATGAAGTCAAAATTATATTTTGTACGAAGACTTTTTTAAAAGGTCAATTAACTATTACTATATTACTATTTAAACAATACTTTTTGTAATTTTTCTTCAAAGGGAAATGATAACTCTCTATTTCGTTTCTTTGCCACCACCTCCTTCTCTTCATAAGATTTTTCCTCTATGTTTCATAATAGTCATTAAAAATTGTCACATAAATTAAATTAAAATTGTGCTGCCAAAAAAAATAAGTCCCCTCTCACTCACATGTACAGGTTTCTTTGTACTGTTGGCGTTCCTGGATTCGAATTGTATCCGAGTGCAGCACTGCTCAAGGATAATTGTTCCAACTGTTGCATGACTGCCAATTCTTGTGGCAGAACTTGTGGTAGCTGTGCCGACAACAGAGGGTAGTATTGTTGCTGCTGCTGTTGTTGCTGTTGCTGTTGTTGTTGTTGTTGTTGTTGTTGTTGTTGTTGCTGCTGGGCTTGTGCCATTGCTTGTTGGGCATAGTATTGTTTCATATAAGCCGATGGTTGTTGACTGGCATAGTGATGATGCTGCAGCTGCTGTTGGTGCAGTTGTTGTGCTTGTACGAGAGGCACGTATGGAAACGATTGAGGTGCAATTTGCTGCATGGGAAATTGTTGTTGAAGGGGCTGCTGCGATTGATGAATTTGTTGTGAATGGTAATTCGATACAAGTGATTGCTGACTGTGTGGCTGGTGATGATACGAATCATATTTAGCTCCATTTACTCCATTAGTTCCATTTGTTCCGTTCCTTTGTGATCTTCTTCCATTGTGATGATGATGATGCCCTCCGTTCCCAGCTCCGGCTCCACCCTTCTTTGTTGAAAAAGATTTACTCAACCTGCTACTCGATAATCCAACCTCATCCATCAACTTCTTATAATTGTGAAAATTGACAATATTAATCTCCATCAAGATTCTCTTTATAGCAGGTAAGAAAGGAGTTGTCAAGTCACCAAGTATTGGATTACTCAAAACCTTGTATATAAATAACGGTCCCGCATTCAAATTATTATTGTCACTTTCTTGTAAAATAAATTTCAAATTGTCAGTATTTTGGAAAATGGCATTAATCATTGCCTGCTTGGCTCTGTCTTCATTGCGATTATTCAATAATTTCAAAATCGTCAAGTTTGCCAACCGATGAACACAAAGGTTATTGATGTTTGGTAAAAACTTGTCAACAATTAACTCGATTTTGGAATCAGAATCACTAAATGTATCCAAATACCAAGTAATTAGTAAACTTCCATTAGAATTGACCGCCAAGTCATTAGCAAACTCGACAATTAACCCAGCAACAAGTAAAACTTGTTCATGAGATACTGCTTGTTTATGGGAATTGTTTGGATCGTGACAACTTTCCAAGATCGTACGAATACATCTTGCCCCATATCTACCAAAACTTATTTCAAGGAAATTGTCATACATGGCCTCAAAGACAAAGTCATTATAAGGTGAGCCAAATTTTATACATCCTTGAATTACATAATTTCCAAACTGATCATTAAATAACTTGACTGCATATGGCTTAAGACTGGCTCCAATCAAGTACATTTGTTGCAATTCTGAGTGACAAAGATTGATGATTTTTTGAATTGCCCATGTACCATTCTTGTGAATTCCCAATTGTGTCAAATAGGGGGCAATTTCCTTCACCATCATCAATTTAACTAATGAGTCATCAATCAAGGTAAACAATTTTTGCACAATTGTATTACCCAAGTAGTCGTAACATATTTCGGGTAATTCGTCAAGCATGGCTAACGCCAATTCATCAAGACCAACTTGACTAAAGCTCGAATCACTTGACTGATCAAATAAACCAGCTTCCTTATTCTCCAACACTTTTCTCAATTCTCTCAAAGTTGGTGAGTCAAATTGTCTTGTCGGTATTGGATCTGGCAATGGGCCAAAATCAGTTCGGTAATTATCATTGGGGTAGGCAACACACTTGTTGATAATGGATTGAATCTTCTTCAAGTCAACCGTTGAAGATAACTTGGTGATTGACTCAATGATGTTACTTTTATTGGCTGTGGTTTCAGCGGCAACAGAATTATGTTTGGTGTTGGTTCCATTCAATTCAGCCGAGGAGATGGATCCATGTTTTGACAACAGCGATTGAGGTGAACTACTTTGTCCTCTACTACTCTTCGCATGATTGATGATGATATTGTTGTTGTTGTTGTTGCTTAAATTGAGCTCAACAAGCGACCTTATTGGCGAGTGAATATCAATTTTGGGTTCTTCAATTTTAGCAAATGCAACATACAATGTATTTCCTGGAGCAATTTCCAAATGATTGAAATTGGCTTTCAAATTCATTGCCGTTTCAATGTTGGTGCATTCAACCAATGCCAATTTAGAAGTAGTGGTAATTGTCATCTTCACACTAACAACACTACCAAACGACTTGTGATTATTTGAATTGACCAAAATGGTAAACAACTTGACAGCATCAACATATAATGGCATATTATCAAACAAAAGAAAACGTGTTGGACCCAAATGCGTATTTTCAAAATTGGTAGTAATCAACAACTGCGAAAAATCAAAATCATCAACTAAATCAGGTTGAAGTTCCTGTTTGGCGAAATCAGGCAGCATAATGACCCCATCGGAATTCTCCAATAGTGGATTAGATTGCTTCAACAGAGCTTGAAAAGAATCGAGTGGGTTAATTTGTGATCTCAAGCCTGATGCTGCATTTGAATTTGAAAATATTTGTTCATTAACTCCTGGTGGCGTGCTTCCAGAGTAAGTTTGTGATCTAATCCTTGGGACTGCTGTTGATTGATCGCCATTCAACATAAAATTATCCACTAGCAAATTCGCGTCATTAGTTTTACCTGCTATGGAAATAAAGGGAGACGTTGTTACTTTGTTTTGGCCATTTCTGTAGTATGCACTACTGTAGTTTGAGCTGGAATTTCCATGATTATTAAATGATTCAGCAGTAGTATTGATGGTGACACTTGGAATTGCTGCATTTGTAGTATATGATCTATTACGGAAGGATTGTTGCTGTTGCTGTTGCTGCTGTTGCTGTTGCTGCTGTTGCTGTTGCTGCTGTTGCTGCTGTTGTTGTTGTTGGTGGTGCTGTTGCTGTTGGTGAGATGGGGAAGACGCGTCTAATGAAGGACTTAAAATAAACTCCGAATGCAAACTGTGGCCGCTGTTTGATGAGTTATTATCATCATTCCAAATCGAATTAGTAGAAAACAATGATCCTGATCTCATTCTTCTAGTAGGTGTAGTGCTCATATTCCCATCAAGATTTAAATTAATATTATTGCCACCGCCATTAGTCATTGACGTATTTGACAAAAAGCTATTATGAAGAGGCGATGTTGAGATGGCAATGTCCTTATTTGGGACATTCAATAAATCGTGGTTATTATTATTATTATTATTATTGTTGTTGTTGTTGCTTGTTTGCGATTCACTGCGATAAATTGGACTACTTGTTAAGGAACTGGGTACGATATTGTTTGTTGTAGTTAAGATGTGACCATTGGGAGTTAATTGGTTGCGGGTGGTGAAAGATGATGGCAATGTTCCTGATCTTCCTCTTCCCTGTGGCTGTTGCTGCAGTTGCTGCAGTTGCAGTTGGTATAACTGTTGACTAGTAAATGATGGTGATGTTGATCTTATAAAATTGTTCATATTGATAGTTTATCCATGTGTAATCTTTTATTACAGTTTCATATAAAAAGGTAGTAGTAGTAGTAGTAGTCGTCAATGTATTCTAAATAAAAAGGGGTGAGTTGGTTGGTTAGTTGATTGGTTGGTTGGGTTGCGTGTGTGTTATGTGTGTGTGTGTTGTGTGTGTTGTGTGTGTCAATAAATCCAAAATAAAATAAAGTAAAATTGCTATAATCAAAGTACAAAATAAGTCAGTAAGTAACACCAAGTAAGTAACTAAGTAAGTACTGTGGTAAGTGTATGGTTAGTAAGTAAAGATGGGTTGTTGTTGGTTGTTGGTTGTTGGTTGTTGTGGTTGTTATTATTATGTATTATTGTATTATTGTATTATTGTATTATTATGTATTTTATTACCATTGAAGTAAAAAATAAAAAAAAAGGAAGGTATATATTGTCTTTTGTATTGCAGTTAGTTTGTATTGCAGTGTTAGTTGTAGAGTGTGTGTTGTGTCCTTCTTTTATAGTGTCATATGGTTTATATGCAGAACTTATTCGTCTTTCAAAACAAATAAAAAAAAAATAGGGGCAATTCTTTTTACTACACACCACCAACCCACCAACCCACCAACAACCCACATACATACAACTAATACACTACTAATATACACTCACACAATACATAATACACATAGGTAGAAGAATCTTTTTCTTATTTTTTGTTTTTTTTTTTTTATAACTAAGGTATAATAATAACTATGTCTCATAAGACCAATTACATTTTCTTTCTTAGTCTACTAATCCTTCTCCCCTCCTCCTACCCAATAGGTTGTACTTCTTAACCTCACTATTATCTTTTTCAAATTAAAAAAAATAAAAAAAAAAAAAAGCTACTGACATCAACTTAAAAAATCTTGAAAGAGCAAAGGGAAAAGGGAAAGGGGCAAGGGGCAAGGGGCAAAGGGCAAAGGAGCATTTTCTAAAGAATCACTCTAATTGTAATCAAACACACGTACTCTCTCTCTCTCTCTCTCTCTCTTGTCTACTCTCTTTTATCTTTATCTCCCTAGCTCTCATCCTTGTCTTACTAAAATCCTACCCATAGCATGTGCTATTTTTCCTGAATTCAGAGCCAGGCTTTTCCTACTGCTCTCTTTTAAAAGAGAGAGAGAGAGAGAGACGACACAAACACCAAAATAAAAATAAAAATAAAAAAGAAAACTATATAATTGACCGACATCATTTGTATCGTCACAAACAGGGTATGTGCTAAACTGCGCCGACTTTCCAATACACACTCACACCCCCTTCCTCTAACGTTGTTCAATTCACACCATTTGTTCTGACAGTTCACCTATTTAAAACAATGACTCAATTGAACACTACTTTGTTATTCTTATTTATATTATTTCTTCGTCATCCCCCCTTCCCATTTAAATATTTACTTATTTATTTATAAAACAAACTAATTTCGCAACACAAAATATTTGCAACAATATATAACCTCCCCCCCCCTCCCCTCCCTCTGTAATAATTTATAATATCCCGCACAATACTTCCATGTTCAAACATTATAGATACTCATAACCAATAAAACAAGAAACAAGAAACAAGAAACAAGAAACAAGAAACAAGAAACAAGAAACAAGAAACAAAAAAGAAAAGAACAGAAAAGTATACAACACCCGTAAAACATTTTTTTCTTTACCAGTCGATGCTTCTCCTTTGAGGATCGGATCTTATATAGACCATAAACTAGCTACATTTATTTTTACCTTTGTTTAACTCTTTTCAGCTACCCTTCCCATATACACAATACCTCAATTGTTTCCATCAGCTTTGGCTTCAATGACTTTGGGAAATGGAAGTGATTTGGAAAAAACAACCACTCTATTAGTATTACTCACATATCCTCTAATAAATCCTTGCGTTATTAAATTGGCAATAATGGTTTCAACCTCCAAATCAGGTATTTGACGCAGTGAAACATCAAGTTTAAAATCAGCATCATTTTCATTGTAAAAACAAGAAAATTCCAAGGCTAATTTGAATGCACTAATTGGTGTAGTTGTTTCACCACTTTGCAATTCCAGAATTATTGTAAAACTTTTATTCAATATACGCAATTGAGCATATTGTCGTAGCAACTCCATCAATATGTACAAGTGATTCTTTAGTAAAACCACCTCATATTTATTCATGCATTGTTCAAACTTGTTCAAGTTTCCATGACATATTGCATCCAAAAAATTATCACAATACATTGTTTTCAATCGTGGGAATCGTTGCCATACTGAACTGCTGGGCACTTCACCCCTATTATAAAGCTTCAACGGGATTAGTATCAACAATATTTGCTCCAATTGATGACTAGACTTATCCTTGTGGTTTGCAATTAAGCTCATTGCTAGATTTAACGACTCTTCACTTTCTAAATAATTACCATCATCCAAAGAAACAAGTGACTGGTAATAAAGATAAGTGATTGCATTTTTACAAGTCGATACATTTTGCGTCATATTAGGCAACGGCTTGTTCCCACTCTTAAGTGAATTGATTGCACTCTTGACAAGAGCTAATTTGCCCATCTTGAAATAACATCTAATCAAATTGGCCAAGAAAAAGTAAACATCATTCCGCTTACTCAATTTGACATCAAGCTTTTTATCATTATTACTCAAATTGAACCCAATCATCAACGTATTGATCAATTGTTGTAACCGTGATGTTTTCGTAGGTGCAAACCCCGAGCCTTCTTCTGCCTCATTCTCAAACACAATCAGGTTCAAATCCTCAGGGTCGCGTTGTTCAATAATCTTGTAAAGCAAAATCAATTCTTCAAAACAGTTTATAATGACAGGCATAATCCAATTATCCTGCTGTTCACTAGCTCGAATCAAACTGATGCATTCCTGATTGAGGTTTTCAAAACAGGTAATGTGTGATCGAGCAATGTATGCACTCTTGACTGCACGCAAGTAGTGCTGTACCACGGGCGCAAATTTGTCAAGATTGTATAAATCATACTCCAGTGGTTCGGGGAAATTCTTTCGTTCCTCCGCCTTATCAGGACCAGGGTTGATAGTAAGGAGTTTTTTCAACTTCTTGCTGTTCTTCTTTTCGATATTTAGCTTTACCAGCTCGATATAGTTTTGTAATGCACTCATAATAGGGATATCTTAAGCAGGGGTTAAAGGTTAGACAATTAATGAGTGGCAGTGGGTATGTGTGGTACTGTAATTGATGTGGGTGGGCTAGTTGGCAGCACCAAGTTATGTTGTCTTAGAATCACACACACACACACACGCACATTGGCTTCCACAGAAATTTTTTGTATGAATACTTTTTTTATGGTGAGAGTTCAGTTGGTAACAAAAAGTATACATTACCTTATTGCCATTTGCCTTTTTTCTCTTTTTGCAACCAAACTGTTGTGCTCTTCGGCTGTTCTGGTAAGTACATTGGAGGTAACTCTATGCAAGGGTATATTGTTGTAACCAAATTAGAAAACCGCCTAATTTGAAAGACCAGGTTGTTATGAATAAGTCCGCAATATGGGCTCCTCTAGCAACCTAAAGTGCACCTTTTCTAGACAGCTACATTTCCTTCAAAGTTTCCTATACTAAACAGAATACAAGCCATAGGCAAGGGAGGTTTATCGTCAACATATATATATATATATATATAAGAAGTATATGTTGCATCAATGTGTCAAATCACATGGTAGCACTTTATTGGTAATTGATTCCCAAAATCTTTTAACTCCTTTGCGGATAAAAAAATAACAAAAACAATCCCACACACACACACAAGTGAACGGTAGATTACCAATCAAATTCAAGCTGCATCAATAGTCACAAACGACACGTATACACATATATACACACCTGCCATAAGCATACACCATCTTACTGCATTCATACAGTGGTGATTAAATAAATCCTACCCCATCTTAATAGTCTTATACGAGTTCGCCTCTCCCAAACTTTAATCACGCACTCACACGAACACACTAATTATCGCTTGCTGCATAACTCCATTTATTTTGCCAGTGCTGTGTATACCCTCCCATCCAAAACCTAGAAGAATCATATGAGTAGTCCTACAAGCTTTGAAGATTATGAACCAGTACAAAGCACAGCCTTATCACCAAGAACAGCAGCTATGAGAAACCCTTCACCTAGTTCAAACGAAGGTGATGACGAATCAACAAATAATATTAATCAGCAACCACCAAAACTCAACAATGGAAATCGCAAAAGCAGGACCCCTTCAAATGACGTAGATGGAAATAGTCAGTATCCTTCTGACTATGTAGATAATGATTTTATGATGGATAACGAATACAACGATTATGAAGAACTAAGGAAAGCAATAATTGTCAAGAGGCGGTTGTCCAGTATCAAACGTCCGCATGGACCGTATATTGATGAACAACTAGCGGTGAACAAAAACTCAATAATGCGATTACCAACTGAAGTGTTGTTACAAATTTTCCACTATTTGGAAAGAAAAGACTGGTACTTGCTAGCTACAACTTGTAGTGAGATTGCTGATTTGATTATAGAAATGTTGTGGTTCCGCCCCAACATGCAAAGTGATTCATCTTTCAAAAAGATAAGGCAAGTAATGGAGATCAACCAATACAAGACCCATTGGGACTATCGACAATTCATCAAGCGTTTGAATTTGTCATTTATGACAAAATTAGTTGATGATAAATTACTAAACTTGTTCATTGGATGTCCAAAGTTGGAGAGATTGACCTTGGTCAATTGTGCCAAACTAACACGTACGCCTATAACTAATGTGCTCCAAGGGTGTGGAAGACTACAGTCGATTGATCTAACGGGGGTCACGGATATCCACGATGATATCATCAATGCATTGGCTGATAATTGCCCTAGATTGCAAGGATTGTATGCACCCGGGTGCGGCAATGTAAGTGAACCAACTATTATCAAATTGTTGAAAAGTTGTCCCATGTTGAAGAGACTAAAGTTTAATTCAAGCACTAATATAACCGATGCTAGTATTCAGGTCATGTATGAAAATTGCAAAGCCCTAGTTGAGATTGATTTGCATGGCTGTGAAAATGTTACTGACAAGTATTTGAAAAAGATATTCTTGGAGTTGACCCAATTGCGTGAATTTAGAATCAGCAGTGCTCCTGGAATCACTGATAAGTTGTTTGAGTTGATCCCTGATGGGTATATTTTGGAAAAACTCAGGATTATAGATATCACGGGCTGCAATGCAATTACGGATAGATTGGTGGAAAAATTGGTGGTTTGCGCACCTCGATTGAGAAATGTCGTTTTGAGTAAATGTATGCAGATAACCGATGCTAGTTTAAGAGCATTGAGCAAACTCGGCAGGAGCTTGCACTACATTCACTTGGGCCATTGTGGGTTGATCACCGATTACGGAGTAGCTGCATTGGTTAGATATTGCCATCGAATACAATATATTGATTTGGCTTGCTGTTCCCAGTTGACTGATTGGACACTTGTTGAGCTTGCAAACTTGCCCAAATTGAGAAGAATTGGACTAGTCAAGTGTTCGATGATTACTGATTCGGGAATATTGGAGTTGGTTAGGCGTCGTGGCGAGCAGGATTGTCTTGAGAGAGTTCATTTGTCATATTGCACCAACTTGAACATTGGTCCCATCTACTTGTTGCTTAAGAGTTGCCCCAAGTTGACACACTTGTCATTGACGGGAATATCAGCATTCTTGAGGCGCGAAATAACGCAATATTGTCGTGATCCGCCACCTGACTTTAACGAGCATCAAAAGTCGTTATTTTGTGTTTTCAGTGGCCACGGTGTTAACCAATTGCGCAACTACTTGACTCAGGTTATGGAAGAAAGAACATATCAAATAGATCAAGGTGATATTCATGCTTTATTCAATGAGAGAAGACGTCGGTTTTTGAATGGCGAGGCTGAGCCAGATGAGGAAGAGTTGAATATCTGGGAGCGAAGATTTGCCTTGCCCCGAGATAATCAATTGAATCAGGAAATGTTAGACATTAATCGTGAGATTTTTAGAGAATTGAATGAGGGAAACATGGGTCCTGAAGAAATGAGAGAACATTTTCAACGATTGATTCGCAATCATCACCAGCAGAGATTGCAAGAGCATAATGCTAGGATTAGAGGTAATCAAAGGCAAGGCGAGGCTCCACCACAACAGCAGCAGCAGCAGCAACAACAACAACAACATGCAACTCCTCCGCCACAACCTCGAACTGCAGTGCAACAACAACAACAACAACAACAACAACAACAACAAGCTCCACCTCAGCCGCCCCGTCCACAACCTCAGCAACAAGTACAGGAAGCTGCCCCTCAGCCTGTATTCCCACCGACAAATTTTCCAAATGATACACAGTTTTTCCATCCACATCTTAATGCTAATGCTAATCCACAGAATGCACCACAAATTGAGCAACCACCAATGTTTCCTAATCGGGTTGACCAGCATAATCAACCGCTACCAAGATTTGGCAACCAACAAGTGCAGCCGATTCAGAATCCAGGTCAACCTGAAACGGTGATTATCGATAGCGATGAAGATGTGGAAATGGTAGATGCCGTTGCCGGTATTGATGCTGATGCTGACGCCAACACTGGTGCTGGTAATTTGTTTCCAAGAATGGGTTAAACCTTCCCTTCAATCACTAGGAATTTTGGGGTTTGCATAAGCTAATGTCTTACTGATCTATATACGCAGTCTAGTCTTTTGTATGTTATAGGCCGCAATATTGCTAGTGCATGAGCTATACACAACAAAGCTGTAGGGTATATGAGGAGTATCACGAGATCATCTGGTGTATTGTGTATGCGTTAGGGCTGCAACCCTTGTTCCTGTATACAATTAACCAGTGCTAACAAAAAAGTTTTAATGTGTGCGAAAGTGGTAACAACCATACGCACAAACGAAAAAATAGTTTGATCAAAAAAAATTTCATAATAGAAAAATAACTAAAAAGAGTGTTTCAATTTTTTTTTCGGTTTTTTTAGAACTTCTTACAACAACAAGATATACAATGTATGTGGACCATTATAGAGATATATATGAGATCATTGGGATAGACGTTAAATGGAAGAATTAATGGCATAGGAGCATAGGAGCATAGGAGCACACGTATTGGAATGAGTTTTTGCGAGTTAAAATATGGACTATGTTTGAAGAAAGAAATGTTTAATGAGTTGTGATGGAATGAAGGAGTTGAAGCCAATACAGTATTGAATAATTTTCAAAGACTGATGAGAGGATTCATGGCTACTATAGCTAGGAATAGCATGGCCAACCTTATGGAGATGTAAAGGATAAGACTGGGTAGAAGACATTGACATTATTTTTCAATCACTATTCAAACGTCTTCACTACCATTGGATTCCAATGCAATAGAACAAAGCGGTTATATTCAAACTCAGTTTCCTTTATTGATGCCATATGCCTCTGTAATACTTTCAATTATCCTATGATCTTTTGATAATTATTCACCAGCACGCAATACTAACATTTTTATTTTTTAGGACTAAAAGAACAAAGAAGGTTGGAATTACCGGTAAATTCGGTGTCAGATATGGTTCATCATTGAGAAGACAAACCAAGAAGTTGGAAGTTCAACAACACGCCAAATACGACTGTTCATTCTGTGGTAAGAGAACTGTCCAAAGAGGTGCTGCTGGTATCTGGACATGTAAATCTTGTAGGAAGACTGTTGCTGGTGGTGCTTACACTGTTTCCACTGCTGCTGCTGCCACTGTTAGATCAACCATTCGTCGTTTGAGAGATATGGCTGAAGCTTAAGGTGGGGGTAAGAACAGAGTTTTGTTGAAAGGTTTATATTATTTTGAGGAGTCTTTTGTGTGTATTGTATACAATATTATCACATTAATGAAACATTAAAAAGCATTAATAGAACTGGATGGAAATGTAGTTCACTCTGTATCGAGTTAGAGATGTGGAAGTTGTCAAGATCAGATTTTTTTGGTTACTTGGCTGGTACTTATCGATAACGTTGAATGAAAAAAAAAATAAAAAAAAAAAAAAAGAAAATAGATCTACAGAAAATAAATAAAATCATGTAGAGAGTTAACACCAGGAATTACCCATGTCCACTGAACCACACTTTGAGTTTCCCAAAATACATTCATTCCCACCGTTGTATACCAAGCAGCCAAATCAAACGGTACAACAACAACAAATAGAATCATGGTGCAATATCCTTCTACAGTATTGTGAATTCTATAAAATTACGTCACTCACGATTGAAGGGGCCCCAAAGCATTCGCAACTAGCATCGTCATCATCAGCATCAGCATCAACACCAGTATCAGCACCATATACAAAGGGAGATATACCGCCCCTTTTCACCAATAAAGCAATTAACCGACAAGTCAATACTGAATTCAAAAATGTCATAATTACAAACTTGATACATTCGAAGAAGGCCGAATATATCAATCACAAGAAACCTGAATTGGGCATATTTGTGTATTGGAGGAGTATTGTTGATTGGGGTAACTTGTTATATGAGTATATCACCAATACAGGACAACAAGGAACTGTGCTTACGTTGTATGAATTGACCAAAAGTGATGATGATGATGATAACGTCAACAGTTTGCCTCAAGAGTTGCGCAATTTGGATGAAGAGTTATTGGTGAAGGTGATTAAGGATTATTTGATTAAACAGGGTAAAGCACAGCTTTTGATGAATGAATCGAACGAAATTGGTGGTGTCAAGATAGTTTAGAAGAGAGAGACAGAGCAAAAAAGGGATTTTTATGTATAAAGTGGCATTTCAGTACCGTTGATGAAAGCTAGTAATGAGAATTTCACAATCGCATTGTACTTGCAAAGTTCATATGGTCTACAAGTTAAGAACAAATGTAGGATCTTTCAAATATTCAGTTCCTGCCATTAGCCCATCACTGTGAGTCAGAATCGCAGCGATGGGCAACATCATTAGATGTCAAAGGCATATATCAAAGATGAAAAGAAACACTACTTTGCTGATTAAAAGGTACTCTTTAGATATCGTGTGTGCACAATATTGCAGTACATGGACCTCAGTATCTTTTTTAATTTTTAAAAAGAGTGTATAACTCAGCACACATATAGAACCAGTTGTCGTATAATTCCTAAATAGGAAGTTAACATTGTTTTTTGTTTTGTGTATGAGAAGAGGAAGAAATTTTTTTTTTTTTCTGTTCTTCTCAATTGAGCAAAAAGTTTATACCGATGAGATCTCTTACTTTCTTCTTCTTCTTCTTCTTCTTCCCGCTTAAATCAGTTCATTTAAGAGGGCATAGTACGACTTTATCACAACACCATACTCCTTCTTTTCCAACTTTTTTTAGATCCTTTATCCAAAAAAAATTTAATACAGAGTTTCTTTTTGGACGTGTTGACAGAATTGAATCAAGACGTGTTTTCACCATTCACTTATCCCTCTCAGGTTCCCACTTTAAATTTCTATCTTTTATTTTCCCATTTTTTGTCTTTTTGCAAATACTTAAACTATTGAATCAACTATGAAGTACGTTGTTGTATCAGGTGGTGTCATTTCCGGTATCGGTAAGGGTGTTTTGGCTTCATCTACCGGGTTATTATTCAAGACTTTGGGATTACGAGTTACTTCTATCAAGATTGATCCTTATATGAACATTGATGCTGGTACTATGTCTCCATTGGAGCATGGTGAATGTTTCGTGTTGAACGATGGTGGTGAAGTTGACTTGGATTTGGGAAACTATGAACGATACTTGAATATCACCTTGACCAAGAATCATAATATAACCACGGGTAAGATTTACTCTAAAGTAATTGAAAGAGAAAGAAAGGGGGATTACTTGGGTAAAACGGTGCAGGTTGTTCCTCATATTACCAATGCTATTCAGGAATGGATTGAAGAAGTATCGAGAATCCCTGTTGATGATACCGGATTGGAACCCGAGGTTTGTATCATTGAATTGGGAGGAACTGTGGGTGATATTGAAAGTGCTCCCTTTGTTGAAGCATTGAGACAGTTTCAATTTAGAGTTGGTAGTGGCAATTTTGCATTGATTCACGTTAGTTTAGTACCAGTTATTCATGGTGAGCAAAAGACTAAACCAACACAAGCTGCTATTAAAGATTTAAGAAGTTTAGGGTTGACTCCCGATATGGTTGCTTGTAGATGTCAAGAAGAATTGGAACGTCAAACTATTGAGAAAATTGGTATGTTTTGTCATGTCGGACCCGATCAAGTCATTGCTGTTCATGACGTTAATTCGACTTATCACGTCCCACTTTTATTAAAACAGCAAAAAATGATGAATTATTTGACTACGAAATTGACCATTGGCAAAGTTAATTCACAGGCCTTGGTTAGAGGTGAAGAATTGTTGAATAAATGGAGACAATTGACCACGGCTCATGATAAATCATTTGAAACTGTTACTATTGCATTAGTGGGTAAATATACCAACTTGCATGATTCATATTTATCAGTCATTAAATCGCTTGAACATGCGTCAATGAGATGTAATAGAAGATTGAAGATTGAATGGGTCGAATCAACCAATTTAGAAGAAGGTAAAAAGGAGGAGAATTTATCGGAATATCATAAAGCATGGCACTATGTTTGCCAAGCTGATGGTATCTTGGTCCCAGGTGGGTTTGGATCTCGTGGTATTGAAGGTATGATTGCTGCTGCTAAGTATGCTCGTGAAAACGATATTCCATACTTGGGTGTCTGTCTTGGTTTACAAATTGCCGTCATTGAATTCGTGAGAAATGTCGTTGGCATTGCCAACTCTACTTCGCAAGAATTTGATGAATACAAACAAGAAGATGGCATTCCTCCATCAGTCGTGTACATGCCTGATGTTGATCAAGTCAAATTGGGAGGAACAATGAGATTAGGTATTCATGAAACGAAATTCTCATCCGATTCACAATGGAGTAACTTGCGTAAATTATACGGTGGTTCCGATGCCGTTTATGAAAGACACAGACATAGATATGAAGTTAACCCGGAATTGATCCCTACTATTGAAGACCAAGGGTTGAAATTTATTGGTAAAGATGAATCTGATAAACGTATGGAAATGATTGAATTGGATCATAAATTACATAAATTCTTCATTGGTACTCAATATCACCCGGAATATTTATCTAAGGTATTGGATCCATCAAGACCATTTTTGGGTTTGGTTGCCGCCTCAGCTGGAATTTTGGAGGATGTTTTAAACAGAGATGACTTGAATTATAAAGGAGAGTTTTAGTAAAGGGTAAAGTGTGTGTTGAATAGATTTGAATTACTAATTTTTGATGATTAAATAAAGATTAATAAAGTTTTGCAGATTAGCTTGTAGTGTATGGCTCTAAACAAGTTGATTTGGATGGCTACAAGACAAGACGGTGGTGAAAATGTGTTGTTTTTCCAATAAGGCTATAATCAAGTGGAAGCCATGGAAATTGTTTCGCAATTGGGGACTACAGTAGTGATATGATACTGGTTCTTGTTATCTATTTGCAGTAAACGATGTTCATACATCCTAACCTCTGAGAATAGAACCCATAGCTGCATGTTTTCCTCAATATGTGCGACTAGGTTATTGCTTTTCTAAATCCTGTACATTTTCCCCTTCAAGGCTGTTTGAAGGCTTCGAACTAACATCCAATAACTTGCAAATCAAACCGATTAGAATCCAGGAACCAATTTGTCCTAGTGGCCCCATTAGATATTCGAATGGGCAAAATAAAGCCAACCATACTGTCCAAGTATTAATTAGGAAATAACTTAAAAGCAACTTCAGCTTCCGACTGATTTTACTATCCCATAATTTTGGCACTTCATTCAAGTCATCTTCATTTACAACGTGCTGATAATATAGCCGAAGAATGGCATAGGGTGCGCCCAATACCAACATACATGTGTAAGCAAACCACGGCAAGGCATACAATCCTGCTCGACTTCCAGTAAATATGTTCCTGTTTTGCTTGTGTAAAGTATAACCTCGTATTAGAAATAGGGTCACCATTGTACATGAAAACGCATACTGGAAAAAGCGAAGTTTTTGCATCATTGTGTGGAACTAGTGCTTTATTTGGATAGAAAGCTCTTGTGTACTCGTGTGCCAAACTATTAATTGAACACATTTTCTCTTGGATGGTAGCGAAGGGAAGAGGGCAAACAGAACCATTCACCAAAACTCTATTGATTGGCCAAACGCACCTAGTACCATTATTAGTTTACTTTTCTTTATTGTTGGGAGTATGCTAAAAACAGTTGTGGATGAAATCTTCGAGAGGCAGGATGGATTCAAGCTTTTCTTTTGTCCCTTTGTAATGATACATATCTATTTGAGCCAATTAAAGTGTATTGTTTATTGAGATCTAGTTGGGTCATCTACTGTTCCGTATTAGTTTCTGTTCCAAAGCTTTAAACTGTTTTGGAGATCCCTTTAGTTTTTCACTTTATTAGTCAAAGTTTTAAAAAGAATTAGCACCAATTCTACAAGAATTTAATCATTTCGCAGCCAAATTTCTATATCCTTAAGATACAAACTATTTACGTGACAAAACTAACACTTGGTCACCAAAAAGATTTAAATTGGCATTCCCATTAAGCATTCCTTCAAACTTACCATCCGATCAACTAGAACTTCAATGGTGGGGCATGGTTAATAGTTCGTGGCCCTTGCATTGAATTCGCCGCGTTTCTCTTTTATTTGTTTTTTCTTTTATTTTTATTTTTTTTTTAGTTTTGCCGCAGGAAACTAAAAATCTTTTAGTGACTAAGCATAAAAAACAATAAGAGATCTTTGTTTTCTTCAAACGGCAAAATTTTTCATGAAGTAGATTGCAGGACGCGACGTGGGTTGATAAAGAGATATGATATATTAAGTCGTAGTATTTTGGGGGGGGGACGACGCAGGCGCGTGGCAGTTACATGTAGAAAATTATTGGTACTCGTAGAGAAACGAGTGGGGCCACATGGTATGGTGTTTCTCTCTTTTGAGTTAAAGCCTTGGCCACCCAATTAAAAGCCTGATGAGGCAAAAATAAAAACATAATCATCGCAAATCATACAATTGCTACTTCTCTACTCGGCTCAAGTGCCGTCCCTTGTATACTTTCTAGAATCTAAAAATTGGGTTATGCACATGAGAGAGAAGAAGGGGGGAAGGTGGTGAGAGACGTTACAATGAATCTCTTCTACAATGCCTCCTACAGTTTTGTATTATAAACATAATAGAACATAGCCTACAATTTATGTTACAGCCTACCTTACACACTATACTCTGTATAGGATATTCTACTTGTCGTATACATCATTGTCGTATAAGTACATGTTGCGACTATTAACTGACGCGTCCTTTTGTTACATATTTGCAATGGAGGTACTATGCTACCAGATGAAATATATTTTATATACAGTACTTATATTTATATTTAACAAAAACAAAAACAAAACCAAAAACACGAAAAAATAAAAATAAAAATTAAATTAACACAAAACGAAAAATCTTTACATTTTGACCACTCCAAAAAACAAACATTTACAACTACATTGATTTTGAAAAAAAGAAGGTATTTACAGCCAACAGTCAATTTCAACAAGAAGAACATCACCAACACCATTACTATCACTACCACTACAACCACTAACAACAACAACAGCTACTGAGCTATCCTTGAACAACAGAACTACATTTACATCCTTTTATTGTCCATCTACTTATCTTTCACTCCTTTTAACTATACGCGTCCATAAACCAGTACTATCGTTAGAGAAACACAGTCATTGCAACTTCAGAAGCAGTCTCAGTACCCACGAGCTTTCTACCAACTATTATTCTATTCATTCGCTAATACATCTAACTTTTATTCACTCATTTTTTTTTATTTTTGCATGGTACTATTGAACTAACAGTTCAGCAGACAAACACCACAACAACATAAACACTACTTTACACTAGATACCACTCTGTCATAATAATAATAACAATAATAAAGATTATTATTTCCAAATGGCTGCTGTTGTTCGCCATTCTGTTTCGCGCTTTGAAGACAACGCCTTGCCATCAGACCCCATGTCATCAAACAATGTCGACAAGGTTGTTCAGTCAGTCACAAATGCCACCAAACGTTTATCACAAATATCAACCAGTACCAACACTTCATCCAAAAAGAGAAAATCACAAAACAAGATTGGCCCTTGGAAACTAGGCCGTACCTTAGGTAGAGGTTCTACTGGAAGAGTAAGATTAGCCAAAAATATCGAAACTGGCCAACTAGCCGCTATAAAGATTGTCCCTAAATCAAACTTTAAAAAATTGGAAAATCCCAAATACAAACATAAACCAGAGTCAGGAGATGGCGAAGATGACGCAGTTCAAAGATTACCCTACGGGATAGAACGAGAAATAATTATAATGAAATTAATGTCACATCCGAATATTATGGCATTATATGACGTTTGGGAGAATAAAAACGACTTGTATTTGATTCTTGAATATATAGAAGGCGGTGAGCTTTTTGACTACTTGATCAAAAAGGGTAAACTACAAGAATATGAAGCAGTCAACTATTTCAAACAAATCATCAATGGTATCAATTATTTGCATCAATTCAACATATGCCATCGTGACTTGAAGCCGGAGAATTTACTATTGGATTTCAACAAAAACATCAAAATAGCTGATTTTGGAATGGCAGCCTTGGAAGTCAACGAAAAACTCTTGGAAACCTCCTGTGGCTCACCTCATTATGCTTCGCCAGAAATAGTGGCAGGTAAGAATTATCATGGTGCTCCTTCTGACATTTGGTCATGTGGAATCATCTTGTTTGCATTATTAACGGGTCACTTGCCATTCGATGATGAGAATATTAGAAAATTACTACTCAAGGTTCAAAGTGGTAAATTTGTCATGCCTCACGAGTTAAGCTGGGAAGCAAAAGATTTGATTACTAAAATGTTGAAAGTTAACCCATTGGATCGTATAGAAATTGAATCTATCTTGAAGCACCCCTTGTTGACAAAGTATCCTGAACCTTCAACATCGTATGCGTCAACAACAACATTAGACATCAGATCCATGAACATCAAACCAATACAATCGGTTGATCAGATTGACAAGGAGATCTTGACCAATTTATCGGTATTATTTCATAATTGCGATAAAAGAACGGTGATATCTAGATTAACGTCACCAGGTAAAAATCCAGAAAAGATGTTTTATTACTTGTTGATGAAGTATCGTAATGATCATATTGCAAAGGTGGGAGCAACAGAATCATCCTCTACTCAAGTAAAAGCTGGAAGGCCAATACCGAGATCAACATCAATTGTGCATACCATCATCTTTGATGACGCAACTGGTGAACCAATAACTGAAACTACAAATGTAGAGCAAGTGGCTAAATCAAGCTCCATCTATGAAAACAAGTCATTGTTGAAATCAAAGTCATCAAAACATGTTTTGGGGAATATTACAAATACTAAAGGAAACGCTGCTGGCACAAAAGAGTTTAAAGCATCTACCTCATTCAATAGAAAAGTGTCAGCAACTCACAAGTGTAACCAGTTTAGTAGAAGCCGCAATGCATCATCACGCTCCCTCAAATCACATGCTTCAAGAGGTACAAATACACCAACTCCACCAAAACTGAATAGTCCAATTAAAGAGAGCTCAAGGAGACCACAGCAACAACCTCCTACACTAAATGAATCGGGCATTCCACAACGCTCTCCCAATAGAGCCGCTGCAAAACAAGCTAAAGTGCACAAATCCAGCAAACCAGACAATCAATCAATTTTAAAATTTGAAACTATTTTGGACGAAGTGTTTAGTGACACGCAAGATAAAGAAAATGAAGTTCCTTCAAGAGCATCGTCACAAAGGAAACGAGAAGGTGCATTGGCTCGAAAAGAACGAGAACTTGCTGAAAAAGTTCATCAAAGAAACGAGGCAAGGGAAGGCAGGCTTAGAAAAGAAGAACAGGCTAGGCGTGAGCTTGAAGAAGAACAAAAATGTCTTGCAGAGCAACAAAGAAAGCAAGAACAGAAGAGACAAGCATTAGCCGAGAAGCAGAAACTGGAAGAGAAACAAAGCTTGGAAGCAAAGCAAAGACAAGCTATTGCCAGATTAAAGAAACATGAAAGTGGAGGTGACTTTGCAGGACTTATGAAGTCGAATCGTAATTCAGGTGTTTTCCCACCACCTCCAATCCAGTCTCTGTTGGACCCCAGAAATTCAATAGCAAGAGCTAGAACATTGGGGCCTGTTCCATCAAGACGCACACTTGGCACTGCCACCAGTCCACAAGTCAATGAAAACACATCTAAAGTGTTGCACAAGTTTGGAATTGATGTTGCACCCTCGCCAAAAAAATTCACCAGTGATTTTAAAACGTCAAGTTCAAGAAATTTGGCAGCATTGTTGAGCCCATCACCATCTCAGAATATTACCAAGACTTTCAAAACATCAAGTTCAAGAAACTTGGCCGACTATTTGCATGGTGAAAATGATCCAACTCAAGACAAGAAGTTGACAGTTGATACATTTAATGAAATTGAGCATGAAAAGTTGACGCAAGTACAATCAAAAGGTACACCAAATAGAAGACAGAGTACCCAAAGCTCGTACTATAAGTCGATGCTTAATGATATTGATGAAGACAATGCTCAAGGCAAAATCAAGAGAACTCCTGCTCCTTCAATTAAAGATGAAGACCTCAATAGCTCAAGGATGTCGTTGATACCCAATCCTCGATTTTCACGTTTTTCCTTTGGTGGATTGTTGGAACCAAGAACCGTTACCAACGAAGAAGGAGACATCACTATTATGAGCCAGACTTTGAACAATTCATCTACTGTGGTTCGGAGATCAAATAAATCGTCTTCTACATTTGCAGGTTTAGGAATTAAAGTAAGAGATACGATTAAGGAAGACGACGAAGAGGAAGAAAACGAAGAAGACAAGTTTGTTTCTATAAACACCACTGCTATTGACGATGGCGACAGATCAGGAAGAGAAGAAGGCGACTATAGCTTTGATGATAGTCATTCGGAAGCAACCACAATAGATTCAGACTACTCGTATGTGGCACCAGCTGAAGCGGACAACACCATTGGATTGTTGGATGCTGATCTTTCGAATTTTGATGTTATAAGTTCGAGAACGGCAGATGTTGGCAAAGTCACCAACCAAAAGCCTAGCATTGTCAGCTCTAGGGAGACGTTGATTGCACAAAAGCACGTGTCGAATGATGAAACCATTCGAGCTGACGACAACGATGAAAATGTTGAACTTCAAAGTTCGTTTAGAGCTCATGTCAATGATGAATTTGATGCTAATGATGACTACTCACTTGCAGAAGGAACCAACGATAATCAAGGAGGAATGGAAGATGCAGGTGAGCCTGCATTCGAAAGTGATTTCAAAAGATCGAGGCTTTCAACTGGTATCTTTAGCACGGCACAATTGCCAAGAAGCCCTCATGTTCAGCTTGCCGATAGTACCGGTGATGAGACAGATCCTGTAAGGAAGAAATCGGTATTGAAGGATCACGTCATCACGAGTCCGGTGCAAGATACGTTTGGCGAGAGTAAACAACCATTATTTAGGAGGTTCTCCACCAAGGCAAAAAGAGATGCGCCAACAGTACCTGTACTTGAATCTACCCAAGAGCAAGAGCAAGTGCAACCAAAGGGACATAATCGATTTTCGAGGATCTCAGCTGGTTCGAGAAATCTATTTGACATGCATAATAAACCACCACCACCACAACAACAACACCAATCATCAACCGGAAAGAGCAATTGGTTCAAGAAATTCTTCCAATCATTGACCAGCTCCTCCAAGCCAAGCAAACCATCATCCAACACAGAAGCCAATATTAACCGATTGACCAATAGAGACATCAAAATCGTTGAATCGTCGTTAAAATCGACAGATTTGATACGACTTATCAAAGATCAAATGGAATTGAAAGAACTTGAAGGATCGGTGAATAAAGTTGGCATAGATGAGGAATTTGGATTAATTACAGGTACTGTTCCTAAAAAGTTTGCTCATGGTAAGAAACTCAAATTTAGAATTGAAGTTGTTGATTTGACCACATCGTCATCTTTGCATGTCATGAGAATGAGTGGCAATGAAAAAGGATTTGAGAATTTGGTTAAAATTGTCACGTATATTATCAAAAAGGAAGAACAAAAGACTTCCCGGGGCTGAACAACTTGCAATCTATTTCTTTAGACTTTATACACTTTTATATAAATATAAAAGCTTTTTATCAGCAAAATCTAGAACAAAGCACACACTAAAGCACACGTCTTTAATTCCTCAAAGCTCGTAATCTTTCCGCCAATTTATCTTCCTTTTCCTCCAGGATTGCCGTTGAAGACACAGGACTCTGCACTTCAACCTGTGTCGCATTCAACCCCTGTTTCATTTCAATACCAGCTTCATCAGCAACTTGATTCAACAAATCATCAACTTGGTCCTGCGGAGTCGTGACAGCATTTACATTATTGGTCGTTGCTTCGTAATAATTCGTAGCTGAGTCCAAATCCTCAAATTGATTCTCGAATTTATCCATAACTAAACTTATTCGTTCCAAATTCATCGTTTGTAACGCTTTATCCATGCCCCTGATCACTTGCGTCATGTTGCCCGTGACTGATCGCATCGTGACGGCAGTCTGGACACGTGATGCCACAGCATCAATACGCGAACTTAATCGTAATAGGTTCACCCGTTCATTGGCTTTGCGTATGGCGTTCTGGGCGTAGAGTTGAGCTATATCGTTGTTGCCTTGAGTTAAGGCTTTTTTGATCTTGGCTTTTTCTTGTTGTTCCTCCTTGGCCGCTTTTGATGCTTGTCTGTTGAGCTGTTTGGCAGTGAATTTAAGCTGGAATAATGATTGCTCTAAACCGGACATCTTTTTTTTGGAGCGTTGATATGTGTGATTGTCTGGTGTGGATTAGGCTTTTTCGTTGATAAAGATGTTCTATATTCTCATTGTTTTTTTATTCTTTTGCGCCAGAATGGCAATGTCGGGGTTTTCAATCAGTGTCGTAAATGTTTTGTATGCGACAGTGCATTCAGTACTAAATCAAGTGTTAACTGTACGTGCTGCATGAGTTGCATTCACTAGTAGAGGCAACTCAGGAGACTGTTCTGTCTAAAATCTTCGGGGTTGAAGTGTGTGACCAGACAAGTATGGGGATCTTCTATGTTGTGGTGCCGGCAAAAGCTTTTTGCCTATTGTTTAAGATATCAAAACACCCCACGTGAAGTCAAACAAACAAAACACTTCCAATTTTTCTTTTGGTGAAAAATGTGTTACAAATTGCAAAATTCCAGTGTTGTTCTTCTTTCTCATCAAAACCACCTATTACTACCCGACAATGTCCGCTCCTTGTAGCTGCAAACACACAGAATCTACTGCTTCACCAGCCATCTCATCAGCTTTATCCCCCGAACTTCAAAAGGAGTTTCAAGACCCTCAACATCCAGCTAATTTGATTTGTGAATTGTGTCGATTATTCTATGACAACAACTGGGTCACTGGAACCGGAGGTGGTATTTCCATAAGAGACGTTGATGGAGCAAATCCAAACTTGGTCTACATTGCTCCCTCTGGTGTTCAAAAAGAGAGAATACAACCATGGGAAATGTTTTTAGTCGAGTTACCCAACGAAAAGTTGTTGCGTACCCCAAATGATGTTCCCGAAGAATTGACCAAGAAATACAAATACAAGCCAAGTGCATGTACTCCTTTATTTATGAGTTGCTATAAAATGAGAGATGCTGGAGCTTGTATCCATACCCATTCACAAAGTGCCGTGATGGTTACTTTATTATTTGAAAACAAAGACTACTTTGAAATCAGCCACATTGAGCAAATTAAAGCATTGCCCAAATTGAAATATAATGAAGAATCGGGCAAAGTGGAAAAAATCGGAAGCATGGAGTATTTTGATAAATTGATTATCCCCATTATTGAAAATACACCCCATGAAGAAGATTTGACTGATTCATTACAAGAAGCAATCAAGAATTATCCAGGAGCATCAGCTGTATTAGTTAGGAGGCACGGGATATACGTTTGGGGTGAAACTGTGTGGAAAGCTAAAGTTTACAACGAAGCAATTGATTATTTATTGGAATTGGCAGTCAAGATGCACCAAGCTGGGGTTCCTCTAGTTAAAAGTTCATAGAAGCTGTAAAGTTGAATAGTCGCATTCAAGTGGTGGTTTTTTTGTTAAAGTGGGTTTTTTGTAGTTTTGAGTGGAGATCCTTTCATATCCATCCAATTGATTTTGGAATAGGTGTCATCATCAATCTCTCCAATGCAGACAATTTCATTACCTCTCATGATATTTACACCACTCGGTATTGCTTCATTAGCTTGATTTGAACCTTTCACTGTGTATATTATTCGTTCGATGCTATTGCTGAGTATTATATTGGTGTTTTTATCGAATCCTTCTAGTACTCCTTCAAAAAATCGGGCATCGGTAGTTATAACGTGGACTTTCTCTATACAGTGAAGTTAGTAATTATTTTGAAGTTAGACATGGCGAGGATTGTGTATACATACTACCTACAAAGGATACGAGTTCTGTCATCTGTTGTGTATTTAATTGTGGTTTTGTATCTGACTGAATTGATGTTGATGTTGTGTGTTGCATGGTGCTTTCTTTTTTTTTATTTCTGTTTATTTATATTTTCTTTTTTTAGTTCGTTTTGCATCAACTTTTGTTGAGAGAATCCAAGCTGCTGCAAAACAACAACAGAGCAGATTGAGTGTTGAATAAAAGCTACTTTTTAGCTTAGTCAACTAGGTAGATGAAATTAGGCAATACCCCAAAATAGTTAGGAAAGTTTAGGGAGATTTTACCGAGAGAAAATCCCAAGTCCATTTATGCTACGTCATTTAATGATTTCGACAGTATTTGAGCCAGCAACGCAGTCATCACTACCATGAAAGCTCAGAAGCTTGACGCTAAGACATTAGAGAGAGAAAAAATCACAAGAAAAAGACAACCGTGAGTATAGCTTTAGAAGTGGTTGTTTTGACAGAACGTGTTGCTATGAATCAAACTTGGAATAAGTAAACCCGCTAAAGGGGGTCCAAATTCAGTAAAGTCTAGAAAAACAGAAAAAAGTAAGTTGTGCTGTCTCAAGATCAAGTGAGACTGATTAAGAGCTAATGTGGGAGGGGGAGGGAGGGGGTAGAATGAACAAGTGACAAGGAGCCATATCAATCGGGTGCATTATAGAAAAAGATCTGGGAAGATTGACTTTTGGCTACAAGCTATGTCAATGTAGCCAGCGCTCATCTACCAAGTTGAAAGAACTATACAATCGGACACGGAAAAGAAATTACGTCGACTACAGCTTGAAATACCAGAGCTGTTATTACCACGCAAGATGCAGTTCACTGACAAGTAATATTTTTGGCTTGAGGATTCTAATAATATCAGAGGCATCAAAGTAGGTGTATTACGCTACCATCTCAAGTTGTGAGACACAAAATCGATAAGAAAAATATTTTGCGAGTTTTTCTTCTGGGGGAACGTAATCAAAGCAAGTTAAAGCGCCAGCTTTGGCAATGTCTACGTATGAGACTTTTCACTATGGACACCTAAACACATGTTGCACTATTTAAAAATTTTGAGATTCCTATTGAATACGGCAAGCTAAATTCTCGAATTGAAGTAAATTCGACTATGGTGTATGCTCAGCACCTGGGGCGAAGAGCCATTGAAGAAAGAATGAATGAATGCATCTCGGCGTTAAAGGAAGAATAAAATTCACAGCTTATTTTCCAGTGGGGTGGGGGGTTCTGTGATTCGAATAGTTGTTTGGGTGAAATTATAGGAAACTATGTGCCAAGTTTACTACTTAATCAAGATTGATTTAATTTTAGGAAAGTAAACGGACGCTGATTTAAACCATGGGGGGACCAACATTGAATTCACTTCTTACCTCAGGTCAGCACTCATTTGTACCAAAACTGATAACTATCGCCAGCTTACCCTATGATGTGTTGCAAGAAATTTTTAATCATACCAACCAACATCAAGCTTTGGCCCTAGCACCAATGCATTCAAATTTGCAAGACGTAATCAAGAGAAAATCGTACAAAAATATATACGTTTACAGGTCAAGAAAAAGATGTACTGACCACGATGGAAGATTTGCGAGCGCCGTTAGTGGTATATCCCTTCATCACCCCAAGAACATTAACAACAGGAAAGGTAATATGCATACTATAATTTCGTTGGATACATTAGAGCGGTATTTGGCAAGAATGGACGCGCAGCAGGAAATTTACCTTTTAGAATTGATTGACCATCATTTGGTCATAGATGAGTGCATTTTAAGACATTTCAGACACTTGAGATATTTGAAGTTGGGAAACAGCTGTTCTTTTTGCTATGATGACTATCCGTGGGAGCTTTTTAGTTCCATAGCAAGGTACATAAAGTGTTTGGATGTAACCACTATACTTATACTGAATGTCCTTGGGACAGGAGAACTCGAAGTTGATACCTATATTGTCACGGAGAGGAAGCTCCATTATCTTGATGAAGAGGAGCCTTCGAGATTAGTGGGTCAAATATCAAACCTAAGTACATTATACATCACCGAAATCGATACAATTAGAAATATGAGCTTTTCATTAGATTTGAACCTACGCAAATTGTGCTTGTGCCAGGGCTCTATTACAGGGGGCAAGTTTTCAATTAGCAGTGCTTTGAACACCTCAGATCTTCAAGAGCTATACATCTTGGGTTCGATAGGGATAGAAACTACTGGATTCGATGCTGAAAATTTGGAACAAGAGTTCCCAAAGCTTTTGCAGCTTGGTCTTGACCCGACCAATTACCTATACTTTGTTTTCTCTATGCATGCCTCAAGAAACAGGGTCCATAATGTGTTGAAACTGCTAGTGATGTCACAGCTGTCAGTAGGACCGGATACCTCAAAACTTCAAAGCCCTTAACTTGTGTCAGCATAAGATAACGTTTCCACCTAGTTAAATGAGAAATACGTTGTACCAAAACAAAACCTGAATCGATACCTCCACGTGTTTGTAGGAAAAGGTAAGCAGTTCACCCCCACTAATACCCGAATCTGTGTATATCCAAGTAACTCTTCCTGTTGAGTGTCTTCACGATATGGAACTAAACACTGCTTTTGCAATTGTTGTTTCCTTTGTCTAAGTGACGGGTTTGTTGTTGTGTCATTAATGAATTTCTTTTTTTTTTTCCCTTTCTTTAATTAAGTTAAGGTTTAATTTTTATTTTTTATTTATTTTTTTTGACTTCTTTTACTATTCCTCAATTTTCGCAGCTTTCAAAGGAAGAGCAGAAGAAGAGACTGCAACAATTTTTCTAGTCAAGAATAAAACAATTCGCTCAACAAAAGTACTCTTGTCTAGGACAGAAACATATCACAAACTCAAGCATAAGCTCACATTTGTTAAAAGGTTAACTCAAGCAACACACAAGCTTTACAATTTGCCTATGACTGAAGAAAAGAAAATCGAGCAGACAGGCCTAGAGTGCTATGACTCAAGCTCATCACCACAGCCCACACATGAAAAACAAGGTTATTGGTCTTCATTTAAAGATTCATTCAAACCACCAATAGAAGAAAGCCGAACACAGAAGATTGATGATGATGTTGTGGATGAGAAAGCACCTTTGACCGATGTGCAAAAGATTAATATCAATTCGGCCAACCAGAACATGCGCCGTGAGTTGAAAACACGACACTTGCAAATGATTTCAATAGGGTCAAGTATAGGTACCGGTTTGTTTGTGGGTACCGGTAGTGCACTAAATACAGGTGGTCCTGCAGCCATTATTATAGCCTGGTTCATCACAGCCACCGCGGTGTTTTCAACAATGCAAGGATTAGGTGAGTTGGCTACAACATTTCCTGTCAGTGGTAGTTTTAACGTATTTGCCAGTCGATTTGTTGAACCAGCGGTGGGGTTTGCCGTGGGATGGAATTATTTTTTACAATACTTCACTTTATTACCGTTGGAGTTGGTGGCCGCAGCAATTACTATACAATATTGGGATTCAGGGGTCAATTCAGATGTTTTTGTAATCATATTCTGGCTAGCAATTACCTTTATCACTCTCTTTGGCGTGAAGGCTTTTGGCGAAGTTGAGTTTGTTCTATCAACGCTCAAGATATTGGCAGTTATTGGGTTTATTATATTGGGGATCGTTTTAATTTCCGGTGGTGGTCCGACTCATGAATTTGTTGGTGGGAAATATTGGCACAATCCTGGGCCATTTGCTGCAGGGTTTAAAGGTGTTGCCTCATGTATTGTGACAGCTGCATTTTCTTACGGTGGCACTGAGATGGTTGGGTTGACAGCAAGTGAAACATCAAATGTCCGTCAATCATTGCCAAGAGCCATTAAACAGGTATTTTGGAGAATTGTGCTTTTTTATTTTGGTTCACTAACCATGATTTCTTGCTTGGTTCCTTACAACGACAAGAGGCTATTAGGACTGAGTTCAGTAGATGCATCTGCTTCTGCTTTTACAATTGCCATTGTTAATGGAGGTATAAATGGATTACCAAGTGTAATCAATGCTGTGATTTTGGTTTCGGTATTGTCGGTTGGAAATACTGCTGTTTACGCCACTTCGAGAACTTTAAAATCCTTGGCTGAACAAGGAATGGCCCCAAAGTGTGTTGGGTACGTTGATCGTGCTGGTAGGCCAATTGTTGCCATCGGGATTACCAATGCCTTTGGGTTGTTTGCCTTGATTGCTGCCAACGACAATGCTCAAGAGTCGGCATTCGACTGGTTATTGGCCATATCAGGATTGTCATCGATTTTTACTTGGATATGTATCAACTTGAGCCATATTAGATTTAGAGCAGCTTTGAAATCGCAAGGAAGAACCACTGATGAATTACCATTCGTGGCACAATCAGGAGTTTTGGGATCATATTATGGACTAGTACTTAACATTTTATTCCTCATTGCCCAATTCTGGATTGCATTATTCCCGTTGGGTGAACCACCAAGTGCATACAATTTCTTTTTGAACTATTTGGGATTCCTCGTTTTAGTTGTGTCTTGGGTGGGTTACAAGATTTGGAAACGCAATTTAAAATTGTATTTGCCAATTGAGGAAATTGACATTGATACTGGACGTGCCGAAGTCGATACAGATTTATTGAAACAAGAAGTGGAGTTGGAGAAGGCAGAGTTGGCGAAAAAGCCCTTGTATATAAGGTTTTATAGATTCTGGTGTTGAAGAATTGGTCACAGGTTAATAATACAAAAGTACACTTGTAGATGGCACCTAAATGTGGAATGTATTATAAGGAGTACTCAAGAAGGCAGTGTCCACTTCTGTATTTCAATTTCATTCACATATCTTTCGTGTTATGATACATCTGTGTGGCAAAAATTTGTTGCAAAAAAAAAAAACGCAAAGTCCACAATGTTGTATCAACCACACACACACACACACACCAAATATGAAAGCTAGGTCAAGCAATGCCCCTGCAAGCAACACTGACTACTCCAGTGAGCCTGAATTGCTCTTTTCAATGCTAAATGGAAAGCCATACCAGTCACAAGACACTGAAAGGTCTACTCAAATGAAGTTGCATCAAGAGTCTGCCACTTTGATTCAACATGCTGCAAGATTAGAACTAGAATCAATCACCTTGAAAGAAAGTATTGAGACGGCTAGTGACAGTTTGAAAGAGTTTCCCAAAGAAGGTTTAAGGGAGTTGTCTGTCTCAATGAAAGCTATCAAGAAGGACCTCGCTTTAATCAAGACCAAGATTAATCTCAATCACAATCTTTTACAGAAAGGGCTTGACAGGGTGGCTCCAAGTGCAGACATAACAAAGTTGATTGAAAAATCAACAACCAATCAAGAGAAACTATGTGTGATTGTGGATAAGGAAATACAAACACTAAATCAGTCAGTCAAGAACGTGTTGTTCCAAGCTGATTCAATTAAGGATACACAGTCACACCAGAACGATGCCGTGAGAAACATAGCAACCCGATTTGAAGCTCTAGATTGTGACATTAAGGACATAAAGCAATTTCTTAGTCTTTTGGTACCGCGATTGATCTTATTGGAGAAACTGTTTGTACCACATCTTTCACAATTGGCAGCCCCACTGCAGATGCCAGATGATGATGACAACAACGATGCACAAACAAAGCTGAAACGGCGAAGATTGGAATGAGTTGGGGGTTACTCTTTAAATAATCTCGGAAGTTAAAAAGGAGTATGAATCTTTGTGCTACAACAGCGGAAAGCAAAAGTGGCAAGTGAATTGAATAGATGAGAGGTTCTAGTCCGAAATGGGCAGGAAACAGAAAAGAAGAAGGCATTTTTACGGTCTTAATATGATGTCAAGTTTTGTGTAATTGCGATCTCATCTTCAACCGTTTATTTGATACATACAAAAATTTCTTTTTTTCTTTGGTCTTTGCTTTTTGCAACTCAAGGCATTTTTGCAATTTTATTTTTCTCTTGGCGCAGAGGTGACGGTGTTAGTTTCTTTAAATGATTGAATAAGATTTTTAAAATATACAGAGCCTAATTAAGCATAGGTAAGCATATTTCTCAGTACGCCGATGCCAGATGACTCATTTTCAACAAGTTGCCTTTCACACCTCTATATAATGGCTTTGGATTTCCCATGACGCATTAAATGAAATCTATTTTTTCACTCTATTAGAGGCCAAAGGCCGATGCCTATGTAAATATTCGCTCTTTAACTTTTTGATCTTCTCTTCCCACTTTATAAAACTCTCGTCATCATCGTTGTCACCATCGCTATGAATCCCGAAAAGAAATCACTGGAGTCAAGCTTGGTCGTTGATGACTCAACTTTATCTCCAACAGATCAAAAGCAAAGTATATGGACCTCATTCAAAGATTCATTCAAACCGGCTATACAAACCGACCACACATTGAAAATCAACCATGACCCAGCAGACTTGGAGAAATTGACTGATTTGGAAAAGATCAATCTCAACTCAGCCAACTCGAGTTTGCGTCGAGATTTGAAAGCACGTCACTTGCAAATGATTTCAATAGGGTCAAGTATAGGTACTGGGTTGTTTGTTGGTACCGGAACGGCATTAAACACAGGGGGGCCTGGAGCTATAATAATTGCTTGGGTAGTTACTGCTACTGCCGTGTTTGCTACGATGCAAGGGTTGGGTGAATTGGCAACAACGTTCCCCATCAGTGGTGGATTCAATGTATATGCTAGTCGATTTATCGAACCTGCTGTGGGATTTGCAATTGGGTGGAATTACTTTATGCAGTTTTTTGTCTTGTTGCCCTTGGAATTAGTAGCGGCTGCAATCACAATCCAGTATTGGAACTCAAGTATAAATTCAGATGTGTTTGTGATTATATTTTGGGTCGTTATTACCTTCATCACCATGTTGGGAGTCAAGGCATATGGTGAAGCCGAGTTTATATTTTCAACAATAAAAGTCTTAGCCGTTATTGGGTTTATCATATTGGGGATCGTTTTAATTTCCGGTGGTGGTCCGACTCATGAATTTGTTGGTGGGAAATATTGGCACAATCCTGGGCCATTTGCTGCAGGGTTTAAAGGTGTTGCCTCATGTATTGTGACAGCTGCATTTTCTTACGGTGGCACTGAGATGGTTGGGTTGACAGCAAGTGAAACATCAAATGTCCGTCAATCATTGCCAAGAGCCATTAAACAGGTATTTTGGAGAATTGTGCTCTTTTATTTTGGTTCACTAACCATGATTGCTTGCTTGGTTCCTTACAACGACAAGAGGCTATTAGGACTGAGTTCAGTAGATGCATCTGCTTCTGCATTCACTATTGCAATTATCAATGGGGGTATTAAAGGATTGCCAAGTGTAATCAATGCCGTCATTTTAATTTCAGTTTTATCAGTAGGAAACGCTTCGGTTTACGCTACATCAAGATCATTGAACTCATTGGCTGAGCAAGGAATGGCACCTAAATGGATGGGATATGTTGATCGTGCTGGTAGACCATTAGCTGCTATCGGAATCACCAATGCCTTTGGGTTGTTTGCCTTGATTGCTGCCAACGACAATGCGCAAGAAGCAGCATTCGACTGGCTACTTGCATTATCGGGACTCTCCTCAATTTTTACTTGGATGAGTATCAACTTGAGTCACATTAGATTTAGAGCAGCTTTGAAATCGCAAGGAAGAACCACTGATGAATTACCATTCGTGGCACAATCAGGAGTTTTGGGATCATATTATGGACTAGTACTTAACATTTTATTCCTCATTGCCCAATTCTGGATTGCATTATTCCCGTTGGGTGAACCACCAAGTGCATACAGCTTCTTTTTATCGTACTTGGGATTCCCCGTGATCTTAATTTCTTGGATCGGTTACAAGATTTGGAAACGTAATTTGAAGCTTTATTTGAAAGCAGATGAAATAGACATAGATACTGGTCGTGCTGATGTTGATTTAGATTTGTTGCAGCAGCAATTGGCTGAAGAGAAAGCTGAGTTGGCAGAGAAGCCATTTTATTATAGACTATATAAATTCTGGTGTTGATATAAAACACACTGTAACTGCATATAAAGTTCATAAATCTTTCATATCGTAAGTTAAACAATTTGGCGAAAAAAAAAAGTCAGAGAAGTCTGCAAAAGAGAGAGAAGAGGCATAGACGACATCAGAAGTTATCTCCATCATATTATATGAACATGACTCAGGATATAAAACTAGAAGAGAAGCTAGAGTATATTTCAATCAACGATAGCTCCCCCGAAGACCAAGAGCCGATCATCCCACATGAACGACAAATTGTGGATCAGGTCATTGCTATATGGAAAGAAGATCCATCAACTGAAAATCTTGGGATCGCCAAGCTTCACGCATTAGTCAAGCAGAAACACCCAAACTGGACAGTTTCCGAGAAGAGAGTCAAACAGTTGTTGAAAAAATTTAGCCTTTTAAGCAGTCAAGAACAATTCACCTATGCCAAGGACATTAAATCTGAATTGACACCTGATATTGAACTCCCGCCTAAAGTCCAAGTAGTCATGACTTCGAAACGAGGTAAATGTTTGTATGCGAAAAAGCCTATAAATAAAGGAGAGTTGATTTGGAGTGAAGCTCCATTATTTTTCGTGCCACCGTTGGCTAATGTCCATTTGGTTGAACATGGATCTGCTTGTGCAAATTGTGGCAAGCTATTACAACAAACTGAAATGAAAACTGTACTAAAAGGGTTGGATTGCGACGTTTGTTCTGAAGTTTGGTGTTCGAAAAATTGTAAACAAATGGACTCCCAGTTGCATGGTGCATTGAAACACAATGTATTCAATCCTAATTCGAAAAAACCGAAAGTTGTTGACTCGAATGCGTTTTTGGAGATGCAAGAGTACTGTTTGAAAGAATCATGGAATGCGTTGTTTGCAATTACGTTGATCTATGCTAATGTCTTATTGGATAAACTGGGCGTTAAACAAAAACAGTTTAATGCTATGGCAAGAGTATCTCAAGATGTGAGGTACAAGGCGTTGGATGCTGGTGGTGGTACGTTTGACAATATGAACGGTGGTGCGTTATTTGTTCAAGAACAACAAGAGACATTGTGGAAGGAAGGATACGAAAAGCTTCTTCGAGCTTTCCCCAAGAATCCTATTTCGTATAAAGAATTTTTATACATGATGGGCACATATAATATTAATAATCTTGATTCAAATGTATTTTTAACCCAATCACATTTGAATCACAACTGTGACCCAAATACTACTGTCGACACTGCCCTGGACCGGGTCTCCGGGTTGAAAGTGTTTGCCAAGAGGGATATTAGAGAAGGCGAAGAGTTGACTACAACTTATGTCAATCCTAGCCACACTCTTAATCAAAGACAACGAGAATTGAGAGTCAATTGGGGATTCATTTGTGCATGTGAAAAGTGCAAGAGCGATGCAAAAGCAACGGAACGGAGAAAATCCTCATCATCCTCAAAAAAACAGGATACAAAGAGCATTAGAAACATGTTGAAGGAGACCAAGGAACAAGTTGGCGATGGTGGAATAGAGTTGCAGATTCCTAACGAAATTGGTGGTGATGGAGAGCGTAGGAAATCCGTCAGATTTGATGAAACTGTTGTTGCTGTTGGCAATTGATGTAGTGCGGTGTATAGATGCATGTGTACATAGAGCTTTGGTATTGGGTTAACTTATGCATACGATTCTAACGTTTTTTTTTTTTTTTGATAAAACCAGTAATTTAACCGAATGGTAGGAATTGAGAAGAAAAAAAAACATAAAAATTAAAAATTGAAAAAAAAAGAATCGCTGAAGGAAAAGAAAACGAAAAACTATCATTTTACCATTTTCATTACACATACACAAACATATAAACAACGTTTAGACAATAATGGATGCATACGAGGAAACGAATTACATCGATGGTGGTCAAGCACCTAGATATGACGAAGACCAACCTGGTCTTGAAGGATCGACACATATACCTTCTCATCTAAGTAACCATGATGAGCTAGAGGAATCGCTACTGCACCACCACCACCATCTTGAACACGACAACGATAACGACGACAACCAAGTAGATCCGGAAGGAGAGCAAGAAGAGCAAGAAGAAGTAGAGTATGATGAAGACGAGATAATACCTTCACACCAAACAATAGTTGACGAATCGGAACTTCTTGCAGCTCAAGCGGCAGCTGAAGCCGCAGCCGCTGCTCAACAACAAGAACCCGGTGATGTTTTCAACAATGTAGCGCAAGGATTAGACGGTCCTCATCGTGATATGATGATGCAATATTGGCAAGAGACCATCAACTCTATTGAACATGACGAACACGATTTCAAGAATCATCAATTACCATTGGCGAGAATCAAAAAAGTGATGAAAACCGATGAAGATGTACGCATGATTAGTGCTGAAGCACCAATCTTATTTGCTAAAGGGTGTGATATATTCATTACGGAGTTGACTATGAGGGCATGGATCCATGCTGAAGAAAACAAGAGACGTACGTTGCAAAAGTCAGATATTGCTGCTGCTTTGACCAAGAGTGATATGTTTGATTTCTTGATTGATGTAGTGCCGAGAGAAGAGGAGAAATCGTCAAAATAGGTGGTGGGGGATAAGTCAAAAGGTTTGAAGTTTTTTTTTTTGTCTTTTTGTTTTGTTGAATTTTTGTATTATTAAGTACTGTTTGAGGGAAAAAACAACTATTTTCTTCTAGGAAGTGGATACATGTATGTTGTGATAATTTTCTAGAGTCAGTTAAGTGTAGAGCTCTTTCCTGAAGGGTAGTGTGCGTTTTTGGGGTGGTAGACTCTTGGCTGCGAAAACTATACGAGTACACATCCACCTAGTAACAGCCAATGCATGTTGTCTATTCTGCCATGGGACATTTTGCAAAACAATGTCTTGCTTCTAGCACTTGTGCACTTGACGATAACAGGGCTCTTTTGTCTAATCGTGTGGCCTGTATTGAGGTGAAATCAAAAATGTATTCTCTACAACAGCTAAAAGGATTAATGTTTATGTGTGTATGGATGTTGCAAAACAGTGTTTTATCGTTCTTCACCATTAGTACACTACCTTTCTGTATTCTGTATGTATATGTTGCATATTGCTTGTCGCATATGTGCGTCGTGTAAAAGTTACCAAATGGCGCCACACATGGACAAGTAATAACCCACACACACCTCTCAACCAATTGCTGCTTGTCTAACCAATTTCCACGGTTTTTTTTTCTTTACAACTGAGGTCTTACTTTCTTTGCTTATTTTCCTAGTGCAGCTTTGTTTCTTGATTTATCAGAAAGTGTGTTAGTCATTTTCTATCCCCCACTCTAGCAAACATATATATCTCCTTATTCCGAAACACCAATTTATTTTTTTTGTTACTTCTTTTGATTGCTATTAACAAATTACATCATACAAAAATATATACTTACCATTCAATATAAATAGAACATCAATTGACTAATTCAACAACCTTTCAACAACCGTCCACTCCTTTTCCCCTTTTTTCTTTTCTTTTTCTTTTTCTTCTCCATGTTGAACAAACTATCTTCAACAGCAATACTAAAACTACCAATAAGAACAAGAGCTATATTTACTACTCAATCCTTGTTGAAGTCAATTACTGTTAATTCTACTATTTTTACTCGATCTTTGTTTTACAACTCACACTTCAACGATAGACGCTATAAACAAACACCTGCAAAACTTACATCACTTACTTCTAAAATGACATTAATTACCATCTCACAATCATTGGACGAAGCTTTCACCAAGAACAAGATTGTTCCTGATGTTGTTGACGATTTTGAAACTCAAGGATTATTATCAATTGAATATGGTCCTACTGAATTGGTCACGTTGGGAAACACTTTGCCTGTTTCTGGTACCCAAGAACCCCCCAAAATTCAATTGACGTTAAATTCCCCCACTGAAGACGGTAAGATTGAGTCAATTAACGAAGGAGACAAGTTTATTTTGGTCTTGACTGACCCTGATGCACCTTCAAACACCGACCACAAGTGGTCAGAATATTTGCATTGGTTAGTCACTGATATTGAATTGCCTCATTTAAAGACTGAATCGGGTGAACCGGAAATCAGCCATTTTATTGATGCTTCTCAAGGTAAAGAAGTGTTCAAATATGAAGGCCCTGGACCACCACCAAAGACTGGTAAGCATCGTTATGTGTTTTTGTTGTTTAAGCAAGACCCCAAGATAATTACTTTTGAAGCACCTAAAGATAGGCCCAATTGGGGAACTGGAACTCCATCTAGTGGAGTTAGAGATTTTATTAATGCACAAGCACCAGGATCAAAATTGTTGGCTGTTAACTTTTTCTATGCTCAAAATGAAGATAACTAGAGGAGTAGGTGTAGTATTACGTTGGGTCCGTTTGACAATATATAAATAAATTGTTTTATTTTCAATTAAAAGGATTCTCTGTAGGAAGCCTATACTCTTATATATTCTTGGCTGCTCGACTATAATCTTTGGGACTTATCACCAACCCTTTACCTTTTCTTGCGCCACGATAAATCGTTTCAATAATATCAATCAATTCTTGTTTATCATAAATGGGGAAATTCAATTTATTATTATTGCCCGTGCCAAAATCACACAAGATATGTTTATTTCGATAAAAAAACATCAATGTATACGGCTCGAGTTTATTTTGATCCAATTCATACATAATGTTAAAATCAGGCACTTTATCAAGATTGACTAGGTAAATGACTGCAAAATTTTTAATCTTGTCGGCGATGGAGTAGAGTAATTCATCAACTATCATGCACGGAGTCTCTTCTTCTCGGCCGAAACGGAGGACTACGACTCGATCGTCTTCGGAGAGGATTGCTTGGTCGACGTGCCAACCTGTACGTAAATTGGGAAGGAATACTGAACCCATTTGTTTGCTCTATGTTTTGTTTTGAAACTGGAAGGGGGTATATTTGATATATGGAGGTGGTATTTTATCTCAAAGGGGGAGTGGATGGATATGTAAGTGAATGCTATGTTGGCTTCTGGTGGTCGTATGGCGATGACGTATTGTAGAACTGCTTCTGATGATTTTTGCTTTTTGCTGTTGCTTTGTGCGATGATGAGCGGTAAGGACCAACGAGGTAGCGCCCTCTTTCAACTTTCAAAATTTGAGCATGAGGTTGCAGAGAATTTTATAAAAAGGTATAGCTATGCAAGGATTGCTTGCAGAGTTGCAAGTCTAGACCAAATCATTGCTTGTTCGGATATCCCTTCTGGCTCACGTATATAAGCATGATATTTCTCTCAAAGCTTTCAAGTAATTCTTATTTCTTCTCTACTTCATTTTACCACTTTACACTACTAATCATGTTGCAAGATATCAAAACCAAACAGCAATTTGCTTCCGCTTTGCAATCGCAATACCAGTCCTCGGAAACTGGCTCCAGAAAGACTGCAACTGGGGTTAACCCTGACGCTTCATCAAGAACCAAGATCCAATCTGAAGCAATGGACATGGCTTCCAACATTGGGTTGGGTAACAAGAGCTCCTCTTCTTCGGGCCAACAAGACCACGTCATTGTCGTTGATTTCTTTGATGATTGTGACCATTGCTCTCAAATGAATTCCAAGTTGGATGAGTATTCCAACTGGTACCAAAATCAAGCCAAACCGGTTGATTTTTACAAGGTGAACATCGATGATAAGGAACTGAAGTCGTTTGCTAGTGAATATTCGATTAATTCGATCCCCACGACTTTGTTTTTCAAGAGGGGTAAATTGGTTGATAAAGTTGTTGGATCTGAACCTGCTGAAATCAAAAAGGTTTTGGATAAAGATTTGTTGTAGGTGAGAAGGGGTTTGCTTTGGGTTGTAAATGTGCTTTCAACTCGTAGTTTATGTTCATTCTTGGGGTGTTGTTCTTTCACTCAATTTCGGTTTTATTATTTTGGCAGCTTCTCTTCAGTTTAGTTTTTCGTAACATATAGTGAAAAGAAAGAAGGCATATATTTTTACCAATGTGCTTGCTCAATACTGCCAGTATTTTGTTATATAGTTTTTGGTGGTTGCAAAATGAAGCTATGTAAAGTTGAAATATGGGGAAAGTGTAAATTACACAAACTTTGCTTCACAAAACCATCGCGATAGCTTTGACCAAAAAAAAGAAAGAAAAAAAATTTTTTGTTTCAATTTAGTTTAAACAAAAGCAGACCAAAGATACTCCCCGCACGTCTACCGATAACTCACAATTGCACAATAGCCCAACCATGACTGAGATTAACTTGGGTATTACCGCTGATATGCACGTACACTTGCGTGACGGCGCCATGTCTAAATTGATAACCCCAACCGTTCGTTCAGGAGGGATTGCCATTTGTTACGTGATGCCTAATCTTGTTCCCCCCATCACCACCAAGCAACAAGTAATCGACTACCATGCACAACTCAGCACACTCGCCCCGGAGACGACATTTTTGATGAGCTTGTACTTATGTAAGGAATTGACTCCGCAATTGGTTGATGATGTGAGTCATTTGATTCATGGTATCAAGTGTTATCCTGCTGGTGTAACGACGAATTCGGCTTTGGGTGTAGACCCCAATGATTTCAGTTCATTTTATCCTTTGTTTGAAGTAATGGAAAAGAGGGGTTTAATTCTTAATATTCATGGTGAAAAAGCTTGTTTATCAAAAGAAGAAGAAGCTAGAGGTAATGTTGACGATGAAATCAATGTCATCAATGCTGAGCCCAAATTCCTTCCTGCGTTGCGTAAATTGCATGCTGATTTCCCCAAATTGAAGATTGTGTTGGAACATTGTACCACGCATGAATCAATAGCGTTGATTCGTGAATTAAACCAGGGTAAAACTGCCAATGACGAAATCTACGTGTCGGCCACGATAACTGCTCATCATTTATATTTGATCATTGATCAATGGGCAGGAAACCCCATCAATTTCTGTAAACCAGTGGCCAAGTTCCAAAAAGATCGTCAAGCATTAATCAACGCAGCAACCAGTGGTGAACCATGGTTCTTCTTCGGCTCCGATTCAGCTCCCCACCCAATCCACAAAAAGCAAGTTCATGTCGGTGTATGTGCTGGTGTGTATACGCAATCCAATGCCGTGGCTTATGTGGCCGAGGTCTTTGATAACCAGGGCAAATTGGCCAACTTGAAGAAATTCATCAGTGAGAATGGAGTCAATTTTTACAAATTGAAACCGGAAATTGTCGACAAGCATAAGGGGGAGAGTGTTTGGTTGGTTGAGAGAAGCAATAATGTACCTGATGTGATTGGAAACGGTGAGGTTGAGGTTGTACCTTTTAAAGCTGGGGAGACATTGAAATATGCTATTGAATGGAGAAAGAATTAGTAACACTTGGTTAACGATGTGTAAATAGGCTTTGTGTAGGCACGAAGTGAATGAAGATTAGTGGGAGTGCAATGTACGCGGTTTATTATTTAGTATCTGCTGCAAAGCGGTGAGTTCGATTCTCGCTTGCTAAAGTAAGATGCGTAATAAAGAAGGTGTTATCAGGACATTTGTTTAACAATAGATTTAGGCAACGGTCAGATCCAACATCTGGTGTTACTAATCCGGCTATTGTCTATATTGATTATTCACCGTTGCTATCTATACAAAAGGTAAACAATGGGTAAACAATGGGTACAATGGTCGATTTAGTAAGCCTTCTTTTTGGTGACATTTTTGCCGTATGTGAAGGAAATTTCGGCAAAATAAACCCGAAAAAACGCAAATTATTAGAAGAGTGTCTTTGTGGTTGTTTTTACGATTTTGCGCAGATCTTTTGCGTTGTTTCCATACTGTGTCTTTTGAAAACTCAAGTATGTAGTGGCCAACAGGTGCTGCAGACTTCTCTTGTGTAACATTGACTACAAAGTGAGTAGTATGGTTAAAAGTTATATATACGTCATGTAAAGGTTTGGTGTTTGTCAGAACTGATTTTGTTTAAATTCATACGGCAATTCAACAGTGAAAAAAATTTTTTTTTTCCACAACAACTGGGTATATATGCAATATGCAACAAATTTAATGACCTAGAAACAAACGGATAATCGCTGAGCTATTTACACAATTATGACATTCCTACGGAAGTCCGTTGTGCCAGAGACTGGAGCTCCGTAGTCTCAGTGGCGTAGAGGCACATTAAACCTGGCTAAAGGGTTCCTTTATATCTCGTGATGGATACTTGAATGCCATATTTGTGAATAATATTACACTTTAGCGTAAATGGACTAAAGTAGATTTGCTACAAGCTCAGCGGTAAAAGGAGCATGAATCAAACCATTCTTTAAGGAGAAAGGGACGACCAATTACATTAAATATTTATGTTCTTATCAATTTTTTCTTTTGAAATATCACGTGCTATTTTGCCTCTCTTCATGTCTCAATGAGGAAATAAATAAAAAATTAATTTTGGGTCGGCTAAAAGCGGAAATTTAAAAAATCTGAAACAAATTGCACGACCTAATATTGGGCGGCTATTAGCAACTTAGAAATTAAGTGTTTATTTCCGGGCACTTACCTAGTTCATACGAGGACATACCCTCGTGGGAAGCTTTCAGATTCTATATTTAGCAAGGTAGCTAAGTATGTAAGTGATTTAAGCGAGGCGATGAAACAGATTTTTAGAAAAAATTAGAAAAAAGAAACGAAATCTGCCAATCAATTAATACACTCCTTTGAGTTAAATAAGGCTCTGCTGTTATATTGGCCTAAAGTATTTAAGGAGGGGCCACGTGTGTGTTTGAACCTTATTGTTTGAGGTTTTGTAAATTTTAATCAAGTGCATAGCAAAGGTTACTCATAACGTATGAAAGTTGGCTTTAAGACAATAGGCAAGGCATTGTTTTTAGCAAGATAGGTTTTTGTGTGTGGAATTTCATTGTAGTCTATTAGTGAGCGTGATAAATGTTTTATGCAATATGAATTAAACAAATTTAGATTTTTGTTGTGGGAGAAAAATGGACCGTTCTATATAGTCAAGTGGTATTACACTTCATCTTTAGAGTGTCAAATACGATTGAGCTATCATCACAGTAAAAGAAAAGCAGTGTCGAAAGCTAACATAACGGGGAATGGGAGGTTGTTGAACTTTTGGGAATACATAGTTCCCTACTCACCCATGCCCTATTCCTATTAAAATATATCTCCGTTTCAGTAATAAAAAAACTGACAGGCTTCAAGAAAAAAGAAAAACTTAAAACCTTAAAAACTAAGAACGTCATATTATTATCATATGTTACTGGAAAATTCTTAGCCAGCTTTATTTTCTTATTCAGGGGTGCCGGTGGGGGAAGTGGAACTGATGCAGATTGACAACTTTAGCAATATATAATATTATATGCGTCTATCATGTTTCGCCAGCAGACGTTTCAAGGATCCTTGTTCCATTTCAAGCTCCCTAAGTGGGCATTTTACCAAATGAGGAGTAATTGCGGAAAAAAAATTCAAGGCAAAAAAAAAAAAAGATTAGAGTTATGCACTTTGACTTTTCATATGTTAAACTATGTATCCTCCAGTTGCTATTACCTAAAAAGTAGAACTGAGAAATATCTCTACAATAATTGCTCTTATAAATTGGAGAGAAGTTCACTGCTCTCATTTATTATACTTCAAGGTCCCATATTTAACTCTTCTTATTATAGATATTTTGTAAATGCATTGGAATGAGGACACAATACAAAAGTAGCAAAAGCTTCCCTTAATTGCACAAAATAAGAGTACAATTGGTATATCTTACGAAATTTTTTTTTTTTTTTAATTTTTATTTTTTAATTTCTAATATCTAATTTTTATTTTTGTGCAAGTTATCAGGGAATTTTTAAATTAGACGCCAGAAACTAAACTTGTCTATAATCTCTTCAAATCTTTTTCATGCCATTGTCTTCTATAATAAGAAAACATGAAGAAACAAAAAAATTATAAATTAATATAAATATACCATCTTAATCAATCCTTTAAAATTTAATATAAAGCTTCTACTTCCTCCTTTGTCACTAGCTTCACTTTAAATCTTTCACGCCAGTTTCACACTTTAACTACAGCAGTGGGAGAAGCTTTATTATTCACACTATCTATACCTACTCTACCACCGTTTACCACCCTGTTTAAGTGAACAACTACTACACCAACACATTCAAACTAGGTATCTACAAAAAATGGCTTCAAGAGATTTGCCACATAGTTTTAGAGAGCTATTTTGGGGTTGGGCCGAAAGGATTCCCCTGGAGATGACCATCCTCAAGTCAAGACAACAATTGATTGATGAGGATATGCACACCCCACAAATCCACTCTAAGCACATTGGTTCCGCTTCATCAGACAAATCGTCCTCATCGGATTTTGTTGAAGGTGAAGAAGGTGATTCCGACTCCTACGAAGCACCACCAAAAACAGTCAAATTTAATAATTTATGGCCCGCTTTTGCTTCTGGTGCTGGGTTATTCTCCGATGGGTACGTCAACAACTCCATCTCTACTGTTTTGTCCTGTTTGAAAAAAATTTATCCTGAAGAGTCTGCTAAAAGTAACGCTCTTAACAACATTGCTTCCATTGCGTTTGTCGGTACTGTGGTTGGACAATTGGGATTTGGTTATATTTCGGATAGAGTTGCCAGACGTGGTGGTATGATGGCAGCAAATATCATGTTGATTTTATTTACGTTGTTGTGTGCCGTTGGATCATGGGGAGCCACCGTGCAAGGTTTTTTCGCATGCTTTACTGTATGGAGATTCTTTTTGGGTGTTGCTATTGGTGCCGAATATCCGACCAGTTCAGTTATTGCTTCGGAATTTGCCAACCAGTTACCCGCCGGTCGCAGAAACAGATATTTCTCGTGGTTTACTAATTTCATGATTGATACTGGGTTTGTTGTTTCAGCTTTTGTTCCATTTGTGTTGTTGTGGATCTTTTCTGAACGTCATTTACGAGCATTGTGGAGAGTTACTATTGGGTTGGGAGTTATTCCACCCTTGATTTTATTCTTTATTCGTATGAAGATGAGTGACTCAAAGACATTTGAAAAATTGAATATGAAACACGTTAGATACAGAGATTACCCTTGGTGGTTGATTATCAAATTTTATTGGTTTAGATTGACCATTGTTTCGTTGATTTGGTTTATCTATGATTTCTCCTCTTATTCGTTTGGCTCTTTCAACACCATTATTATCGGTGAGATTATTCCTGATGCGCCACTTTGGCAAAATTGGGGTTGGTCCGTTGTTTTCAACTTGTTTTACATTCCTGGTGCTTTCCTTGGTGCGTTATCGGGTGATTATTTTGGTCCAAGGTTAACTTTAGCCTTTGGTGTTACATGCCAAGGAGTTATTGGGATTGCCATGTCTGCCTGCTTGGAGCAATTAAAGAGACACGTTGCTGGGTTTGTTGTTGTTTTCGGAATCTTTACTACATTTGGTGAATTTGGCCCTGGTGACAATATTGGATTGTTGGCTTCCAAGACCAGTGCAACTGCTATCAGAGGTCAATATTATGGTATTGCTGCTGCTATTGGTAAAATTGGTGCTTTTGTTGGTACCTGGGTATTCCCTGCTATTCAAAAGCATTATGAAGGTCAAGGAAACAAGGATTTACAGGTTCCGTTTTACATTTCATCAGCATTGTGTTTGTTTAGTGCTTGTTTGGCTATATTCTGGTTACCTCACGTGGGTCAAGATGCCATTAATAAGGAAGATGCCGATTTTGTTGACTACTTGAAGTCGCATGGTTTTGATATCAGCCTCTTGGGTGAGCCCGGCGCCGTTACTGAAATGATTGCTGAAGAGCACAAGAGGAATCCTAATGGTACCGATATAAAAGACGGCGCAGTTGGTGGACACGCTGCTGGTGCTGCTGAATTCACCGGTCTGGAGATTTTAGCTTACGACTCGTTAGGTGAGCAAAAAAATGCGCCGGGTATACATGAGAAGATTACCAAACAATAATCGACAAAATTTAAGAGGGGTATTTGTAGATTTGCAATACTTTTAAAATTGCAAGGGCGTTTTGTTTTAGACAGTTTAGAAAGCTATTTAGTTCACAGTGTGTTCCTAGTTTTAATTAATGATATTTCGATGGAAAAAGAAAATAGTGAAACAGTCGTGTAAAGGTGTGTTTAGATCCATGAGCTACAGACGGAGGAGATATAAATAGACCGCAACAACACAAAAGTCAGATGCTGTAAGCTTGTGTCCGTTTTTGTAGTCAATGTAATCCTCTTGCATTACCATGTGGTGAAATATAATAGGTGTCAAAAAAATTTCTGTGCCATGCTATTGTCTTGGCTCCCAACTGATCCTAGTGTTTTGCGAATTACACAAACTTGGGAAACAATTAATTTGCTGTTGTGTAATTATTAACCCACGTGGTGATGGCTGCATTCTTTTGCAACTTTAGATATGAAGAGTAGTGTAGATTGAAAACCGAACAGCCCCAAATTCCAGTAACGATATAATCGCAGACCAGTTTTAACTTGTCAAGCGGCAGCGACTTAATTCAACGGGTGGGTAATAGATTAACCTTTGATGGCATATTTCTTTACTGTTGCTAAAGCAGAGTGATGTAAAGTAGTGGCAAAGGAAAGTCGCATCATCTAGCAGTAAGCGTAAACTATTGCTAAATTAGTTAACAATGTAGCTAAATCTCCAAAAGGTTGCTCCACCTAGATATAAGGAAAGTCGAGAGAAATTTTTACAAATGAAAAGCTAGAAGACATCCATATCACCAACAGGAGCACCAAACAATGGGTTCTCTTACCAATTTGCCTGACTTTATCTTCATGCAAATACTCAATCGCTTGAACCAGCACCAGGCATTGGTACTTAGTCCCTTACACTCTAGTTTATACTCCATTGCAAAGCCAACTGTCTTGTTTGGGAACTTTAGAAACGCCAGTTTCCTCTGTAGGTGATACTTGCTTCGATTATGAATCCAAATTGAAGTTACAAACACTTCCCCTTTTGAAATATTAAAAACAAAACACTAGAATCAGTAGCCACACTTTTTACGATCCGCTGAAAAAGGGATTATTTCTTCATGGTTGGTTCCTGTCTGACAAAGTATTTGCCTGTATCCCCAACCTTGAAGAGGAATTTCCAAACCTCATTCAATTTGCTATTCTGTTGCCATCTTACAGTAACTCTATTACGGAGACCCTAACACTGATTGGCCATAAAACTTCGCAATCGTTTGTGATCCATATCTCAAAACGTAAAGACGATCTAGCAAGTGCCATTTGTATTTTGCAATTTGCGTATGCTGTTTTCTAACGCAAGTATTAGATTTTGGTAGGTGCCAGAGCTGACCTAGGACGTTCCTTTTTTTTATATGAGGTAATATTTGTCTTTAATCCCAAATTGCCTCTGGAATTCGTAGGGATACACTGCCCCAGCTAGAAAGAAGATGACTTACGAGATTTATATATCGTCTACAAATGAAACGGCGCTCAAATATCAATGAAGCTCTACAGAAACTACTCCGCAACGGAGCTGGACCAGATCTTATATATAAGTGAGTAGATACCTCAAAACCTTTTGATTTGTTCTAATTGAAAAGTGGCCAATGACCGAGCTTTCCTACTAAATCTAGTGAAGAGGTTTTCTATGGTTAGTGTAGATGAGAACTGTCGTATAAACTTTTATCTCCTTGTAGATGGGTTTCTATTATGTTTCTATTGTGTATGTTTCAGGCGCTCGTGTATTTTTAATTTTGTGAGTTACAAATGGCTAACTAACGACCATCGCTTTACCGTAAATATTTAGTTGAAAAAATTAGAAAACTTTAAACTGAGACGCATTTTAGATTTTTGATTTAAGTCATATTACTGTTGTATTTATTAAATTCGCAAGATAAAACAATGAATTGAGAGAGACCTCGTGGGTGCATCAAAATTTCCAGAAGCGGTGAATTCTTTCTCGAAATTGCAGTGAGGAAATTGCTAATGGCACCCGTCATTTAAATATATATATATATATAAAAAGGCAACGTCTTTGTCAGAATTTCCAATTTGAAAAAATGATTAAAGTAATCCCGTCAAACCATATTACCCACCATGGCTACCAGAGATCTCCCTAAATCTGCAAACGATCTTCTCTTTGGATGGGTCGGCCGTATCCAAGATGAAATGACCATTGGAAAATCACAAGACGAATTGGCCAACAATGATAAGCTTTCCAAGCTTGATGAGTTCTCATCGATCCACTCAAGCGATGAAGAGTTTGTTGCTGGTGACTATGACAATGCGACAGTTGAAACCAAGGTTAAGTTGAAGAACTTGTGGCCAGCTTTTGCTTCCGGTGCCGGTTTATTTTCTGATGGTTATGTGAATGCTGGTATAAGTACCGTCATTTCTTGTTTGAAAATGATTTACGGTGATGAGTTTACCAAAAGCAATGCCATGTCAAATATTGGGTCTATTGCATTTGTTGGTACGGTCGTTGGTCAATTAGGGTTTGGATATATCAGTGACCGTTTGAGCAGACACAAGGGGATGCTCATTGCGAACGTTATGTTGATTATATTCACTTTATTATGTGCCGTTGGATCTTGGGGTAAAACCACCCAGGGGTTCTTTGCTTGTTTAACCGTTTGGAGGTTCTTTCTTGGTATTGCTATTGGTTCGGAATACCCAACAAGTTCAGTCATTGCATCTGAGTTTGCAAACCAGTTGCCAGCAGGACACAGAAATCGGTACTTTTCCTGGTTCACCAATATGATGATTGATTTTGGATTTGTTGTTGCTAGTTTTGTTCCACTTGTGTTGTTGTGGATATTTACGCCTCGTCATTTACGTGCATTGTGGAGACTAAGTATCGGATTGGGAGTTATTCCGCCATTGATTTTGTTTTTCATCCGGTTGAAAATGTCAAATTCAAAAAGTTTCACCAAGTTGAACATGAAGAGAGTTGATTATAAGGATTACCCGTTCTGGTTGATTATAAAGTTTTATTGGTTTAGGTTGGCCGTGGTATCGTTGATCTGGTTCATTTATGATTTTTCAGTTTACTCATTTGGTACATTCAATACAATCATCATTGGGGAAATAATTCCCAATGGTACATTATATCAAAATTGGGGTTGGTCAGTTGTGTTTAATTTGTTTTATATGCCTGGGTCCTTCATCGGTGCTATAGTTGCTGATTATTTAGGTCCAAGATTGACGTTAGCCTTGGGTGTTGGAATTCAAGGCGTCATAGGCATAGCCATGTCAGCTTGTTTGGACTCCTTAAAGAAACACGTTGCTGGTTTTGTTGTTGTTTTCGGAATTTTTACTACATTTGGTGAGTTTGGACCCGGTAACAACACTGGTTTACTAGCTTCAAAGACTTGTGCAACTGCTATCAGAGGTCAATATTATGGTATTGCTGCTGCTGTTGGTAAAATTGGTGCTTTTGTTGGTACCTGGGTATTCCCTGCTATTCAAAAGCATTACGCTTACAGCGAGAGCTTGTCATTGCAGGTGCCATTTTACGTATCATCGGCATTGTGCTTGTTTAGCGCTCTTTTGACTATCTTCTTTGTGCCGCCGGTGGGCCAGGATGCCATCGACAAAGAAGATAAGTTGTTTTTGGAGTTCTTGCGTGATAACGGGTTTACCAAATTTGACAAGTTCGGAGACTTTGGCATTGTTACTGCCAATGAAGATAGCAAGATTGGTAGAGATATTATTACCATGGGCGAAGTGGAAAAGAATGACGATGAGGTTGTGGTTGTTCACGAGAAGAAATAGTATTATTAGCCATTTAGCATTGATTTCAATTCTGATCAGTATACTAGAGTAAATTAATTTACAATGTCCAGTAAAAACTATAAATCTTTGATCCATCCTGTGGGGTAATACCGCTGATTAGTACCTACAGGATGGAGCCTTTACGCTAGCACCCTTGCCATTTCGTATTTTACGATTTAACTGAAAATCATGCGCCGGAAATATCAAATAATAGGAAACAAACTACTAAACTGATTTTTCCGGTCGCCAGAGATTACAATATTGTCCACATGATTAAAGAGGAGGCAGCTAATCACCTTAAAGGTTGCCCTTACATAGAAGTCATTAAAAGCAAAGTAATAGCTTGTTCATTTGTCGGTGATGCCCTGCCACTGTGAATATTTTAAAGAGTACCCAGTTGCATCGGAAAAAGCGTCCTTATTTTATTTTAGGCTTGAACCCCACAATAAACGGGCAGAAGATACTGAGGGAAACCTAATAGAGGTTTGCTTCGAGATAATATACTCATGGCTTTGCTTAATTCTGCTTTGAAGGTGATCTATCGTTGTGTCCACTGGCTCGTAAATGGCGTCTAGCAAGGGCTGCTTACCATGCCCACTTATATGACTATCTACATACCACTCAAACGGTTGTATACCAAGGGGTGCGACTTGATTGGGTCCAAATTACTGATTCGTATTACTTTAAACAACTGTTGGATGGTCCTTTAGGGGAACTCCTCGATACAACTAACTTTAACTTTAATTTTTAAGGTCATTTATTTCTGCAATTCAGGCCATATCTTACTACCATGCTTTAGATCAAGTTTAAAGTTTCACTCACTTTTATGGCATTTCCGACTGATGGACTACAATTTAAGTTAATAATGCATGACATTGGAGAATCATGCACCACATATTTACCCCAATTTCACCCAACGTATTGGTGATGTGTATAAATACTGGCACTTGGACACCGTTTCAAACTTTGTGGCCCCGGGATTCAAATTCACGAAGTAAACAAATGACTTCCTTGGCCGATGATAAAGAAGTGAGGACAAAGGAAGAAGTTGAGGATATCACCACTGAGGATGAGCCCGAAATATCAGAAGAACACAAACAGTATCTCATTGCCAAACATGGAACCTACAATTTGGTCCCATTGCCATCAATGAACGATGATGACCCGTTGAACTGGTCGAACGGAATGAAGCATTTGCAGTTGGGTATGGTTGCTTTTCATGGGTTTATGACTACATTTTTAACTACCGGTATGGTGCCAGTTGCCGGAGTGTACTCGGAGAAGTATAATATGCCAACTTCACGTATTGCCTACTTGATATCTGTTCAGATTTTACTAGTGGGGGTGTTTCCCCTAATATGGGTACCCTTGATGGAACGGTATGGGAAACGTTTATTATTAATTATTTCCACACTTGGAACCATGTGTTTTTCATTAGGAAGCGTGTTTAGTAACACTTATGGCACTATGATGGCAATGAGGGTGCTACAAGCAGTATTGATCTCCCCTGGTATAGCGGTTGGCGGTTCAATTGTGAATGAAACAACTTTCAGCCACCAAAGAGGTTCCAGGAGTGGTGTTTGGGCCATTTCGGTTAATTTAGGTACAATGGTGGGTGCCTTTTTGATGGGGTTTGTGGCACAGTACCAAGACGCCAAATACATTCATGTGGTGTTTACCTTGATCAATTTTGGACAGGCCGTTTGTTATTTCTTCTTTGGCAAAGAGTCCCTGTATAACCATAATGATTTGTCTAGAAACGAATCGAATCGGTTCAAACAATTACGATTCAAGGCTATTTTTCCCGAAAATCACATTACAATACAGAAGATAATCTATCCAGGAATCTTCTTTTCCAACTTGAGAATTTTCATTCCAACTTTTGCCTACTCCGTTTGTTTTCTCCAAGCCAATATTGCTTTGAATATTGAAATCCCCGAGGTTATGGTTGGAAAATTTGCGTTAGGTCCACAAGCATTGGGATTGCAGTTCCTTTCTTTCATAATTGGTACCGCAATTGGTGAAGTTGGAGGATACATGTCGGACAAGCTAGTTGCCTGGGGTCAGGGAAGAGGTAGAGGACCATCATTCAGGTTATGGTTGACATATCCGGGGTTCGCTGCTTGTATTATTGGGTTAGTTGTGTTTGGCGTTCAAATTGATGCAGCCAACACATGGAATGTGACACCTTTAATCGGTTGTGCTTTAGCTGCATTTGGTTTGCAAATAATGACTTCACCAATTATTGCTTATTGTATTGATATGGATCATAAACAAGCGGGAGCAATCGTCTTATTTATTACTGCTGTTAGACAAACGCTTGCTTTTATTGGTCCGTTCTATTTCCCAGTCATGTATTCGAATTTGGGATTCACTGTTTCCTATGGCATAATGGCTGCTCTTATTGGTGGATTATCCTTTATCCCTACGTTGGTTTTACATATTACGGCTGCAAGAAATGGAAAGTAAAAGTAGTTGTAAGGAGTTGTAAAACGACTTTTTGGCACGTTTGTTGGCTGCCGGGGTACCTTTGAAAGCAGATTTGTATAGCAATTACATGCTCGATAACTCTACACTCATATGGCGAATCGACTTTGGTTGTAGCAAAATATCTCTCTCTGCAAAACACGTTATACATCTCTTTCTTTTCAACACAGTTCCTGTGTATTTGGCTTGACATTCCTTACCTGGACCAAGTTATCTTGCGAAATAGCCGGGAAATCACTCCAAGTTGGCTCTGTCGGAAAAAGCGTTTATTTTTTTTTTCTATTTTTCTTTGCAACTTGACCCCACAATTTTGAATTTGCAACCACTGGAGATACAACACCCGCACCGTCAACTCTGCACAAAACATTCTTTGCAAGTGATACTGATAACTGAAGACACTTTATACTCTGTATTTGAGAGTTATTCATGGTTTGGAATAGATACATGGAATCGGTTTTGACGCCTTCAAGCTAATTCCTAAAGCAAACTCTTGAGCTCAACCGTTGCAGTTTATTCGGAGGTATGCCACTGTTGCCACATGCAACCTACAACTTTCTTGCATAGATAATCACCCTCTCTTTACAACGTCTGTTTGAGTATTTTACAAGTGACTTAGAACATAAGCGGACCTACATAAGGGGATTAGTTTCCCGGAAATGTATACAAATACGACAAACCTTCAAAGTCCAATCTTGCTAAATCAAAATAGTTTCACCAAAAGCTTTACCCTGGTTGCATAGTAATAGTAAAATGTGTTTCCTCTTCTGTTGGTAGGCGCTTTACCCATTAAAAGTATTTTGCATTGACTAATTATTACTAAAGTGGTTGCAATAAATGTATATGGCTGCAGCACAATGTGAAACTAAGGTACTTAATTTGAACTCCACAGATTGTGGGAGGGTGGGGAATCTTTTGAGAAGATCTTGAATCAAAAGACTTATATGTCTTAAGAGAAGAGCTAGGTGGTATGTGCTGCAGGATCTTACTTATTGATACTGCATATAAAATAAATAGTTTTTTATTCTATTTTCAACTTTATGGCTCGTATCATTTTGTCAGAAGTAAACAACATCGGGCAATGGGTATGGAAGGAGACACAGAGATGGTAAGTGATTTGGCTCGTGCAATTTCACGAAATTTCAACTGCACTGTTGACTATGGCACACAAAGTCTATGCGTTAGCGTATGGTCTTTCTACGTTATGATGGGCCAGCTACGATAAAGTTTAATCAGTTTTGCCCACGAGATACGAGCATTGGACTTTGGTTCCTGGAAGCAGTTTGTTGGTGACGTACATATCCTACACACCAGGCTATTCATTTATCCAGAGACTGTTCCCACTTCTAGTTGACTAATGCAACATATTATTTACCATCCATGACTTTCTCGGTTTTGCAATTTTCATAGTGTGACAAGAAAATAAGTCCGCAAAATTGTTTGAAACAGGTAAATTATATTTTCATTTCACATCAAAAAAGGTCATCTACTTATAAAAACCAATTTAATATTATATTTCCTGTTGGCACGATTACCCATGGGATTAGCTGATTTAATTGCATTTCCGAACCACTTTTATACCTTCGTTTTAACTTGCAATAGAAGACCGATTGTACAATCTATTTTACCTCATACTTTTGCACAAACTGGGGTTTGGTTGATATAAATACTTTGCCAAAGGTCTCCGAATGTCGATGCAATTTAATACAAGCTAGCACTAACTCAATAAACACACTCATTAATAAAGATAATGACTTCCTTGGCAGACGATAAAGAGGTGCGGACAAAAGAAGAGGTTGAGTATATCACCACTGAGGATGAACCCGAAATATCAGAAGAACACAAACAATATCTCATTGCCAAACATGGAACCTACAACTTGGTCCCATTGCCATCAATGAACGATGATGACCCATTGAACTGGTCAAACGGATTCAAATATTTACAATTAGCCATGGTTGCTTTCCATGCATTTATGGCTACTTTTATGGCATCGGGTCTAGTACCCGCCATTGGAATTTACTCGGAAATATACCAATTGTCAACCCCTGATGTTGCTTATTTAGTGTCTGTTCAAATTGTATTAGTTGGTGTGTTTCCTTTAGTCTGGGTGCCTTTGATGGAACGGTATGGGAAGCGTTTGCTTTGTATTATATCGGCACTTGGGACCATGTGTTTTTCATTAGGAAGTGTTTTCAGTACCACTTATGGTGCTATGATGGTCATGAGATGTTTGCAAGCCGTCTTCATTTCCCCTGGATTGGCTGTAGGTGGTGCAGTTGTGAATGAAACAACTTTCAGCCACCAAAGAGGTTCAAGAAGTGGTATTTGGGCTATTGCTGTAAACTTGGGTACCATGGTTGGAGCATTGTTGATGGGAATCGTTGCTGAACACCAGGACCCCAAGTACGTTCATGTGGTGTTTACTTTGATCAACTTTGGACAAGTTGTTTGCTACTTACTATTTGGAAAGGAGTCTCTGTTCAATCATGCTGACTTGTCAAGAAATGAAACAAACCGGTTCAAACAATTACGATTCAAGGCTATTTTTCCTGAAAATCGTATAACTTTAAAGAAGACTTTCTATCCTATGATATTTTTTGCCAATTTGAGAATATTTATTCCAACATTTGCTTATTCAATGTGTTTTCTTCATGCAAACATTGCATTGAATATTGAAATTCCAGAAGTCATGTATATCAAGTTTGGATTAGGTCCACAGGCTTTGGGATTACAGTTTATTTCATTTATTATCGGTGCTGCTCTTGGTGAGGTTGGAGGATACATGTCGGACAAGCTAGTTGCCTGGGGGCAAAAGAGAGGTAGAGAACCTTCTTTTAGATTGTGGGTCACATACCCGGGATTCGCCACCTGTATTATTGGGTTAGTTGTGTTTGGTGTTCAAATTGATGCTGCCACCACGTGGAATGTGACACCTTTAATCGGTTGTGCTTTAGCTTCCTTTGGTTTACAAATCATGACCTCGCCATTTATTGCTTATTGTATTGACATGGATCATATGCAAGCTGGAGGAATCATTTTGTTCATCACCGTTGTCAGACAGTCACTCGCTTTTATTGGCCCATTCTATTTCCCAATTATGTTTGCAAAATTAGGATTCACTACTGCTTACAGTATTATGGCTGGAATCTTAGTTGGCTTGGCATTTATTCCTACACTTTTCTTACATATCAAGGACGCCAAGAATGGAAAATAGTTGAATCGAGAGCGGCGTCAGCTTTAGTGTGTAGACGATGTTTTATTCTTTGTTTACTTTTATATAAACAAATTCTATGATTAATGGCTTATTATTATTAGTAGTGCAACTCAACTGTGGCATGTAGCTTATGCTCATCAGTTTCATACCGAGTCATTCATGCCATATTAAGCCAGTCAGTATTTCATAATCCTAAAGGAGCTGAGTATTTGGCAATAAAATTAATTTATACAGCAGATCTAAGCCTTAAATCTCTCAAAACTAAACCCCCATTAAATGCTTCACCATCTTTACCTCAAGGTCTGCTCAAAGTTTGACCAAGCCGACTCAAGGGCCATAGGATCATAACGACTTTACCCACTACTAGACCTTTGCTAATCGGACCAAACTCGTTAGAGTCAATCGAATGAACCCGGTTGTCACCTTCAACCCAATAATGATTTCGCGGTATTTTCACCTCCAGCTTAGGGTAATCAGAAGACGGTAGTACGACATCTCCATTAACTCCCACTACTCTTTTTGTCAACAACTTCTCGGGGTCTAAAGGCAGACGAAACATAATGACATCGCCTCGTGATATATTGCTCTCCTTCGTCTTTATATTATACTTTTGTACAAGCACTATATCTTTTGCCGTTGAGAATGTTCCTGGGTTGAACGTTGGGGTCATTGACGACCCAGTGATTTGGTACGGCTGGTACACATGGTTGGTGAAGGTGTATAGCACGGGTAACCATGATATCGTGAGTAGTGTGGTTTTCAAACTGTGACTTAATGGCATGCAAAGGAGATGAACGGGTGTGGTATTGGAATGTATGGGGTAAATACCAAGTCTGCAAACGATTTTTCAAACAAAAAGAAAATTCGTCTTCTCTCTCTCGCGCCTCTCGACCTTTTTCATGCAACAATTTTCCGGCCCGGTATAATTTTTCCTTTTGCCTTTGCCACATACCACTTCTAAACCATGTCACAGCAGCAGAAAGGAGGGCTATTAGATCAAATACTCTTGGAGGATATAGCTAGATGCTGTCCGCATCAGTTCCTTGCATTCCACCAGTGTATGTCTTTGCCACAACCAGACCCTGAGCACTGTCTAAAACAGCAAGTCGAGTTGACTCAATGTATTAGGACATCGGTACCATCATTTCAAAAGATTCAAGGTGAATGCTCGGGGAAGTTGCAGGCTTACGAAGCATGTTTGAAGATAAACAAAAGCCAGACGCTGAAATGTACGCACGAGTTAGAAGAGTTGAGAAACTGTGCATTTGGATCTATAAACAAATAGACGTACATGTATATACATAGAATAGCTATTCAATTACGATACTTTGGTTTCAAGTTTTCAATTCTTATGTTGGACAAGAAGTTCTTGGTAACCTCTCTCAACTCTGAAGAACGATCGTGGGTCTCTTCAATCTCATGCTTGTGATGCAACAATTCATGCTCGATGTCTTCCTTGTGCTTGATCTTGGTATCTGGGTCGACTTTTGCGTGGTATTGTTTCCAGTGATGTTCCTCGTATTCACTTTCAAAGTCCAAATGGTGGCCCTGTCCGTAACCAAAGTCTGGTAATTCACCACCGTTGTCATGAAATCTGATCCATTCATCACTGGTTATAACACCATTCTTATCACTATCAAATAACTTGAAAATTGACTCAACAACCATGTTTTGCACTTCGGGTGTCACTTTACGGGAATTTTCGCCCATACCTGATCCATCGCCGATGATGACTTCATGTTTTATTCCATAGAGATTGAGTATATCACTTCTATCCCATTGACCGGCTCCTTTCAAGTCATGCATGGTGAAGAATGTTTGAGCATCGTAGTCAGCAATGTTGTGTTCTTCCAGCATGTGCCAATCTTGCCATCTCAAATGTGACGGTTTTTGTTTTAATATGTTCTGAGAGTGGTCACCGTGGGCAGCAACAGTAAATGCAGATGCGAGAAGTGCTATTACAGCTGATAGAAGCTTCATTGTGGTAACGTTGTGCAGGTGATGTGTATGGCGATGGGGACAGCTTTGGTGAAAAATGTAATGTTTCGTCAACGTAATTGAAATGACACAAAATATTTCAAAGTTTCACCAAAGCAGCTCGTGCTTCTTAGTTAACACATACAACTAATTGGAATGACAGACTACAAGAACCCCAACTTACCCAACAAATCCTCAGAAGCAAGACAGGGTAGGGAAAATCAACGATACAATGAAGAGACTGGCGCAAGAATTGTCGCTGGGTGTATATGCTTGAATGAAACCAAGGACAAAGTGATTATGATTTCATCGGCAAAGCACAGAGACCGGTGGATCGTACCCAAAGGTGGTAATGAATTGGATGAGCTGGAATTGGAAACAGCAGTGAGAGAGACTTGGGAAGAAGCAGGCGTAGAAGGTATCATTGCCAAGAAGTTGCCAGTGGTATTGGATTCGCGGGGTCACAAAGCTCCAGTGATAAAAGGCGACTTTGATTCCAAGCATATACCTAAAAGTGAGTTCCACTTTTTTGAGCTACAAGTTGACCAATTAAGCACAACTTGGCCAGAAATGAAGAAGCGAGAAAGAAGATGGTGCACTTACTCTGAAGCTAAGCACGAGTTGCTCAAACTGAAACGCCCTGAACTTGTGGAAGCCTTGAACCTGAGCTCTATAGTGAAGGATACAGATGTTAAAACAGTTGACGAATATTAATTACTGCTACTTAAATAACCCACCCATTAAATTGGCCATTAAGCCTCCTTGATTGTTTGAATTGCCAATGTTTAGATTGAAATATAATTTGCCCAAATATTCCACTGGAGCCAACAATTCCCTCTCTTTTAATATACTTTTATAATGGTCATATAACTTTCTAAACTTTTGACCATTTGTTTGCGGATCCTTTTGCAAGACCTCAATCAACAACTGAACGAAATTGAGCAATGGCTTCCTTTCAAAATATTGCACATTTCCAACTGCCTCTGCCTCTGCCTCGATATTGACGCTTCTGAGAAATAGTGATTTTGCTTCTTGTACAAACTTGATATTCTTCAAATATGCGTAATTCAACACGGCTCTGGCTAAAAGAGCCCCTTGATCAGCATCGGGATTGGCTCTAGCAGTTCCAACTAGAAAGTTGACATAAATCGGTACAGATTCAAACGTACCCAAGACCAAGTGCAATTCTGCAACAGCAAAAATTTTAACCTTTTGCTCGTAGTCTATGTTTTCTCCTTCTGCTGCTTGTATAAATTTGGACCCAAACAAATGATGCAAATCATTGTCACCAAAGTTCTTGCATCCTTGTGACTTTTGTGACCACGTTATGCTAGCCTTCGCTAAATCGTTGAGCAGGGGATCGTTGTTGGGCAAGCTTGAAATCAATTCAATTAGTTTAAGTTTTGCATCCTTGTCGGTAACTTTCAATTCTTCTTCTTCGTAAATTTGTACAAGGTAGATAATCAAGTCCGAAGCGGAAGCATATTCCTTGTTTTGAATCAAAATAGTGGCACCTTGGTATAAGAGATCTCTAGCTTCAGGATACTGTTTAGCTTTAACATATCTGTTTGTTATTGTTCTCAATGTTTGGTGAGCTTCATAAAACGAGCCAGAATCAATCTTGGACTGAAAACGTTGAATGGTTTTGGCTAACTTGTCAGACATGTTGGTCGTGAGTGTTGTAAAGTGTGCAACCTGTCAAAAAGCAGAATTGGTTGTTCTCTCGTTTTTTTCTCTGTTCAGGGTTGTCTGGTAGCGAAATGTTTTTCGACCAATCTCCCATTATTGTCAACTCTCGTTATGTGTTCGATGCCCAAGTGGTTGTCCATGTACTGTACTTCCTTACACATTTGAAAGAGTGCTATCACCACGATTGTTTCCAATCCTCCCTGATCGATTTTAATAAGTTCTAACTTTTTCTCTGGCTTGAAATTAAACCTCTGCTCTTTCAATGCCAAATAGATTTGATTGAAACTCACCAGTTCAATATCTAATGTTTGCAAAGTTGACATGTTGCTGTGTATCAACCGGGCTAGTAAATTGCAGACTAGTCTTGCTGGTGATTCACTTTGATAATAGCTTGCTGCTGTACTCCTTCTCGATATAGATTTCACAAATGCTTTAAAAATCGAAGGATGATTTGTTCTCCGCATGCAACAAGCTGAACTAAACTTTAATGTCTCTAGTTTTAACATTGGAACAGGTGAAGATTGATTCGTCAAACTTTTTATCCCATTCTTTGTTACACGCAAGTTTAAAGCTGTCACAGTTTGAGGTAATTTATTTACAATGATTAGTAAATTACTCAACGATGTGCAAATTGTAACGGATACCAAATTAGGAAACACATTTACCAGTCGGATTATGAATTTAGAAGGCTTAAACAAGTACACCGACCTTATCTTGCCGGATAGTCTAGTCTGGATCAACGTTTGCAAGCTTTCCACAGTGGTAAAGTTCTCTGCGTTTCCAAAAACAAGTGGCGTTAATAGGTATAAAATGTGATAGTGTTGGTAGTAAATCTGTTTGCAAGTGTATAGAAATGGAAGAATATGATGATAACTTTTGTCTAACTTCCACCGTTCAAATATTATTCTGGAAATAGCATGGTGGGGAAGATGGAGCAAAGTGGGGGCCTGGTGTTTTTCCATGTTGCAGTGGGAAAGCAGCCCCTTTGTTATGTTGCAAAATAAGGAAAAAATATCTCTAAGATAAATGTGCGAAATAACGCCGTGATGCAACACTTGGAAAAGCCTCCAGCACCGATAAATTGAAATATTGCAAGTCAATGCAAGAAGCTTATCTTCTTCTTTGAGCAGGAACCAATCTCTTTCGTATCTTCAATATAACATTCCAAGATTTAAAGTATTTGCCCAACCCATTGGCTTTTGTTTCAAGGGGTGTTACAACATAAACAGTATCTCTCTATACAATTTCCACCAAAGGGAAAACCCTCTGAGTGCCAAAACTGTGGAGCTTGAACTTGCAAAGTGTCCCGGGCATACCAGGAGGCATATACCGGTAGCGCGAATTGGATCTCGCCTATCAAATCGCAGGATGGAAAAAATAAATAGGTGGCTCCATCTTTTTGCTTCGTGTTCTAGCAAATACGAAGCACTATCGTTCAATCTCAATGAAAGCAGCAATTAGACTATTAAAGCATACGATAAAATTTGTTGGAGGACCACATCCAGTTCCAAGTATGTTGTGAGATGAAGTTTATCTCTACTTGTGACAGTTCTTTTTTTTTTACTAACAATTAACAGAACCTCATTCAGCTGGCCCACATCCCCTTGCGCCTAAGGGAGTAGTTCCTGGATCAGTTGGTACATCATCCGGTAGTTCCCAATCTAGAAGCTTCCACCACAGTAGTCCTATTGAACCACAGAATGGTGAATTTTTTTCAAGAAGCGAACTTCCAAAGAGATTCAGATATCCAACTATAAAAGATTGGGAAATTGATCAAGTAAGTAGCGGAGGTGCTGAAGTTGTGTTTTGAGAGAGAGCGGAGTTAGCTATAGCCACATATTGGTGGAACTTTAGAGATAGATTAGTGAAATACAGGAGTTATATTATTTCTGAGATGTGTCAATGTAATTGTACAAGCGGGAGCATTTCTTCGTGTGAAAGACTCATAACTCAAGCTTGTAGTAGTCTCTGCTCTATTTCTCCCACAAAGGGATGTCCATTTTCGTTGTCCTCTTTCTGCCCTCAAATCCAAAAAGCCGCAACCAGACAATCAACCAAAAAAATAGAGACTAAAAAAAAAATCGCCACTGCAATTTCGAATCCCTTTTCCCAACAACAGTACACACACATCAATTACGCCATGAACCACGATCCATACCAATGGGGTAGACCCTCAAATGAAACTTACGGAGCATACAATTACAACATTGCAAATGCCAACAACACAGAGTTTAAGGATTACAATCACCATGCACATCAATTTCCTAAGATGAACACTCAGCAGCCTATAATCACAGGTACGTCGGTTATAGCCTCCAAGTTCGCCAATGGAATCATTATGGCAGCGGACCACGTAGGTTCATACGGGTCGTTGTTGCGTTTCAACAATATAGAGAGATTAATTAAAGTGGGTCTGGAAACTGTTGTTGGTATTTCAGGGGACATTTCCGATTTCCAATACATAACTAGACTTTTGGACGAATTGGAAATTGATGAAGAAGTGTATGACAATGACGGTGGCAATAATTTAAGGGCACCCAATGTGCATGCGTATTTGTCGAGAGTGATGTATAATAGAAGGTCGAAGATGGATCCATTGTGGAATAGTATCGTGGTTGGTGGTTTTGATGATGAAAGAAAACCTTTTTTAAAATACGTTGACTTGTTGGGAGTTACATATCATGCATCCACTATTGCCACTGGGTTTGGATCTCACTTGGCCATTCCATTATTGAGAAATTTGATACCAGAGGATAAAGATTATGACAAGGTCAATGAGGATCAAGTCAGGAAAGTGGTTGACGACTCAATGAGAGTATTGTTTTACAGAGATGCAAGGTCAGGAGAAGTCTTTTCGTACGTTGTGATCAAGTTGGATGAGGAATCAGGAGAAGTCAAGTTTGAATTTGTCAAGGATGCAAAGGTAGAAAACCAAAGGTGGAGGTTTGCAAAGGACATTAGGGGGTATGCTAGTAAGCAGCAATAGAGTAGTTAAGTATAACGTTGGAGGAGGTAATCTAGTCAATTACAATTTTGATTCTGTGGTTGTAGCGATACTGGTTAAAACACACACACACACGCTCTCCCTCTCTCTCTCTCTCTCTCTTTCGTTCCCAAATTTAATTCCATTACAAGCTACAGGTTGCTTTTGCAGCACCGTGTAACCCAAGATGGCCTAAAAAAAGAGGGTTTGCTCCTGTTGCTTATTGACTGACTCTTTTTTTGGTTCAGCCACGTTGTAATTGTGGATATGCTTGTGTTTTTGTGCCTCCGCATTTTATCTCGTCTAAAATTACTTTTTGACATATAAGCACTTACACAGTCAACACAGGACAACACAAGTCTACACAGTACATATGTCATTCGAAATAACATTCTTAGGAGCTAGTGGTGGCCCACTAGAAGGAAACACCTGTTCACTACTACTTAAATCCACTAGTATTGGATACTCTGAGCTATTGGAGTTGGAAACTGATCCAGACAGCAATCCAAATACCTACAAGACCAATACCGAAGAATTACTATGTATAGATGCCGGATCAGGTATGGGCAAACTCACGGAAATCATATACCAAGAAAGCAAGTATCACAAATCGGCATGCAACTTGTTGAATTACTATTTTGATTCGGAACCTATCGACTACTATTACCATAAAGATGTACAACGTATTGAGCCATTTGTCAAATTTAACCAATACAATACCATCACATATTCTAAGCTTTTGTTCAACAAGTTGAACAATTTCCTAATAACGCATCCTCATTTGGATCATGTGTCCTCATTAGTGATTAATTCTGCAGGGTTCACGGTAAATAATCCACCCAAGCGAGTCTACGGCTCGAAATACACCATCAAATCACTTCAACAACATTATTTCAATGGAATAGTGTGGCCGAACATGCCCAGTTTTGATATCCTCGAGTTGACGCAGTTGGAGTTTGAAACGACGCATAAAGTAGGTGAATACAATGTTCGCATGTTTCCCTTGAGTCATGGCGAGTTGAATATGATTGAGAGTAAAAATGCTGGAAGACATTCTAGCATTACGACTATCCCTGCTGGAGTCAGTGAGGATCATTATAAACGGTCATTGACGGGTCAACGAAGCAGCGACCCCGACGTGCACCATTATCAATCCACCTCATTTTTGGTATCACGAAACGATGTATATCTACTTGCATTTGGTGATTTTGAAAGTGACATGGTTAGCAAACTCCAGCGTAATCAAAAGATTTGGAAATACGTGGCACCAGTGGTGTTACAACATAAATTGAAAGGTGTCATTTTAGAATGTTCAAATGCGGGGGAACCGGATCCAAACAAGTTGTATGGCCATTTGACGCCAAAACATGTTATTTATGAATTAAAACAGTTGGAACAAGAATGTAAAAAGTTGGAGAAAAATACAGAACACCCATTGAAGGGACTCAATGTCATTGTTAATCATGTCAAGGAACCGATACTATCGAATCTCCGTGAGATCACCGATCCACGAAAACGCATCTTGACTGATTTAAACAAATACAATGAGGAAGAAGGTTTAGGGTGTTATATATCGATTGCTTTAAGTGGTACTACCATAGTGTTGTAAAGATAAGACAAGCTAGACAAAGATTTATGCAAAAAGAGAGAGAGAGAAAAAATATGTGTATTTATTCAAACTGTAGTGACAAAGCTTTTCTACTCTATTATATAACTTTCTGAAATGACATTGGCGTGTAAATCAAATGGCAAAGATTTTTCTTCTTCGTCATTTGAAACAATGTCAACTATGGAGACACCACCCAACGAAACATCACTCTCAACCAAATCGACATTATTTATATCAAATTGCACTTCCAAGGGGAACAAAGACTCCTCATCGCCACCATCAACGGGGACAGTAAACTCAAACGAGCCTTGGGGGTCATCGAGGGCGATTGAACCAATATTGAATACAATTCCCGTCTGGTCTAAAATGTCATACGATATGTCATCGTTGCCTTCTTGCAACACGACATCATGACTGACAATGGGAATCAAGACCTTGACATTCTCCACTTTGAACACTTCATTTGGATGCGATGATGTGAAATCGGATGTCAATTCGTACTCTAGCGTGACTTGAGCCGTGGAATTATCATCAATAGTGACCCAAGCGGTGATCAAGAGGGGGATCGACGTCAAATCATCTTGCTTCCCCACATACCTCCATCTTAAAACTCCCAATGCTTGGTCATTGGATGGGAACGTTTTCGATTTGTCCTTGACGGTTAATATACTATCGTTCTGGAACAAGCTACGGTCGACATTAGGGTGCGTCTTGTATTGTTTTTTATCCGCCTTGTCGCCAATTTTCAACAATATCTTTGCATTTGCTAAGGACTGGTCATTAATTCTCAATTGCAAATCACCCTTGACTTCAGAGGAGATAACCGATCCTTCACGCGTTAAGCGAGCATTCACCTTTTCGTTGACCGTAACTAGGATACCGTTATTGGGCACTTTTGGAATTTGTGGTACAGGAGAGGCAGTCTTGGATGCAGGTGCTGATTGTTGATACTGTGTTGGAGTAGCTGAGGCTGAAGAGAAAGGCTTATTGAAGGCTGGTTGGTTACTCAACAATGGCTCATTAACTGGTGCAATTGGCTTACTTGCTTTTTTACCCAATTGTAGTCCACCACCTCTTGGTCTCGAACTGAATGTGGATTTACTCTCCTTCTCAGTTTCAATAGGTAAAGGTGGTTGATAAACTGGTTGTACTGCCGGTTGGTTCATGCTTGAATAAGATGATGGACCACCAGCTCCACCACCTACACCAAATCTCAGACCAAAATCATCGTTGTTTCTATTAGCCAATTCTTTTCTTTGAATCTCTTTAGCTCTTCTTTTCCGCTCTTCAGCAGCTTCAAACTCCTTATTTCTTTCAATAATTTCCTGGATTTTTTCCTCGTGTGAATGCATTTCCAAAAACGTTTGCACTTGACTAATGGTCAAATTCTCCTTATATCCCATATTAATAATTTCATCAAATGCATCAATGATGTCAAATGCACAATCAAAAATTTCTCGTTCATCAACATTGCGCAACAAGTTACTCACGGCCGAAGCAAATAAATGCAACGTATCAATATCTTGTAAAATGTTGGATGTCTTGTTGGATATCAACACGATATAGAATTCCTCCAATGGTTGGTAGACATATCTCACATTTTCATCCTCAACCGTGGTGTGTTGGCTTGAAGTGTTGGAAATTAAACTAGGGAAGTTGGCCAATAATGCCGTGATTCTGTCCTTTGAAATGTCTCTGAATTGTCTTGAAAGTAATGGTTTACCACCACGGGTACATATAGAAGCAGCCAAGACTACCATTTTGATGTAATTGATGGGAAAGGGGAGGACTGTTTGGGTGTCTGTAGATGGTGATCTTTTGTTTTTTTTTGTCACTTCAATTGGTGTTGAAAAATTACGTGTTAAATGGTTAAATCAACGAAAAATGAAAAGGTCGTGCAATGGTTGGTTTTTATGTCTAAAAATAGAGTTTTATGACTCGACAATGGGAGAGTCGTTTGCAGCTTTGATTTAGGCTGGTCCTAGGGTTCATGTAAACTAAGGGGGATATATCTAGTGCTATATTCTTTTGTCACTAGGCTTTTTATTAAGAAAGAATATGACATGTGAAAGTAAAGTCACTGTTTCTTATGGAACGAAGGTGCAACACATGTTTTGGTGTAGGGTGTTTACATTTTGCATCAAATTCTCAACAAATGTTCATGACTTCAAAATAACCACCGAGAGATTGTTTACAAACAATGTAATATTAAGAAAAGCAATAGGGATGAGCTTTTGGAAAAATTTTATGATTATTATTTACAGGGACATATAAACAACTTTCCTCATTTTCTCAACATATCTCCTCCAGGAATGTAAAGTCAAGCTTACACTACAAAGAAAACAGTTAGTAACGAAATTATAAACAAGTAGGGATTAAGAAACATACCAATAGTTCAGGAGTCACCAATTCCTTAAAATTTTTCAACTTCTCATCAACAGTACAGGAAATAAATGCCGTAAGGGAGGTTTTTTGCAAAAGTGCATGAGCTTGGAAATAGGTTAATCCACACTCACACAACAATCCAAAATGTTGATTATCCAAATCTATTGGCTCATTATTGATTATCTGTGGTGGTTCCAGATCAATGATTTCCAAACACCAAAGCAAAGCATCGTCTCTTGACACAAACAAGAGTTTGATATCGATTGCAAGACAGATTAATTGCATGGTTTGCAATTTAGGTCCGGCAAACTCCACAAACGAGGGAGTATTGACAATGGCAATAACGTATAGTCGATGGAAATGTTGCTTCATGGTTAGTAACTCTTCAAGAATTAAGAAATCAGTGGTTTTGCCATCACCTTGCACAAGTAATTCAGCTGGTGTTGTGTAGATTGCTGATGTTGTGTTTATGACGATATCTACTGCATGATTGAATTTGGCTTCAACAATGCCGATCCTTTTGTCACTCAAACCTTTGGCAAGAAGGTAGTCCTTATTCCAGAATGATTGTGATAAAGCAATGTATTGATTGGAAGGGAATTGATACTCTTTGGCTGGTTCGGAAAACGACGAGTCGAAAAAGATACTATATTGAGGCAATATTGATTCTGTAGAGGTCTTTTCTTTAAGTTCTTCCTCCTTTGTTTCGGTTTCCTTTTTTGGGTGTAAAAACAGAAGCAATGCTAGTTCGTGAGGTATATCAACCATTTTTGTATTCAACTTGCGTTTCTTTGTCAGGACTAACTTTACTAAGGCTTCGGTGTCATCGTGGTAAGTAGCAAGGTTAGTTGCTCCATTGTCAGGCTCAATCTGGATGGTGCTTGAGCTTGTAGTTGCAGTTTCTGTTGTATATTCTTGTAACTGAGGATAATCTAAAGCCAAGGTTTCATCAGAATCAAAGGGTCCCAACTCAATATCTTCACCAACCGCTGTTGTGACTGATAGCTGAAATCGGGGACTAATAACAGAATCAATAGTTTCAACTAAAAAATGATTTTGTAAAGTTTTAATATTCGCAATTATCGGTTTCCATTCCATTTCCACAATGAGTTGATACTTGTTTAGATGCCATGACTTGGTGTTAAAGTACTTGTTTATGTATTGCTGGATAAAGTATTCGGGTGGTTTATCTTCAACTTTGTTGCACTTAGCTATCGGATGTACCAAATACTTGCGACTACGAGTAGGTTCATTCTCAAATAGATACAAGTTTAAATCGTGATTATCATACCGATTGGTCAATTGGGGACCTGTCCAGTTTGGGAAATCAAAACCACAAGAGTCGTTGTTGCGTTTGGGTTCAACAATGGTTGGAATATCAAGCCCTATGCAATACTTTTTAACCAAATTGTGTTGCACTGGCAAAAGACTTATAGCCTCTGGTTGAGATTGAGGGAGTTTAGATTCAAGCTCTTGCTCGATAATGTCAAAAAAAGACACCTTTTCATTGGCTTGCCATACTGGTAAACTTGGCTTTTTAACAGCTGCTTGTGGTTGCAAAATTATTGGTTCAACAACAAATATATTGTTCATGATAGGTCTAAGCTTCCCCACTGACTCCACTTTATCACCTTCGAGGTCAACAGAATACTCCAGAATTAGTTGCTCCAAAAAACCAAAAGTTTCTCTATGAATCATGCTGTTTTGTAGGTTCAATGAAAAGGGGACGGCTATCAGCTGACATACTTGACTTGATTCTACTTGAGCCAAATATGAATCCCACGGATTGTCAATAGTTTCATCAGATTCAAACTTATGAACACCAACGCAATACTTTTCGGCTATAATTACCGAGGCAAACTTGGGATGGAGACATACATCGGCTGATGGCGGTTTCAATTGATTGACAAGTATTTGTGACACGCGTTTGCTAACTTTAATGACTTCGTAGTTGAATTTGGGTATGGCGTGATTATCAGCTTGTGGTAATGGCCATTCTGCAGTGTTGAGGTTGGTTGTGACTAGATCAATGAATTTGGACAGTAACGGAATCATTGTGGTGGGGGAGGGAGGCAAGGTATGTGCATTGAGATGAAACTTTGCAACCAAAAAAAAACGAAAAATTCACTCGATTTCTTTACACAACATCTGCAGCTGATATGCAGCCCAGTAGAAGTATTGTTTTAGCCATAAATATCGCTGAAGTTGACGGTACAGAAGCACTTTTCTCATTCTATGGGCTTATCTAACCTTGAGCAAGCATCTGATTAGTTTGGTACATGGAGTAAACTGTGTAGTTAGCTTGTATGTTCCTCTCAATTCGTCATAGTTGATTGACAGGTCAATTGAGATGTGGAGTAAGATTATCGTTTTCCACCAAATGAAGCAGTGGACCAACTAATACTCTACCTTTGTCATCACTGAGACGAGAAGGAGACAAATGGTCAACTAATCCGTATTTTCTTACATGCATTTGTTTTAAATTCCAAGTCGAAACCTAGATGTATACCTAAACAGAAACAAAAAAAAAACAAAACAAGTGAGACAGAGGAATGTCGCTTGAAGTTGTTGAGACTGTTGAAGCAATCTCTGCCAAGACTTCCTTATTGCTAGAAGAGGGGGGAGGAATAGATAAGTATTACTCGTCTACGAGAGTAAAAGAGTGGAGTTGGTGGATCTTCTGAATGTCACTAGGAACTGACGGATGGTAAGAACGTAAAAGGGGAATCTATTGGGGTTTTAAACATCACTATACTACTGTACTAACTAACTAAATAAAGTCAAAATGTAAATATTTGATTTTGTGTGCATATATGCACGACTAAACAAAATAAACAATAACAAACAACAAAACAAACAAAACAAACAAAACAAACTCAACCGCGGGTTTTTGTAATTTTGATATTTTCTGGCGTGTTTTGTTTCTGTTCTTTTCTTTTCCTGTTGTTATATGCTTTTCTCTTTTTGGACCTAAACATAAAGCTTCGGGTAAGTGAATTACCTTTTCCTTTTAATGAAACCAAAAGTAAAAAATTAACTTTATTGTCATAGTAGACTATGTTGAAACTATTGTGATGTGTCAAATCATTGCATATGTATGTACCTGTGTGCATTATAAAACTTTAGAGTAGTGTACAGTTTACTAAGAATATGTTTTCTCTATATACAGGATGTCATATGGGTTTTGTGTTGAAGTTTCCAGGTACGCACATTACAACATTGTTACACAGTTACAGCAGAAAAAGAACAATGCATGAGAAAGGTAAAAGTTTTGATGATGTAATGTTCTGTACACAGAGAGTGGCGATGCAAAGAAAGCCTTCAAATGTGAAAGGAAGGCATTCACTGATTGACTTTTGGGAAAGGAGGTGGCTACTTACCCTTAACCTCACTAAATGCTCGACAACCTCTCTTCGACTTTGAATTTTGTCTTTGGTTGATTGCACCCTGAAACAAGAAGTTAATCGAAAGGGATGGTCCAAATGAAAAACAATTACAATTTGTAAAAAGGATAAACATACGTACGATGGGTTAGCTGTTACCGAGGTATCAGAGGTCTTTGTTTGTGTTAAAACAAGTGAGACGACGATGATGTGATGTTGTGAATGTGAATGTAAATGCGTTGTGTTGTAATGTGTTGGTGGAACAATAGGAGAGTGTGAATTGAAACAATAGAAATGTATTAAAAAGGGAATTTTAAAAAATGACAATAGAAATGCTTTTTGGTTTTTTTTTTTTTGGTTTCAGGGGAACATTTTAAATTTTTTCTTAATGCCCAAAAAGTTTCTTTCATTTAAATTGACACATATTTCCCCTTAATTTTAATTTTTAAGCTTATCTTCTTTCTTTCTAATCTATTTTTCATACAGACCTTAGGAAGAGTCTACTACTACTACTACTACTACTACTACTACTACTACTACTATTATCACCACAACCAATTACATTCCTTTATTTCAAATACCCTCCGAATTGTTCACCATGACCACAACCACATTACCATCCAGCATACTACTTGATAATTCTGTCACTAGTGATATATCGACAGTAACACCCTCATTATCCAACCTACATGTGGCTACAGACTTATACAACTATGCCAATGGAGGAGGCTCAGTGCAAACTGTTGACTCTTCTTCTTCATCATCATCATCCTCATCAATCACGGGGTTACTTTATGCTAGTGCATCATCTGATTTAGCTGATGCCACTGGTTCATTTTCAGCTAGTTCTGATGTAAAGACTTTAAGTATCTCATCATCCAAAGCTAGTGGTTCAAAATCAAGCGCATCATCAATCTCGTCGGATGGTTCTGCTAGTGGTTCTTCTTCCAGCACAGCCTCTGCTTCGTCGGAAAATAGTGCAAGTAATAACAATGTTGCTGGGTCTTTGAAGAATGGCAAATACTTATTGATGTTTTCGTTGTTTACTGTTGCTTCGATGGTTGTTTCGATTTGAAGAGATAGGAGAGGGGTTTACTTTGAAAGGAGACTTTCTCCTTCCGTCCCAAGTAAGGCTACTAGTTAAATGTAGTGCAATTTTTAATGATTTCAGTTCGTTTAATTAATGATTAAGGAGATACCTTTGATTTTTAGGAGAATAAATTTAGACTGAGTTTCTAAAAATACAAAAAAGTTTTATATTAGTTTGATATATTGTAGGTTTAGATATCATCCCCACTGAAAAGTCTAGGTAACTTGGGGACGGTTTCTTCAAGGATATGAACATGATATCTCTTATTAAAGAACAAAGTGATATATTCCAAATTCCTTATACATTCAGCAGATAAAGTGGAACTTTGGTTGCCATCTCCAAGTACTTAGCTGTAGCTTGTGTTTTATTTCAATTTTTCAGTTATAGTTTTACTTTGGTTCTTCTATTATCTTTGTCACTCGTCCAAACTTATTTTATTTGCCACCTCTATTGCAACCTCTCAATTTGCGCCTTCTATAGTGAATAACAATGCCACACAATATGGACAGAGATTATGCAGTCGTATCTTTGATTTGCCAAGATAGTGCCATTAACATGTAATATATCATCTCAAGTCAGATAAGAATTTGTTTTCTTTCTTCTCTAACTCTGCAATATCTAAAACTTTACATAGAAACACATTTTTTGTTGCTAGAGGAGAAGAAAAAAATATAGAAGCGCGGAGCTGAGATCCCACCCTGCATAGTGGTAGTGCACCAAATGCACATTTCCTATTTTACCAATAAAAATTATAATGCATAGCTAACGCACGACTCTAGCACCACTACTCTTGATTCATGTTCAGGTTTGGAATGAGTTGCATTTGTGATAAATGAAAACAACCGTTGAAAGAAGCTTTGCTTGGTGGCTTGATAATGATGGCTCCTGCAACGGACTTATAAAACGGAGAAGATTCAGGCGCCAACAAAACGCAAAAAAAATTGAAAAAAAAAGAAAATCTGTTGAGTGGTTAAAGATATTTCCGTTGATTGACTTAATTTGGTATTAGGCGTCAGAAGCACAAAAACAGATAGTAGTAGTAGTAGAAGAAGAAGAAGAAGAACGAGGCTCAAAATTAAAAAAATAAAGAAAAAGAAACGATGATTCATTAGTGTAATATAATAATTTATTTTCCCTTCCTGTCTTCATGTCTTTTTCATCATTAGTCATCAAAAAGTATTCAACCTTGAAGTGAAAAGAGAGAGGTTATTACTCATTCGCTACTTGACCACGGTTATTAACGACACATATATTTATTCTTTAATTCACTAACGCCACACCACACTGCATATTAATTTCCCACTGCATATTGATATCCCACTGCACGACTTAAATGACTACCACATCAGACGATAGCCTGTCAAAACATAGTGTAGTTGACTCCATGTATGTACCTGATACGGTAGAACCATACGAGATCCATGCAATCCACTCGATCCACTCGCAAAATTCAGAACAAACATCACGTTTAACCAGATATAGGACGGGTCATTCAGAACTATCACGCATAATCAGTGGTATCCGCGATGATCAGCAACTAGATGACGAGGAGAACAAACGGTATAGGGAGCGTGGTGATGCCGAATATATAATGGCACAGGAACTAGATCGAGGGATTAGTCGAAATGTGAGTCGTCCTCAGAGTCCCGATGCCGAAGAAAAGGAAGCAGGCCGTGAAAGCGTGATTGAACAGAAATTAGAAGAAGGAGGAAGAGGAGTAGAAGTTGAAGAGGGGGAAGTTGACGACTACCCAACCGATGGAAATTTCGCTTGGGTGATGTCAATGTGTGCCATGTTGGCGTCATTCTCCACCTGGGGAGCAAATGCCGGATACGGTGTGTTTTTAAACTATTATTTAAACTCAAATACGTTCCCCGAAGCTACTGAATATGATTTCGCCTTGATTGGTGGTATCGTTGTGTTTGCCGCCAACTTCTTAGCCCCATATAGCGCCATCTTGAACAAAGTGCTTGGGTTCAGATGGGTCTTGGTATTGGGACTTGTGTTTCAGACTCTTGGATGGATTGCTGCTTCGTTTGCCACCAAGGTATGGCATTTGTACTTGACACAGGGTGTATCTGTTGGTATTTCATTTTCATTTATATTCATCCCATCAACTTTAGTTTTACCTACTTGGTTTGTTGAGAAAAAGGCGACGTCGATGGGTATTTGTGTTGCTGGTGCCGGGTTGGGCGGTTTAATATTCTCCCTTAGTGTTAACAAAGTCATACAAGATACAGGGGACCAAAGATGGGCATTGCGAATGGTGGGGTTTGTCACTTTATTTGCTGTTGTTGTTGTTATTGTATTGATGAGACCGAGGAGGACATCACTAGTGGCACAACAAACGCCACCAATAAAAGAACGGTTAACTCGTACGTATATCAAGGAGAGTTTTAAAGTCATTTTTGATATTCGTGTTGTTAAAAACCGCGGAATTCAAATTGTCGCCATTTGGTTTGCCATTGCCTTGATTGGATATACATTGATGTTGTTTACTGTCTCGTCATATGCCACGTCGATTGGATTATCACATCAACAGGGGTCCTCATTAACGGCTATCATGAATGCATCGCAAGTTGTTGGTAGGCCGTGCATGGGTCTTGTTGCAGATCGCATTGGCCGTTCAAATTTCACGTCCGTCATATGTTTGATGATTTCAATCCTCTTGTATGCATTTTGGATCAACGCAAAGACGTATGGGGCAATGATTGCATTTTCCGTCATTATTGGTCTTATTGTTGGCGTCGGTTCCTCATTGGCCCAACCTTTAACTGCTGATGTGCTTGAGGGCCACTTGAATCAGTTGCCAGCTGGTTGGTCGGCAATAAATATTTTCGTCTCGTTTTTCTGTCTTGTTGCTGAAGTCATTGCTTTGGCTTTAGTGGTCAAGGGCAGTTCAGACCCTTATTTGCACACGCAAATCTTTGCTGGTACTTGTTTCTTTGCTTGCTTCTTGGTGATGTTGGTGTTGAGAGAACATTTGGTGAGCAAGATTTTACGGTCTCGTTATGACCAAGCAAAGACTAGATTAGACCAGATTAATGGCAATGCCGGAGTCACTAGATGTGGCTATTTGAAGGATGCGTCTGCTGATGATGGAGATGAACAAGATGTGGCGGATGCGGGTGAAGAAGAAGTTTTACTAGAAAGAGTTGAACGGTATGAGCATTTGTTGAGGCGGTCTGTTTTCGCCTTTTTCGGTAGAGTGGTTTATCCGATAAAAGTATGATTTAATAAACGTCAAATAGAGTACACCACACTCTCTATCTCCCTCTCCCTCTACGTAGTAAAAAAGTTAACTTAGTTGTGTATTATTTAATTTGCTTATACATTAGACCGGTTCCAGTAAATAAAAAAGCATACACGATAATAAATTCTTAAAACCTCTAATATACATACATTGTTGTCGTGTAAACCACTGGCATATACAAACAGAAAACACAGCCAGTGATATCCATTCCATTCGTTGTGTCTTCTCTTTTTTTCTTGTCCTCTCCGATAAATTGTTCCCTTAACGGTTAGATTTAGCAACTCTTTCCAATTCATCCTTCTTCTTGATGGCATAAGAAGTAGAAGAACCCTTGGCAGCATTGATCAATTCTTCAGCCAAACATTCAGCAATGGTCTTGATGTTTCTGAATGAAGCTTCTCTGGCACCAATAGTAATCAAAGCAATAGCTTGGTTTACTCTTCTCAATGGGGAGACATCAACAGCTTGTCTTCTAACGGTACCTGAAGAACCGATTCTGGTGGAATCTTCTCTAGCACCAGAGTTGATGATGGCATCAACAACAACTTGGATTGGGTTTTGTTCAGTCAAAACGTGAATGATTTCCAAAGCGTGTTGGACGATTCTGACAGCCTTCAATTTCTTACCGTTGTTTCTACCATTCATCATCAATGAGTTGGTCAATCTTTCAACGATTGGACATTGAGCCTTTCTAAATCTCTTGGTGGCGTATTTACCAGCAGTGTGTGGAACAAAGACGGCTTGGCCAACTTGGATGTAGTCAACTAATGAAACGTCCTTGACTTCAACATCTTGGAATGACCATTTGTTGAACAACTTGACTTCACGTTGAGCTTCTTGGACATCAAGTGGGATTGGGGTGGCCAAGTTGACAATGGTTAATTCTTCTTGGACAACTGGTTGTTGTTCTTCAACTTCAAATTGTTCTTCAACGTCAGACATAGTAACTGGATGTGTTATATGATGTGTGTATTATATCCTTTGGTGAAAGAGTCGTGAAGTAAAAAATTCAGTATATTATGTTTAAAAGATTTGATTTTCCAGTTTGTTAGGGTACAAAATTGGAAGTGAGAACGAAGAAAGAAAAAAAAAAAAATTTGTTTCACTTAATCATGTGCAAGAGAGTGAATTTAGGGTTGAAGCCCTGATAAATGGTAGCGAAAAATGACAATCTTTATCGAGATATAGACAACTGACATACAACTCATCTACAGTGCCACTTGTCTGTAGTCCAGTTGAAACGACATTTTCTTCTGGCCAAGGTCGTTTCTTTGCTGTTTCGCCATCTACTTCAGCTCTGTTTAGTGTCTCCCAGTTCTAAATAACCAGAAGACTCCTTGATGAATGTGCTTGAAGGGGGTTGTTCACACTTCTCCGCTTTCTATTTTAGAGTGAATACATTTGTTAATATAGTTTTGTTTTAGGTGTCACCGGAACAGGCAAAAACTTGAAATTCTTTTTTTGCTGCATATTAGATTTAGCACATCGAGCATATGATTGATAAAATAGACAATGTCGACATAGAACCTTGTTGAAGTGGGTTAAAGCTATTGAAATTGAACAAGGACGGGGTCTAGCTTACCTACTTCTAGTAAAGGGCAGTTAGCTTAAATGCACGTTTATGCTAGCCAAGTCCTGCAAAATTTTATTCAAAGAGAGGAGAATATATATCCGCGTTTGAATAAGCATCGAGACAAAAAGGTTAATTCAATGACATATTACAAAGCACAGCAATATGCCTGAAAACTCACTAAGATTGCCTTGCTGCAACTGACTCCTCCCCGTTGATCGGACATCTATCTTTCATTATTTCTTTGCGCGATGGTAAATTCCGTCTTATCAATCTTGCTTTTGCTATGTGACTAATATTTTCCCCCACCATTTCATAAATTGCATCACAATAAAGATTTTTCTTTTGTTCAATATTTTTCCTTTACCGGAGGAACAAAAGACAATTGAAAGATTGCATAAGCGCGAGGCGGAATTGTTACTCACATATTATTTTATAAAATCAAACGTTGGTATTTAAACAATCATATTTCACCAAAAAGATGTCAAATTTGTTGAAACTATCATTTGCCACATTTAATTCCCCTTATACAAGCTCTTTTTTGATTCGGAAAGATGTCGGAAGTTGGAAAGAACCACGAGATTATAAAAGACCCTGAACTATTAGTCTCCGATGACTCAATATTGAATTCGTCACAATCACAGGCATCCGACTTTGATGCCGACGCAGAAACAGCACGCTTAGCTGAAGAATTGGGTATAAATCACAAGAAACTTATGTGGAAGATTGACGTTTGCGTTGTACCGCCATTTTGTCTCCTATATTTCTTTTCATTTTTGGACAGAGTCAACATTTCCAATGCCAATGTCTATGGTTTAAGTAAAGAGTTGAAATTGACAGGTAATCAATACAATACAGCATTGACCTTGTTCTTTGTTCCATATATATTTTTCGAAGTCTTTGGAAATTACTGTATCAAGTTTGTTAAGCCCCATAAATGGCTTTCAGGATCGGTGTTTTTATTTGGCGCCATAACAGTGGGAATGGGATTTTCCAATAATTTCAGTGCATTGGCAGCAACCAGATTCCTCTTGGGAATAGTCGAGTCGGTGTTGTTTTGCGGTATTTTTTATTTGCTTTCCACGTACTATTCGAAACCAGAAGCACAAAGGCGGTTCTCCGCATTTTTTTCATGCACTGCTTTGTCGGGTGCTGCATCGGGGGCCATAGCTTATAGAGTCAATGATTTGGATGGGTTACACGGTATATCTTCTTGGAGATGGATTTTCATTTTGGAAGGGTGTGCTACTGTCATTGGCAGTTTCTTTTTGTATTTCATGATTGCTGATTTCCCAGAAGAGTCAAGGTTTTTAAACGAAAAGGAACGTAAATTCATCAAACAAAAGTTGGAATGGTATTCAGGTACAAGTTCAGCATTTGAGATTAAAAACACATGGAGAGATGTGGCCAAGTGTCTTACCGATTGGTTGATTTGGTTGCCTTCGTTGTCATATTTTGCTTTGATCATTCCATCGTATGGCTATGCTTATTTTGCTGCTACTATCATTAACCAAATGGGGTACACTGCAGTTTCTGCACAGCAGCATTCGATTTATCCTTGGGTGTGTGCATTTGGTGTGATTAATGTTGTCGCATTTGCATCCGATTATTTCAAAAGGAGATTACCTTTCCTTATTGGTGCCATGGTTGTTGCTATTGCCGGATTGGCTATGATCTTGGGAGCTACTGATAGGCCGCAAGTGAGATACGGTGGTTGTTTCTTAGCTGCCAGTGGGCTATACACCGCCATGCCTTTGATTGTGTGTTGGGCCGCTTTGAACAACGGATCACACCTTCGTAAGTCAGTTGGGACGGCTTGGCAAATTGGGTTTGGTAACATTGGTGGTATAATTGCCACATTCATCTTTTTGGCCAAAGATGCCCCTGTTTATAAACCTGGGTTGAGTACGTGTCTTGCTGCTGTTTGCTTTGCCATGGTAACGGCAATTGCCTACTTCTTCTACTGCGTGCATATGAACAAAATCAAACAGACAGATGCTTATAAGCAAAAGTTTGCTGAGTTGCCAGAACGTGAGCAAATCAACCTTGGTGATAGGAATCCAAGGTTTGTTTATTTATACTGAGGAGAAGGAGGTGAAGAAGTTTGTTTGAATTGACGAGGTTACGACGATACTAAAAATACCACTCGAGGTGTAGTGATTTAATTTTGAATTCTTGTGTGTATATTTCTAAGAATAAAAGTAAATTTAGAGTAAATAACTGTCAAGTAGATTTGTGTCTCTATAGAAGAAGGCTTATCATAAAGGTGATCATGGTTTCCAGTTTTTTTGGTAGCGAGGCCACTTCACAGCCTGTTTTTGTTGCAAAGTGGACCAAACAAGGGAATAGAAATTGTGACATATGTATGTGAGGTACAGTCACATACTTCAATCAAGGGTGGGCAGTGTAAGCTCTTTATTCTTTTGCACGTGCGGAGTATACAATTTTACAGCGTCACTGCTTCACAATAAGGATTGTTCGGTGATTGGATTTTTTTTTTTGTGTAAAACCGGATAAAAAAACCTTAGGCAGTGAAAGAGAGTCATCTAGCATCTGCAACAATAAGCAGGCACACCATCTCTATATATCTTTGCTTCCACATTGAATGACTTAAACCAAACCAGCTATCTCATAATTTCTTTATTTCGAGAAAACAATTGAGCCAAGACTAAATTGGCTCAATAGCTTTAAATCACAAACAGAAAGGGAAAAAAAAATAAAATAAAATAAAAAACAAAATCACACACAGCATAAACATTTGTATTCAATTACCAGAACATCCCATTGGTGAACCCAAACAATGTCAAAGAACGAATACTACAACGCACCCCAAGGCCCACCACCTTCTTTCAATCAAAGCCAAGGAGCATCTGGCAGTGCCGGTGGCAGCTATGTTCCACAATCACAACCACAATACAATGCCGATACACAAGACCGAGGATTTGGATATCATCAGCAACAAGGATATGGTCAAGGACCACCGCCAAACGCATATTACCAGCAACAGCCAGGGTACGGCGGTGGAGGATACCCCCAACAGGGTGGCTATTACCCACAACAGCAACCGATGTATGTACAACAACAAAGATCGAGTAACAATCAGGATTGTTTATTGGCTTGTTTGGCTGCATTGTGTGTTTGTTGTACGTTGGATGCTATATTCTAAGTCTAAAAACACTTTAGAAATTCTCCTTACGTCACGCTTTACTTTTAGTTATCGTTTTATAAATTTAGCTTTAAAGTATCAATACACAGAGTTGAGTCAAATTTAGTCTATATTTTGGTCTATTCCCTGTTTGCGTAAAATGTCCTGGTCAATATGGAGGAAATTGATTGCAAGTACGAGATCAGCAAAAAGAACACATGCTCCATTGATGATAAACCCGTAGCGTAATTTACTATGTTCTGCAAGCTTACCGGTGAAGATGGGGCCGACACATCTGGCAAATGTTTTCCCAATATTGACTATACCCATGACCTTAGTTATTTCCTCTTTTGGCATAATCGACGTAAGCAAAACTTGTCTAGGCACCACGTCCATTGTAGAAGTGAGATAATAAAGCAACAATAATGCAGCTACGACAACGTATTGCTGACTGAAGGCGACAAGACCAAAGAAAACAGCCGATGGCGCTTGAGTGAACAAGATTGCCTTGACAGGTCCAAATACCTTGGCAAAATATGCCGAGGGTAATGAGGAAACGGCATCAACCAGGTTGGTTACAAAAAACAATATACCCAAGACCTTCGCTGTTAATTGGAACGTGAATTTGAGATAGTAAACGACCCATGCCGAAGGCATAAACCCGTATCCCAATGAATCAAGCATGAATATAATTAGTAATCTTGGCAAATAGTATCTAGTGGTGTTGGATAAGGCTGACGATTTTCCAGTTTCTTCTGGTTCATCTCCTTCCATCAATGTCGAATGTTCATCTACTTCGACAAAGTTTTCAATATATACCTCGCATTTGTCGGATAAAAACAACATCAAGATAAACTTGACTGCGGCAATTAGCGAGTACACAATGAATATACTTTGATAACTTTTCTTTAAGCTCCAGTTGAGTTCTAAATTCATAAAGTCAACCAAGAAACCGCAAATTAACGACCCAGCGGCAGCACCCGCAGTAGCAAACAATCCATGAAAGGCAAATACTTCAGGCCGATGATTGTACGGTGTCAAATGCGCCATTGATGCCTCTTCAACCGACTTGAATGGGCCCGTCTCATCTCCAGACGGGGAAATAACACCAAATATAGCAGCTGTCAACAAGATGTAGAAATTGGTCGAGTACGTGAATACAACGCCAGATGCAAGCATCATGATTGAGCCAATGAGCATCACTTTTCGACGGCCAATTCGGTCAGCATTCCACGTGAGGAAATATGAGATGATGGTATCGCCAACGAGGGTAAGGGTCATGAAAAGGCCAATTTCAAACTCGGAAATTTTAATCTTTTTAAGATATAGTGCGAGTACTTGGTTAGTGAGACCGTAGCTGGCCATTCGGAGAAACACTGAGATCCATAGTATTCGGATATCTAGGTTTGTTTGCTTTAACGTTTTGAGTAAATGCATCTGTGTTTGGTGGGTAGAGGAGAACTTGTAGAGAATTTTGCGATGATTTGAACTCTCGCGCCAGAATACAAAACGCGATCCTGATGTTTTGCAACAATTGCCTAAAGAATAATCAAAGAGAAATATCACTTCAGTTAAACGTTGCTAAACTAAACTAGACTAGACTAGACTAGACTTGGGACTGTATTTCAACTTGGCCTGTTCCAAATGTTCAGCAAAAATGTCTTTTGGTGTCGATGTGGCCGGAGATACTTTTGCATCAGTAAAATCTCCTTTAATATATTGATTGGTGACGACTGCTGAAGTGGAATTTCCAGTTGAGATTCTTGCTGCAGATAGTGACGCATCATTCAACACCATCTTCCAAATCTGATTGGATGGTTGATTTTCAGGAGCGGGTGGGCGTCTGTGAGGCTTTGGCGATGCAGCCTTTATCTCTTGGTTATCCATTTCAGGAGTGGCCAAGTTGACACAAGGCATTGACTGCTCGACTTTGTCATATCCTCTACTTCCCACATTACTCAATGACCTGACGAGTCTAGACAACCGGTTGCTCTTTTTCACCTCTGTTTCATCGGACAGTGGAGTTGGATAAACCAAATGAAAGGGACTCACATATTGCATACCAGAATACAGGTCATTGTAATCGGTCGACTCCTCATCGTCATCATGCGTCATCGCCTCATCTTCATTCTTCACTGGACTAGTCAGACTACCCACATTCATATCCAAGCTAAATGTTTCCAAACAGTCATAACCAACTATGTTCAAATTCGATTCCGAAAATACCCTCGGCGGCTGCATCTCGCTTGAACATTGGTCAAAACAAGCATCAAATGATGGAAATAAGTTTATATCCGCCGTTCTTATCCATGCTTCAGGTACATTCTCCTTATCTTCGTCGCCAAGTACAACCAGCGCTGTATCTGCAACATCGAAAACTGGCACAGATGGACAATATTCATACGTTCTTAATGATGTGAATGGCTGATTGGGAACTCTTGTCCGTAATACTCGTGGGTTTTGATTCAAACTGTAATATTTTCTCTTGTAGTCGACGATGAAGTGGTCAAAGTTGAATCTCACGTCATGGTAGGCTTTTTTAAAGTAATCCATTCTTATTAACCTACTAGAGTAATAAGAAAACTAGTTTGACTGAATCAACATGGGTCATTATTTCCCTGTTTTTTACTTTTCTTTTCTTATATGCTTTTCTTGCATTTTGCAGCATTCCAAATTTTCCCCTTTTGCATTCTACAGCGCAATAAAACTTTTCTCCTGTATATACATGGCGATATTTACAAACTGATATAAGCTCTTTGTTGAGTTGCCTGCTTATGCATTTGAGCTTTCTTGTCATACCCAGATGACTTCCCCTCGTGGGCATTGATCAACTCTTCTGCCAACCTTACAGCGAAATCATTGGACTTTCTATTTTTTGAGGCTTCCAAAATCCACGTTATAGCAAACCTGTTTCTTTGTCTCTCATTCAACGGAATCGGCACAATTCTTCTCTTTGCAACACCGGTGGAAATAGATTTGGTTGTAACTAATGGGCCCAACTTGTCCAAAGTGTCTTTCAACACTTGAATTGGATCTTTACGCAATTTCATCTGAACAATGTAGAATGCACGACTGACAATCTTCTGCGCCCTTGCTTTGCGCCCATGTCTCATTACCAAGTTGATAAAGTTATCAACAGTAGGATCCGATTTCAAAGGTATTTGCTTGTTGGAATAAGAATAACTCTCTTCAACTTGTTCCAACGTTGGCTCAAACTTGTTAGTGATAAATTGTTCTGGCTGAGTAATTTGTCCAAGGTAAATCTCCTCGGGAGTTTCGTGTATCTTTTTGCCCTTGCGTAATTGTTTCAAAGCATCTATCCACTTGTCAACGTCTTGCTCTGTTATCTTGTCTTTGTCGATTGGATATATCTCAGTAAAGAGTGATTTTTGGTTCGTTGGCTTTGCTTCTGGTGTTGAAGGAGAAATGGCAGAGCTATTGAATCTCACACAAGCATACAGTATCCTAGAAATTAGGACCTGCCTACTGTTAAGGCATGTTCGAAGTAATGACATGGTTGATGAAAGCAACTTGATGGTGAAGGAAAGGGAAAAGAAAAAATTTTTGTCACCAATTTTTGTGTCTTCCTTACTTCGCGGGAGTTTTGCAATCAGTCAATCTCAATGATGTCAAAAAAGTGAACAGACACACCAGATCACTAATCTCACATATATTTGCCAGTGCCGAACACGACTACTTGTTACATAAAACTTTTAACTCTGTTGACTGTGTCTACATAATACATAGCTCCTCTAAAATCTGGTGGGAGATCTTGAACGTGATCTTGATCTTGACCTATACCGAGCGCTTCCTGGAACGTACGAATCAGTCCTTCTAGGTTCTTCTGATCGACTGGAGCGACCAGGAACGTACGAGTCAGTTCTTAGTCCACCACCACCACCAACACCTGGCCCCCCTCTTCTACGATAAGATTCAGGGCCATAACGGTACCGGTCAGAGCCTCGTGGCGGCCCTCCATACCTTCCACCACCACGTCTAGGAGGAACATAGCGAGGGATATATTCTCCATTCAACAATGTGTGGGAGGCAACCAATTCATCGTTTCTACTAACATACTCTAACTTCCATTTTCCATCTCTGGGCCCTCTATCTTCCTCAAATGTCCATTGGTTTATGGCTTTCACTGGAATGTACTCCACGTACAAAGGTATTCTCTCGGTTATAAAGTCCCTAGGCTCTCCCGGCGGTTTCAAGTTGGCTTTCACTGCTTCACTTGCAGTCTCCATATCATGCTCGTAACTCCTGGTCTCTTCCTCAAATCGTTCAATCTCTTGATTTTCAAACTCTTCTTTTAACCTGGCTTCCTCTTCTTCGTCTGGGTATATAGAGCCATTTATTTGTGACCTTAAATATTCAGCTCCTTCCTCGGAATCCACCAAAACAATTGCATGTGTTCTCAATCTGGTTAACCAAGCTCGGTCAATTCGAATAGGTATATCTTTGCTATTGTTGGCCAATTTTCGTACGAATTGTTGAAAATTGCTTGCATTAAGAGGGCGACGCAAATTTCCAATAAATAATGCTCTGGTAACATGGTATTGGGGATCTTCCGTGACCTCGTATCTTATGTCCCCTTCATCGTCCTTCATGTCGTCCACATTGGAGATACTTGGTAAATCTAAACCAATAGGATCAGCTCTTCTCGGTTTCAGAGTGAGTTCAGGCGTGGCATATTGTGGATAAGGTTTAGGACCATCCTCCCTCGCTAAGTGATTTTCGTGTTCAGAATCGCTCATGATTTCCAATTTGTCGACTCCCACCCTAAAGTGTAACCCAAAGTGTGAAAAATCAATTTGTCGAGGCGCATAAAAAAAAAAGAAATCAGACGTGATTTTGAAAAGCTAAACGTACAACCAGTCGGAGCTAAAACTTCAGAACACCCCAAAAAATAAAATTTTAGCTGCCAACAACAACCAACATAACCCCCTCCCCATACACACCCACAACTTGAAGCGACGATTATGTTGTCCCTGATCATGAAGAAGAGGATACTATACTCGTCCCACAGCATGTAATTGGCCGTGAAATATTGGGTGGATCACAAAACTGACCCGGAACCTCCCACAAAAGCTGGGATTGCTACATATTATAATGTGCCAGTTTCCACCCACGAAGATTTCATTAACCGCCAGGAAAATCCACGTAAAGGGCACGAAGGGAAACAAGCTTTAACTGCTGTTCAAGAGGAATTACTAATGTTACATGTAGCCCAAAAATTAAGTGCAGGAGAGCGAATTTCCAGAAAATATATCCTCGGCATTGCGTTAATAAAACTGGTTCTAAATGGAAAAGACCCATTGGCAATGGTTGGTTCAGAGGGTTCAGAGGATTCAGGGGCCAGGCACTCAAATTTGAAATACCAACTAGTGGAATCAACCGCACCTGACGATGTGAGTTTGAGTTTTTGGTTCGATAATTTTGAAAAAAAAAAAACACTCAAAGAACAAAGGGTAAAGCCAGAAAATTTGCACAATATGAACCAGACCCTTATTCAAATAGCTCCTTTGGAAAAGAAGTACTACCACCATAATTTAAATGGAAGTAGCCTGATGATAGCTACCAATTAAGATGAAAGTTGTGTTACAGCTTTGGAGTGTGTGTGTGCCGACGGAAGGAGTCTTCCCCCTTATTTAGTACTTTACGAATCAGAAACCGTGACCAATGGAATTTGGGAATACCAACACAGTGACTTATACCGTGCAGTCTCAGAAACTGGGTCAACAAACAGCCAAGCTGTATGTAATTGGCTCGAGACTATGTTTATTCCGTTTGCAAAATCTGGGGAAAATTCCGGTTGTATTGTCCTTTATCTTGACAACTTCGTTTCTCGTACCAACATGGAGTTCAAGACACTATGCATGCTGAATGGTATACTTCTTCTTTATATCCCAGAATACACACAGCTGCTTTCCTAGCCTTTAAAACAGGAGGTTTTTCCTAATTTGAAAAATGCCCTTAAAGATGAATTTGGTGAATATAAGCAATCACTCCTCAGTGTACGTGTAAATGAAAATCCATTACTTTCGTGCCACAGGAAGGCTCATCAAAGTCAATAGACTGAGCTTTACTAAATTCTTGGAAAAATGCGGGAATTTATCCACCAAATAAAGAGATCGCACTCGAGCATTTAAGGATGCAACAGACTGAGTGAATTTTGGTCCAGGAAGAAGGTAGCCCGTTAGAACCTATCTTGCTGAATCTCTCTCGTACAAAAGTGCAAATGGATTTCGTGATTAATAAATTGGCTGTTAAGAATAGAGATACTAGAGAGCTTTTGTATATTATTGGTAGAGAACTTCAGACTTTGCTTGTTTCTAACACCACACAGAACAGATAACTTCTGAATCTTCTGGAATTATTGGAAGGGTAGAAAACAACTAGATGAAGACGAGATACTTTGCTGGTCAAGACTCCGGTGGCCATAATAATGTAGAATGATGCGTTTTTGAAAGAGCTGCTTGGCAGAAGAAAAACGAATGTGGCTTAAAGTAGTTACTCTTCACGTTGATCCTCTATACATCTATTTACATATCTCTTCAACACCTTTCCATCTATACAGACCAAATGCTCTTGATCAACTCGAATAAACCGTTGTTGGCTGTTTCCAACACGTATATTCCATACATGGCCACAAATGTACCCAAAGTCAACAACTTACAAGCAGCTCCGTACCAAACACCGTAGACTCTTTTCGGTATGTAATCTATTATACAACTCTTGAAACCGGCGTAGCAATGGAATAATAATAAAGTGGAAAATGTAGCATCGATAACGGGGTAATCGACACCAGCAACAAATGGCGTCATTATCAAAGGAACCATTGCAGTAGTGATGATCCTGTCATATATCCAGTGGTGTGATCCCTCGTATGCATCTGGATCTGGTGGTACGTATGCCTCGTTGACCGTCTCCACAATGAATCCAGGTGGTTGTTCTATTGGTTTTAATTTCGAGAAATTGGGCATTAAACGTAGTGATCTTCCAAAGTTTAAGATCCCAGGCTTTAGCATCGGCCTGGATGTTTTTAAAGCGAGGGGAATCATATTTTGTTGGTGGGAGGATGTACGATGGGTTTGGGGTTTTTATTTTTTTTTTTTTTCATTTTTCAAAAATCTAACAGAAGGTCTAAATGAAACAGCTAGGGATTAGCGAGAGAGGAAATTCTGCAAATATGGTAAGCCAGGAGGGATGGAGAAGAGGTGATGGCTGGTTACTTGAGTATTGATAGATGTATCTACAAGTAGGTCTACGGCTACTGTGCAAACTCAAAACAAAGGTCATTAAATTTTCATTACGCTAATCTATTTACAAAAAGTATATGGTTTTCCTTCCCTAATCTACCAGGAAGCAACTTTGACACCTGGTATCTGTCCAGCTCTAGCCCTGTCTCTGAAAGCAGTTCTATTCAACTTGAAATCACGAATTAATGATTTGGAATTTCCTGTAGCAACACATCTATCTCTGATTTGTACATATGACGTGTATTTAGGCATACTGGCCAACTGCAATTGTGCTTCGACTCTAGCCCTAGAAGGTAACTCTTCGTTCCTTGCAATATACTTCAAAGCGTTTCTTGTGACTTCATGTTCAGCAAATTGTAGTCTTTTGAATTGGTCTCTGAGAACTCGTGCATTGATATGAGTATGTTTGGGTATTTCAAACTTAACTGGAAATCTAAAAGGCATGGCTGAGATGAGATGTGAGATGTGTTTTAGAGTCGAGTAAGTTGTCCTCTTTATTCAAACGATTGATTGTTGGAAAAAAAAATTTTCTGACTTTGTTTCTGCTTTGTGGATTTCCCTGCCACAAATCAGAATGAAAGCCGAACTGATGATAATGATAACAATACACAAGTCGACTGAAAATTAAGACAATGAACGATTAGGTGCTTTGAAAGATTTTACTAACTGGATCTTATTGTGTGATTCTCTATGCGATAATCGGCTTTCTGAGCTTCGGCTTCACTTCTAGTGATAAGTAGGACATATTTTCCCAACTCTCAACTTTTGTCATCACTTTTGTTCATTCCAGTGTTTTACTTCTACGATAAGCAAACTACAACACACTAATGTTTACTGGTCTTATTGAAACTATTGGAACGGTTGCTGAATATGTCGAGCAGGATGGCTCGTCTTCAGGGGGCAATGGTGTCTCCATAACCATTACTGATTGTTCAACCATATTGGAAGATGTTCATCTTGGCGACTCCATTTCAACCAATGGAGTTTGTTTGACGGTGACAGACTTTGATGCAGCCAAGACTCACTTCAAGGTAGGAGTAGCACCTGAAACATTGCGCAAAACCAATTTGGGAGCTTTGTCTAAAGGATCAAAGGTCAATTTAGAGCGGGCTGTGACGAGTGACGTGAGGTTAGGTGGCCACGTCGTGCAGGGTCACGTTGATACAATTGCGACGATTGTTGGCAAAAAGCCGGATGGGAATGCAATCACATTCACATTTGAACTTAGAGACAAGGAGTTTATCAACTACATCGTGCACAAAGGATTTATAGCCATTGACGGAACTTCATTGACAGTCACTTCTGTCGACGACTCAAAAGCTCAATTCTCTATAATGTTGATAAGTTACAGTCAGGAGAAGGTTATCTTAGCAAAGAAGGAGATTAGTGATACTGTAAATATCGAGGTTGACCTCACCGGTAAGCTCATTGAGAAACAAGTTGAACTTAACTTGAAGTCACAAATTGATAAAGGTGACAGTGCTTTGAATGCATTAATCACATCTATCGTTGAAAAAAAGGTGAAGGAATTAATCAAGTAGAAATTGTGTATGTAGTGGAAGCTGTTGTGTTGTGTATACGTTCATATAGAAATTGAATATTGAGCCAATTTTTGCAAAAAACAAAAAAATCCGAGAGGCAAAAAATTACTTTTGAGTACAACAACCTTTCTACACCACCTGATTAGCACAACGCAAACATGGATATCATATTAGGTATAAAAGTATCAGACGCAACACTAATTGCTACCTCAAAAGCTGCCACTAGAGGTATATCAATTTTAAAGGACAACGACGATAAAACGAGACATCTCAATGCCCACAACTTGGTCGCATTCACAGGAGAGGCGGGGGATACTATACAATTCGCCGAGTATGTTCAAGCAAATATCCAGTTATATTCGATGCGTGAGGACGACGTGGAATTGTCTCCCAGAGCCACTGCCTCCTACGTTAGAAACCAATTAGCTACATCGATAAGATCACGTAAACCGTACCAAGTCAATTGCTTAATTGCTGGATATGACACCAAAACAGATAAGCCATCGTTGAACTACATAGATTACTTGGGCACCCAGGTGGAATTGCCTTATGGGGCTCACGGATATGCTGCTTTTTATGCATTGTCGTTGTTGGATAAACACTATAGAAAGGATATGAATGTCGATGATGGATTGAAGTTGATGGACATGTGCATAAAGGAGTTGCAGACAAGAATGCCCATTGATTTCAAGGGCGTGTACGTAAAAGTGGTGGATGAGAATGGTATAAGGAAAATAGAATAAATATTTTTTTAATCTATATTACATTTCTATACTCTACAGTTGGAGATATCCAAGACTAATATATCGCTAGCACCGGCTTTCTTCAAATCATCCATAACATTACCAATCCTTTTCTTTGAAACCATTGATGAAATGGCGACCCAGTCTTCTTCCTCGGGTGAGTGTTTATCCAATGTGGACACAGTGGCGGCTCTCTTACCTGGAGTAATCTTTAAGCAATCAGCCATAATTGTTTTTGGAGCATTGTAATTGCACAATACAAACTCTTGTGCTGCCAAAACACCTTCCAATCTTTCCTTAATAGTATTTACAAGTTCAGGATACCTTGGTCTTCTCGACGAAAACAAGTGTGCGGATGTGGTTAAAATCGTTCCAATAGCCTTTAATCCGGCGGCTTTCATAGTTTCTCCACTTTCAACCAAATCCACAATTGCATCGGCGACACCTAAAGCGCAAGATGCTTCAACTGATCCTCCCACGTATCTCACATTTATGTTGGCATCACTCTTGGCCTCTGCTTTCAAACTCTCGAAATAATCAGTGGATAATTTTCTGAAACTTGAAACAATCTTTTTGCCAATCAAGTCCTCAGGGGTTTTGTACTCTCCATGCTCTGGAACTTGAATTTGGAGCTTACACGTGCCAAATTTCAAATCCAATAAATCCTCAATATTTTCAAATTGATCCGATTCCATAACCTGATCTAATCCAGTTATTCCCAAGTCACAATTACCCTCTCCGACAAAGACTGGGATATCTGCTGCTGGCAAGAAAATCAAGGCAATTGGCAAGTTGGTCGAGAGGGCAATATCCAACCTCGGCGACCTTCTGAATTGGATATCAGCACCACCAAGGAGCTGACAACATTTCTCATACAATCTTCCTTTCTTTGGAACTGCAAACAACAAACGATCGGTTAAATGGTTAACTAAATCCATATTAGATGTTATAACTGGGGAGAAAATAAATGGTGGTTATCTATAATCAAAGCAGGTGCAAAATTTGAGGAATTTTCAGAGACGAAAAAAAGAGAAAAAAAAAATGTGTTTGCAGTGACTCAGAGGGGACACGTGATATGTTAGACAATAAGATATCAGATAAGCATTGCAACATTGGATGTCTGATTGGCCAGGGAATGTGGACAACTAATGTTATTAAAATCTATTATTATGCTATTTTAGTATTTACCCTAGGGTCAACGTCGTCCTCAGATGTCATAGTTTCCTCCTCAGTTCCTATATTACTGCTCACATCTGTAACCTCATCATCGTCGTCATCAATTTTCATTCTTCTCTCAAACCCAACTTCTGCTGGCAGATTCAAAAGCTCCACATCATGATCCTCCGCCGCTTTCTTTAGCACTCTTGGATTCAAACCAAATCCACTGGAACTGCCATACCAATATTTGTTGAAGCTCCAATTGATCAATATTTTTAGCATATCCCACGGTTTGAACTCAGGCCATAATTTTTCAACAAAAACAACTGCACAGTCGGGAGAGACGCATTGCCATAATAAAAAGTCTGATAGCCTATATGTGCCTGAGGTTCTCACTAAAAGATCCAAAGGAGGCAGATTTCCCGTGTAAAGATGACGTGCCACAGTCTCTTCGTTAACAGTAATCCTATCCTTGGTGCTCTCACTTACAATGCTCTTCACTGCGTGCGTCATTTCGTCCCTAGATGTATAGGGGAAACAAACATTCAAAACCGCCCTAGTGTTGTTTTTGGTAATTTCTTCAGTCTCGCGTAAAATTTGCAACACATCTGGCGGTAATAATTTCAAATTTCCAATCAATTTTATTCGTACTCCGTATTCCTCGCAAATCAATCCGTTCTGGTTGATCTGGGTGAATTTCGACTTGGCCAAGTCCATCAACCACTTAATTTCGTAACTGGTTCGGTTAAAGTTTTCAATCGAGAATGCATAAACAGTTGCCACCTTCACTCCACACTCGTAAAGCAACTCCAAGATATTGGCCATGGTGTTGAATCCCATACTGTGGCCCTCCTTAATCTCGATTTTGTGATTTCGGGCATACCTTCTATTTCCGTCCATTATAATCCCAACATGCTGTGGCACTGGTCCTGTTTGTATCACTCTGCCGAACATCTTCTTACCCGAGGATAGAACCTGCTTATACCCGGGAAATGTTGAGATCCAATCAGACATGGTGGTAGTGGTGGTAAAATAGTTTAAAGTAAATATGTAGAATATGTGTAATGTAGTATCGTCAGTGCTCTGACATGCAAAATGATATATGTATATGCAAAGGTTCAGTGAAAGGTGTTGGAGGTGCGTTTCTTGCTATATCGTGGAGAAGACCATAAAATAAAGTGCTTTTTCCAAGGGAAACCAAAAGTTTTTTTATGCAAGTGTTTATAAAAAAGTACAAGTGTTGCTTATAAGCTGGTGATAGTTTTTTCTTTTATTTTTTCAATTCCCTTGAGATAAATAATAAGAATACGTAATTAATTTTTTTTCTTTTTTAGAAAAAAGTCTACAGCTACCAGTTGCTAAATGAAATTTTGTTTAACCTCGGCATATTGGGTAGTATCAGATGCTTTGAATCTGCAACTTTTACTAACTCTTGTAAGTTGGATAGTGTTTAGGGAGGGTAGTTGCTTTAATATGATTGTCTTGTCAGCTTAAAAATATTCTTATCCAAAAGCAAGGCTTTGTTCTAATTTAGCGGAAATTTTAGCGGAAATTTTTGAGGAAAAGCCAACTTTGTTCTAAACTATGCTACAACTCCTCTAAATATACCAATACTGAAAGATATGTCCAATTACCTGGTGCGGTGGTCCTTATCCACCTTAACTTGTATTTCATTGCTACGCTTTGTCTCTCCTGTAAAAGCAAAACAAAAGTACATGGCTTGACAAAGATTTTGTGTAACTCATCTCTTCTCTTTTCCACAATTGAATTAGTAAGACACTTCAGCGATTAGAATTCTTCATACCAACAATAATAAAATCAATATGTCAGCACAGGAAAACTACAACATCTCATCAGGGGATAAGCACGTGGATGAAGAACAGTCTAACCAAGACGAATTCATTGACGTGAATGAAGTTGGTGAAGAGGTTTACCATGATGAAGCACAGGCACCACCACCAGAGGACGAGGATGCCGACGATATGGACGAAGACGAGGATCACGAGCATGAAACTTTGGAAATTGACATGTCAAACAACTCATGGTCTTATTTTGATAAGCATGAGGATAGTGTTTTCACCATATTTGCTCATCCTAAATTGCCCATGGTTTTAACTGGTGGTGGAGATAATGCAGCATATCTTTGGACTACTCATTCGCAACCCCCAAAGTTTGTAGGAGAGATTGCGGGCCATGGAGAAAGTGTTATATCGGGTGGCTTCACAAAGGACGGAAAGTATCTAATAACTGCAGATATGAATGGTCTTGTGCAAGTGTTCAAAGCAACCAAAGGAGGTGAAAAGTGGAACAAATTCGGTGAATTGAACGAAGTGGGAGAAGTTTTGTTTGTCACTGTCCATCCTGAGTTAAACTACTTTGCTTTCGGAGCAAACGATGGTTCCATATGGGTTTATCAAATCGATGAAGAGAGTAAGCAATTGGTTCAAGTAATGTCAGGGTTTTCCCATACGTTGGAGTGTAATGGTGCTGTTTTCATTCCAGGAAAAGATGAGAATGATTTGACTTTGGTTTCCATCTCTGAGGATGGAACTGTAGTGAATTGGAATTGCTTCACTGGTGCTGTCAACTATAAGTTACAGCCACACGATGATTTCAAGGGGGTAGAAAGCCCTTGGGTTACCATTAAGGACCATGGTCATGTGATTGCAGTTGGTGGAAGAGATGGGCAGTTATCGATTATAAATAACGATACAGGAAAAATATTGACCTCGGTAAAGACATTGGACAATGTGGAGGATGTTGCCGAGTTGTCTATCGAAGCATTGTGTTGGTGCAGAAACAAAAACATCAACTTGCTTGCCGTTGGCCTCGTTTCGGGTGATGTATTGTTATTTGATACGCAACAATGGAGATTGAGAAAGAATTTGAAGGTTGATGATGCAATCACCAAATTGGAGTTCATTGATGACACCCCCTTCTTAGTTGGATCTTCAATGAATGGCAAAATTTACAAGTGGGATGCCCGTACAGGTGAAGAATCATTTGTTGGTGTCGGTCATAACATGGGAATTTTGGATTTTGCAATCTTGGAAAATGGTAAAAAGTTGGCAACGGCTGGTGATGAGGGTGTTTCGTTATTATTTGTAACTGAATAGATTGAACCAGATTGTACTTAGACGGTATGTGTAAATGTCATTTCCCTAATTTCATAGGCTACTGTTTAAACGTCGTAGCACATGGGTATTGCCTGTGATGTTAAAGAACCTCTTTAGTGGTGTATGCCGCTCCTGCCTTTTTTTGTGCAACAAAACGCGTCTTCTACCTTTCTTTATTTTGATATGTCAATTTTTTTTATTTGCATATCAGCACATTCACCCTTTGAACCCCAAATAGCTATACATCATGACACCTGCCCCAGTAACAGCAGGTAATAACCCCCTGCTTCCCAGCAGCTCCGATAATGATACTAAAATTAAACAATCAGCCATGCCTAGTGAAGTGGATATGCAATTCTACTATCAGCGCTTGTTACCATTCAAATACATATTCAACTGGACCAGTCATTCTCCAAAACCGACTAAGGATTTCACAATGAGGGAGTTTGCGTATGAGTATAGAAGCACTGCATACAAGCGGTACAACTCGTACAGTAATGTAGACGAATTCAAAAAGGCAGTAGTTAGTGCCAATCCAACGCGTTTTGAAATTGGAGCTGTCTATAAAGTTGCTCCAAAAGAGAGATATAACCTACCCAAGCAGGCTTTGAAACCAGTTAGTAAGGAATTGGTGTTTGATATTGATTTGACAGATTATGACGACATTAGAACTTGCTGTCAGGGAACGGACATTTGTTGTAAATGTTGGAAGTTTATCCAAGTTGGATCAACAATAATTGAGGATTGTTTGAGACAGGACTTTGGTTTCCAACATATGGTGTGGGTGTTTTCTGGACGTAGAGGTGCCCATTGTTGGGTCAGTGATAAGAGAGCGAGGGAGTTGGATGAAAACAGCAGAAGGTCCATTGTGGAATATCTTGATGTTTTAGGTGGAAAACATGCAAAGGGCTCCAAAGGCTTTCATGTGAGAAAACCATTCCACCCTCACGTTGAGAGAAGTTTTGAGATCTTGAAGAAAAGATTTATTGAAATAATTTTGGAGGATCAAGACCCATGGTATACAGATCCAAACACTGAACCGGATTCCAAAAACTGGAAGCAAGTAGAGGAGCTTTTAAGCTTTATGCCAAATAAGGAGTTACAAGTAGAGTTGAAGAAAAAGTGGCAGGGGGAGCGCAAAGTGTCGACATCTAAGGATAAATGGGAGGACTTGAATACCGTTGCTTCCAAAGTGCTCAAGTCAAATGCTCAAGTTGCCTTGTTACTGGATGCAAAGAAAGAACTAATCATTTATTATCTCTACCCAAGGTTGGATATCGAAGTGTCAAGACAAATCATCCATTTGTTGAAATCCCCATTCTGTGTGCATCCAGGTACAGGCAATGTTTGTGTCCCCTTCGATCCAAAAAAGAATATATCGGGCATTGCTCTGGATGATGCATATGGCTTCAATCCTACAACGGCTCCAAATTTGAAGCAATTGCTCACTGAGATTGACGAGTATGAACAAAATGGAGACAATAATATTGATGATGTGAATGTGCCGGCATGGGAAAAAACCAGTCTCAAACCTTATGTTGATTTGTTTAAAAGGCACGTGGGTGAATTGCTCAAGACAGAGATGAGAGATAGCAAGAGAGGCTTGGACTCGGATCCTTATGAATTCTAAACCTTTTTTATTTCTAATAAATATCTAACTTTAACTAATTGTACATCCCAATCTCCTCTCCTCGATAATCTTTGCGTCCTCTAAAGAGCCACTATTGTTCCTTATAATAATGGTCTCAGTGCTGGTCTTATCGTCTGTTGTCAGAGTTGCATTTTGCTTTAATGTTGGATCATTGCAATGGTACCATTCGATATATTGCAAATCCTCATTGTATTTGATGTACCCTGAAGACAAAAATACATCACCATAGTCCAAGAATGGGAAATGCCACTTCGGCACAAAGATTATGGTGGGGGTATTTTCAACTCTTGGATCTGTTTTGTCAACAACAAGCTGAAGTGCAAACTTTACTAGTTTGATATCAAACTCAGTGGCAACCACCCTACCCAAAGATGCCATCAAATACGGCCTAACAACTGCACCAACAGCCCTAACTCCATCAGGCGAAGGATAGCATTTTCCATACTGGCGACGATATACATTTGAGCTGGTGGATGAAATAACAGATGACTGAGACGTTGAATCAGATTCTGCATCAGTGTAAGCATCACTGGATGACGCCGATGTTGCCGAAGCAGTGCTATCAACTGAGCCAGAGCGGCCCATTTTAGCTGCTCTCTTTAATTTTCTATTCGCTTTCCTTAATGCTCTAGCTGTTTTGATTCGGCTTTGTTCACTTTCAGTCTCGTTTCTAATTTCTGGTGTTTCGCACTCGTCTTCAAATGTCAAGTTCCGGTCATCAGCCGACCAAAAGGAGAAATCTTCATTGTTCCAGTTGTCTCCGTACTTGTGGTTATTGCCACTGGAATAACACCAATATGTATGTGACATGTTAGCAGCTTCTAAGGCATTGCATAATGCATCCATAGCAGCAGTTTGCGAAATATACTTTCCATTTCTATATGAACGCTTGTCATCCATATCGAATGGCATCCCTGTCTCTGACATGAGAATAGGAATTTCCCCCAAATACTCATTACACTCTCGCCTTATTTCACAAAATTGCTTTTGAATACAATTGCGAATTGCTCTTCCTCCGAAAACAATACCAAGCACGGGATTCAAATAGGCACCTCTCATAATGCCTAGCGTGTCAACGTTGAACTTAAAGTTCCAACTCTTTTGCATCAACGTCAAACCGTCATAATAATGCGGACAATAGATGATCTTGTCATCGATGATGTTTCTCTTGTCATTTTTCAAATGCGGGGGTTCTTCCAATACTGGTGTCAGAAGCATGACAAATGCGTCTGGAGTGTATTTGCGAATTAGCTCTTTAAATCGAACAATATGGTCAGAATAATGAACATTGACAAATGTGTGAGTGTCGACCTTGGTTACATGCAGATCGTAATTATGTTGTGGATATGGTTTACTAAAAAATTCAGGCTCTAATATCTTACACTTTGAGCTAATATCAAGCCTCTGCTGTTGTGTCATTGCAGTCATGTCTTTCGTTACTTGGGGCCAGCTCCAAACTCCCTCGGCGGCAAAAATGCAAGTTCCCAATTCCCACTTCTCGCCTCTCTTGAAGCCGTAATGCTCATCAATAGCCTTACCAGCTTCTGGTGATAGCCACGCCTTGTCACCTTTTGGATCGACGATCTTTGTTCCATATTTCCGTGGACCAGTGACAGTTATTCTATACTCGTCAACCTCGCAGGCGAATCCCATACCGAGTCTCATTGATTGAAATGCTGTTGGAGTAGTTCCCACACGTAATTGCTGAAAATCAGGCAACTGACCAATATCGGGGTACCCTATTAAGCCACAATTGGGCTCATTCATAGACTCAAATCCTATTATAGTTCCATTTTTGAGCAACTCAGGTACACCAGCGCACACTTTTTTCCATATGAATTCGACTGCTCCCAAGAAACGGTTTTGAAGATAATCTTGTATGTTTTCGCCATTCATGATCAAGTTGGGGAAGTAGTATTTGCCAGCAAAGAACATGGTAAACATTACTAACGGGGCCAAACGCTTGTAGTTTGATGTCCACAACATTTTGTGGTATGTGTCAGTGGTGTCACGAAACCTAGGCTCGTTGTGAAGTATTGCCGAGTCAGCAAGGGTAAACTTTTTGGGATCTAGCCCAGCGGCATAGAATGTCCACATAGGCGCCCCACTGCCTCCTGAATACCTAGACCAAACATCTTGGTGAAACTCAAGAAACACGTATAACCCACCAATTTCACCGATGATTTTCAACATCTCCAAAGTGTATTCGGCAAATTTCTCGTCATACTTGCCCGGTCCTTCGTGCTCGACCGCCTCCCAGGTTAATAAGTACCGAATGGTGTTGTAGCCCCAACTCTTGATTCTATAGAAATGCATTCTTGCTTCTTCCAATGGGAAAGGTCTACCCACAAATGACACTGTATCTCCGTCAAAAAATATGTCACTGGGATTGGTTGGGTCACCTTTAAATGACGGCATGTATGGGTCAACGGGTAATTTCATCAGAGCGTCCACATTGATGCCTTTTAAAACCACTTTGCGACCAGTTGACTTGTCGTAAAAGTTGCCTTTCTTGTCTGTCTCCAACGGAACACACTCAAGTATCGATGTCCCACTGTTTTCAGTGTCAGGAATTGGCTCTGATATGGAATAAGTCCTTCGAAGAGGCTTTACACCAACGGGTGAGATAGTTGATGCTGTCAGGTGTAATCTAAACTTTTCGCTAACTGCATCTTGTGCATATCTTGCTGACCTTAAGGCCTCCAGTATTAACATTGTCGCGGGGTACTATCTGAGCAGCATGAAGCTGTATTTTCTTAATCGGAGGTGATTATGGGAGGTGAAGAACTCTAGTGTAAGTAGTACTAGCGTAGTAAAACAGCTTATGAAAAAAAATAAGAAAAACAAAAGGTTGGTTTATTTTGAGATCTCCACTTTTTCCTAACCCAAAAAAAAAAAAGAGAAAACCAACCAACCAGCAAGCGCAAAAGTTGCCTTGACGTGGGGATACAAAGAAATAATAGATAAGTTGATGACCTGTCTTAATACAAAGCTACAGACACATGGAAGATGACAAAAGTGGACACTTTTGTAGTTTACTTTGCCGCGAAAATGATACCAAGAAAATTAGAAAAGCCTTTGACAAATTTCCCGACCATAAAAATATCCGCGCCGGTAATAAGCCGGTGATAAAAGAAAAAATTAAAAATTAAAAATTAAATTAGAGTTTACAATTCTTACAAAGTTTCAACGACTACATCAGTCTATTTCCTCTGGCCTGGCCACCAGCCCATTGATCTCTTTTGGTTGCGATTTCCAAACGATGCTAGCGGTACAATCTTTTGTTTCTTCCTCGTCTGGCTATCAGGGTCAGCAAGTTTGAAATACTTTGGAGCGTATTCACAAAGCCACTGAGGGTCTATTACAGAAACGTGATGCATGTACTCGCGCGTTGTCAAGACTATCGCATGATACAACAAGTATTCCGGATTCTTTCCAAACTGACTTGACGACGGATGTAGATAGACCGTTTCATTCTTGGATAAAGTTTTGTATCCTTCTCCTGAATCACGCTTAGCTGTGTTTTTAAAATACCCACAGCACAACGTCTTTCTGACGGCATCGAGGTCAGATCCACAAGAATTCACCTGGTACCTATGTTTGAGCATAATTGCCAGTAATTGTCTCCGTACTTCCTTTGCATGTCGCATACTCCTCTCCTGGATGAAATTATCTCGGCACCAGTCCTTATTGTAGTTACTTGCGCGCCAACGGTTATACACATTAAGCAAAGTTAGGTGGTCCCCTTTTGTAGAATAGAATCTTGCTTTACGCTGATCAGCTGCATTCTGCTTATCTTTTGGACGATAAAAAATACTTTGCACAGAGAGCATGGCAACAATGGTTAAAATTTCTTCTGTGCAATTTAAATCAACCGACTTGATGAGTGTTTTGGCTAGTGCAGGCTCCATGGGGAAATCAGCCATTTTTCTTCCCAACGGAGTAATCTCTCCATCATCGTCCAAAGCTTCCAATGTATAAAGGTCCTCTAAAGACGTTAGCAATGAGTTTCTTGAAGGCGGGTCCATGAATTCGAAATGGATCACATCTTTGATACCAATTGCTTTCAACATTAAAATTGTATGCGACAAATTCTGTCGCTGTATTTCGGGAATCGTATTTGGAAGCATTTCCGTGGTATATGACTGCTCGGTGTACAAACGGTAGCATTTTCCTGGGCCGGTTCTACCGGCTCTTCCACTTCGTTGATTGGCTTGTGCTTTGCTAATGGGTGATATTTTCAATGTATCCATACCCAGCTTTGGATCATAAGCATTCAACTTTACGTATCCAGGGTCAATAACGTAGTATATACCGTCGATCGTTATCGATGTCTCGGCAATGTTCGTTGCCAAAATCACTTTGCGCGATCCAGGCGGTGTCGGTTCAAAGATTTTGGTCTGCATTTCTGCTGGCAATGCCGCATATACAGGTAGAACAATGAGCTCAGGCGCAGAATCGCCCAAAACCTTTACACGTTCAGCCAACACTTCACAACTGGTATCTATTTCTTCCTGTCCTGTCAAAAATACTAATATGTCGCCACTAGGCTCTGCAATGTGTATTTGCATAACAGTGTCCAAAGCGGCTGAGAGGTAATCCATCTCTGGCTCCTTCGTATATAATACCTCCACTGGGTATGTCCTACCAGGAATATTTAGTATCGGACAATTGTTGAAGAATTTGGAAAACTTGTCCGAGTCTAATGTAGCGGAAGTGACAATTATCTTCAAATTGGGATTCGACAGTGCTGCTTTCTTTAATAAAGCAAATAGCACATCGGTGGAGATTGTTCGTTCGTGGGCCTCGTCCAACATTATCACTGCGTATTTACTCATCTCAGGGTCAGTAAGAGCCTCTCTTTCCAACATACCATCAGTCATGTACTTGATCTTTGTCTTGGGTGTGGTCTTGTCATCAAACCGAACGTTGTACCCCACTTCGTCACCGAGGTCGCACCCGACTTCCTCGGACACCCTCTTGGCTACAGATGTGGCTGCCACACGTCGAGGTTGAGTACAGCCAATAATTTTGTCCTCGTCGTTGACTACATTTAGTCCCTCTTCGTAGATGTACTGCACAATTTGCGTGGTTTTCCCCGAACCAGTCTCTCCAACAATGACAATAAATTGATTATCTTTAATCAGTTTGATGAGGTCAGTCCTCATGTCGTATACGGGAAGTGATTTCTTTTGCTCTTGAATGGTGAGCTTGGTAGGCTTTTGAAAGGAAGGGTGCTTGTGCGATGACTTCCACTCTGATATGACGTTTTCTGTTTTTGCCTTCTGAGAGAGAGGATCATTCTGTTGGTGAGCTGCTTTATTCTTTTCCTTTTCTTTTTGAACCTTTTCCTCTCTAAACTTTCTAGCGAAATCAGACCCATTTTCAGCTGCTTTGCTCATTGCACCATCCATGCTTAAAATTGTGTTGATAGTGGGTGCAGTCTCTGTAAACCCTTGGTTTTTCAAAAAAGTAGGCCGGGAATCATTTAGTTCAATCTCGGTTTCAATTTCCGGCTCGTGATGTATTCTATCGGATGTCGAATTTAGTACGTCTACTCTCCGCGGTTCCTTGCGATAGTCCTCTCTGGATAAACCGCCCACTTCCCTTGTTTCATCAACGCCTGTTTCCTGGTTAATTCCCCTCATCGATAGTGAGGATTTCCTCTGATTACGGTCCTCATCAATCACCTTTACATACACCTTTTGATCAGGGTGTAGGATATCCATCAGTGTAGTTCTTGATCCATTATACGATACCTGCGAAATATGACAAAGCCCCGATGTGTTGTTGAATCTAATGAAAGCTCCGTAAGGACGCACTGAGATGATTCTACCTTCATACACTCTTCCGCTATGCGTGTTGAGAGTACGTCCATTTGAGCCGTGTTCATCCTCTCTTCTCAATGCCCCCGGTTTAAACGATTTGTAAATATCTCGTAAAAAAGCTGTATCAAAATCGTCACCTCCATTGTGTTTCACTGTCTCGTGGAAAGCTTCAAATGATGAAGGAGACTTCCTATGTAGCTCGGCAAGAAAATCCAAAGTCAACTTAATGCTCTCCCCATCTTGCAACTTTAAATGTTTGTTTATTATATCTCGCTGTAGCTTGTCTGTCTGATCATCTCGATTTGTCATTGGTGACTCCTCGTTCTACACTCTGTCGTTGCTTTAGAAAATTATGTGCAGTTCATTTTTGTCAAGCTGAGGCTGCAAAAGTTCACAACAACACACGACCCTCGCGCAAAACGGTTTACACAATTTTTCCACGCCAAAAGTTGGCCTGTTCTTGCCACCCAAGATACATCAACCCTATCCTTCAAATCTGTCCATAATGTCAAGAGAAGATCCAATCAAAGCTGAAAAAGACTTTTCTGCCACCCTAGATGAGCAATTCCCACTCATCGAGAAAATACCCGACTACAAACAACAGTTGGACAAGTATTTAGTCTTGGAAAAGCAAACTCGTCAATCATCGGATTTGGCGTCGTCCAAGAGAGTTTTGAGCAAGATTGTGTCTACTTTGGTTGACAACAACGACTGGGAGTACTTGAACGATTTGATTGTTATTTTATCTAAAAAGCATGGACAATTAAAGTCATCAATCCAAGCATTTATTCAAGATGTGATTGCCAGTTTGTCGAAATTGGACGAATCAAATGAAAACCAGTTGGAAACAAAGATGAAATTGATTGAGACGATAAGAACCGTTACAGATAAAAAGATTTTCGTTGAAGTTGAGAGGGCCATTGTTTCGAAACAATTGGCTGAAATATACTTGAACAAGAAGCACGATTTAGACAAGGCGGTGGAAATCTTGTGTGATTTGCAAGTTGAAACGTACTCGTTAATGCCATTTAGCGACAAGATTGAATACATTTTGGAACAAATCAAATTAACTTTACAGAAAGGGGACTACAATCAAGCCAAAATATTGAGCAGAAAGATTTTGCTAAAGACGTTGAAGAACTTTGACAAGGCCGACGAATTTAAAACGACGTATTTGAAGTACTTGATTGATATAAACACGTTTGACTACGACTACATTTCCATTGTCAAGAACTTGTTGTTGTTGGTTGAAATTCCATTAGTTCAGGAGTCCGACAGCTACAAGGATTACCTTGTTCAAACCATCTACTACGTAATCCTTTCTACATCTGACCCTCACCAGATTGACTTGATCAACAGAATACAAAAGAACCCTATTTTCAAAAAGAATGTTGACGCAAAGATTTTCAAATTGTTGGAAATATTCTCCACCGATGAGTTGATTCATTGGACAAATATTGAATCCATTTACAAAGACGAATTTGAAAAGTCATCCATTTTTAAAGACACCAAGAATTACCAAAATTTACAAAAGAGAATCATTGAGCATAATTTGCGTGTAATCAACAAATTCTATCAATTCATTCAGTTGGATAGATTAGCCTATCTTTTGCAATTGTCGGTTGACGAATCGGAAAAATATGTTAGTGAGCTTGTAAATGATGGAATGATTGTGGCTAAGATTAACCGGCCAAAGGGGGTGGTCAAATTTGACAAGACAAAAAGAGTTGAGGGCAGTGACCCACGTACTAGTGACAACCATATAAATGATTTGCTCAATGACTGGTGTTTCGACGTGGATAAGTTGTTGGAGGAAGTTGATTCAATTGGTCATTTGATCAACAAGGAGGAAATGATGCATGGTATTAAGCAAAAGGTATAGAATATAAGAAATGAGGTTCTCTTTATATTGTTATTCTTTTTAATTAACCATGCATAGAAGCTTTATTCTCATCTGATGAAGACGTCATATAATCATACATCATTTATCTCAGAATACGATGAGCACTTTACAATATATCCTTCCTTTACAAAGTTTATACTATTCTTTTACATTTGGCGTATTACTACTTTATCCGAAATACAGTAGATTATAGTAAGCGTATTCAAAGCATTCCTATTACATTATAACAACAGAAAGTTCAGTCATAGGATCGTAATTATAACAGAACTCAGGAACACTGCTAATATTTGGTAATGTTTTTAATCAAAGAAAAGTATGTCTAATCGAATTCAAAGCTTGCAAATCAATTGATTTACCGATCCCACACACCTGGCCCTATAAAAACGACTAAGACAACGTTGCAAGAACAATAGTGATAAGTATTTTATCCCCCACACCTTCAAAACCTCGTTGTCTCATTGCAAATATTTATATCAATCAAAATAGAGTGTTGCTAAAGCAACAAAGGACATGGCATTTCTTTGCCTCTTTGTTTCTTTTGATCGATACACTTTCAAATCACCCTTGAAACTCTGCCAGTTGTATTAAATAATAATCATGAATCCATGATAGATACCTCTGAATTAAAGCCTTATCAAATGTTATTTGGAGGAGGAGGGAAGTGGGGAGGGAACAATATATGCTCAAAACACCCTTCTTCATAATGGAAATTCTAAATATAACGAATTAAGCTATAGAAAGATAATAGAAAGGAGGTAAAGAAAAAAGAAAAAACTTGGTGAGAATTTGCAACTCTATTTACAATTTTTTATCATCCCCAGAGTTTGACTCCCCCTCCGTTTATTCACCCAAAGAAGATAAATATGGCAAAATAAAGTGTTCCTTTGTACTTAAGACACTACAGAAATATCAATTAAGTAACTTTAATAACCAACTAGAATAATATACTATCCCTTTTGAGGTATAGTATCTTCAATACACTGTATGCCACACGGGCCTAGTTTGTTGAAGGTAAACACTCTTGATAGCTGGGTTTCATAGAACAACGGATAGATAAAAGAAATGAAAACTACAACTCCATAATTGTCTGAACATCACCAAGACTGAACTTTGCACCCAAATAAAATAACCAAAACAACACCTTCAAATGTAATCAGATGATGTTTTGGCAAGATAAGAGTAAACTAGACTATAATAATATTTAGACAAATAACTTTTAATATAATTCATCTTTAAAGCATTAAACCCTAAAACAAACCAGATCCAAACTGGAAACCAAAATCATGATGAAAAACAAAATAAAACCTTGTAAAATACAAATAAAGAATAATGATATTCTAATTTTCTTGCATATTAGTAAAACCTCATATTCAATCATTTACCAATACGCGCATACCTAGAACCAATGCGCTATTCCAAACGCAAATCAAATCAATCACTTATCTGTTCTAATGATGATTGTTTCCTCTGAAATAGTTGTAATCATATTTTAAATTGCATGGGGAGAAAGTCGGAAAACTTGTTTCTTTTGTGGAGTGATAAATTCACAAGATATAATTAGTTCAAGTTGATAAACATAAAGTTTCTGAAGTGGAAAGAAGAACTGTTGAATGTTTAATAATATTTATACTATTTATACTGTGAAGCATAAACTGACAAGCACAACTTAATCATTAGTTTGTATATGTATATGTATAGATATATATTTAGTAACATAATTTTCTTATGCCTCGTGTTTTGTGTAACAATGTCTTCCCCTCAATTGTCTTGTATTTTGATTTCTTTTGTTATGATGGATTCTTTCGATTCTTTCATTGTCAAGATAAGCCTGGTAACAATTTTTGTAAAAAAAGAAAGCATGACCAAATATACATCTTTTATACTGTGGGTGATATAGCCATAACTAAAATGATGTTTAAATAGAACGCCTCCATATCTTTGGAGGTAGTTTGTTTCACCTCGACTATATGCTAGATGCGCTACAAATCCTTACACTTTACACATTTGTATTAAACTAGCTTGACAGCNATTCCGATGTTATATCCGTCACTTCCTACCACCGGATTTACGCCTTTTGTTAATTCCGTGTTTAGATCTGCTCCTAAGACCGAAGCTAAAACAGAAATCATATTGTCCCAAATTCAGAGAAAAAATTAAACGACATTAGAATTGACACTGAAATCGACACTGAAATTGGCTCTGAATCTGTTACTAACTCCTTCAACTACCTCTCCAAATCCACACAACCATTTAAACTCCTGTTCTTGTTACTACTGCTGTCCTCTGTCTATACTATTACTCCTTCCAAATATGTCTCTCTACTGTTCTGTTTATCTTTCTATCTCTGTAATTTTCTATACTTTGTCTAAATATTTTTGCAAATAATTTATAAATCTTAATAAGCATTAAATACATTATCTCAGCATTAACCAATATCATCGTTTAATGCTGCCACTACTATCTGCGATAGCTTCCCATACCCCCTCCACAGATCAATGCTTCCTCATCTCTGTGAAATATTGTCTTATTTTGTCTCTTGAAAAAAGCGCAAAATTCTATATTTCCTAATTTGTCTTGAGAGTGGAAAAAAGCGACTTCTTATTTCGTCGTCATATACTTTTTCTCTTTACGAACAAACGCGTAAACAGACGCAAAAACCAACAACAAATGAGAACCTTCAATGAAAACATAACAGATACCAAACCACACTCAAGTACACTGCCCTCATAAAGCAAAAACCTAGTAAGCAGTTTATAGTAACATTATTTTCTTAAGTAAACACAACTTCGCCCAGCTCCTCTTTACTTCCAAAATTTGAGCCAGAAATGTAAAATTTGTATGGGTGCGATATCTGGAGCAAATTAATTGTGTACACAAGAAGTGGTTGTTTTGTGGTGCGATAACTGGGGGCGGAAACTGAAAATAAGGTGCGATACCTAGGTCAAATTAATTGTGTATACAAGAGCAGGACACTTTGATTCAAAGGTAACGGTAAATAGTGATAAACTGAATAAATATACAGAAGCTATACAGGTCTCTTTTCCACCCACAGCATTCATGTTCACAACAAGGATAATAAAATCAACGAAAATAACGAGCCACAACTAACAGTAACGGCAAGGTTGCTAGAAGAGCCCTTTGTTCTTGTGGAAGGTTTTGTCGAATTGTTGGTCCTCTGGGAATCAGATATAGACTTCAATATTGACGACACTTGTGGAGAAAGATCGTCACTATATTGCCTATGTCCCGATAAACCAGCCAATCACTTATACGGTACCACCACTCTGTCTCTGTAAAAGCTCGTGATTGTTCTGCGTCTATTGACGAAGAAAAATATTCAATATATGAAGACTCAGTAATCCTCAGAGCCTCAGACCACCATGAACTTTGAAGTTCCTCTGGCATCTCATTATCATCAAAACCACATTGTTTATAACATTCGCTGTTTATGACGTAATAATCTTGATCTAAATTGCAAAGACATTGTGTCACATTGGAATAAAGGTGTTCTTCATAATCAGAATCGTCATCATAAAGATAATAATTATCATCTTCAAAAGGTTTCCGGCATTTGAAATACGAAATTTTAGACTGGATTCGACAAGCTTCAACATTTAAGACTTCACAATATTCTTCTCTTTTAAACAATTCAAATTTCCCCACTACAAATGGCACAAATAGCAATACAATTCCAAATTACATTATATGTTGAAAGTGGTTGCTGGATTCGTTGGTTGGTTTGGTTGCAAATTAAAAAAAATGAGAGGCTTTAACGAAATTTTTTTTGTTTATTGTAGGGATAGGTAAAAGAATTTCAACGGATTGCACAATTCTATCCGAAGTAAAAAAATGTATACACCAAAAAGACAAATAATCTATACGATATGGAACTTAGCTAACAGCTACAACTTTATGTAATTTGATGGAAACAAACCAGTCACACCGTTGTACTTTCCCATCCACCAACCAGGATCATCTTTGTTGATGATCTCAATAGTAGCACCGGCTGGAAAGGAAAGGTCTCCCGGTTGTCCTGTATAATCATAAAGTGCAATACAAACTTGAGGGGCAGTGGCAGGCGGAGTATTGACATAAGCTGGAGGTGGTGGTGGAGATGTTGTAGCTTGATAAGCTTGTGGTGGTGATTGATAAGCTTGTGGTGGTGATTGATAAGCTTGTGGTGACNTGGAGGTGGTGGTGGAGATGTTGTAGCTTGATAAGCTTGTGGTGGTGATTGATAAGCTTGTGGTGACTGATAGGTTTGCTGTGGTGATTGATAGGTTTGCTGTGGTGACTGATAACCCATTTGTGGTGACTGGTACCCTGTTTGCGGTGACTGGTAAGCTTGCTGTGGTTGATACCCACCACTTGGGTCCTTGTAATCGGGGTTATAATTCGTCTGACCTTGATATGCTGGGAGCTGTTGGGTTGGGGACGTAGTCTGTGTTCTCGCAGCTTGAAGCCTTCCAACTTTGGACTTAGCATAACCAACCTTGAAATGTGTAACACCAATCGCATCCGTCCTCTCCTCAATATCGCCTTTCTTCAAATTGTAAGCTTCCACAATGTCAGAATCCAAGTCAAAGTACGGGATTTTCATTTCCTGGGTTTTGTTGTAAAGGGTGTAGAAGATGTTAAGCTGCATGTAGTAGAAAGAGGTGAAAAGAGGCTTGATGAAGTCACTCTGCATTTGGAATAACACTGGCAACTCATTCTTCAACAATTCATTGTAGTAGTCGTATTCTTGTTGCGCAACATCCACTTCCGCCTCTGCATTGTACATCTTTTCTTCGTCTTTGGGTGTTCTTTCCTTCTTCTGCTCGTACTTGGTATAGGTTCTCTTGTGCCTATCCAAATCTGTTCTTTTATGAACTCGCTTAGTGGCTATTTTTCTGATTCCATCAATCACCTTCAACAACTCCTGTGCCGGCTCCACAACTCTTCGTTCTATCAACTCCAAGTCGGGTTTCAACTCCTCCTTCAATGCGCTGACCAAATCCCGGTATTGCTCCGCCGCTTGGATACCATCCGGGTTGTCTTCAGGGACTGTGGCATTGGGGTCTGACAACTTTCCACTGATGGGCTTGTAAATCTCTTCAATGGCTTTTGAAAAATCAATTTGATCGTCCAACATGCCGCTAATCGCCTTGAAGTACTTCTTTGACTCGTCATTCAACTTCTTTGTTTCGATCTCGATTTCCTTGAATCTCCGCTCGGCATCTTCGTACACGGGATCATTGGTGACTTCCCCCATGTTTAACTTTTCACGGAAGTTCTGGGGTGCCCTTACAAGGGACTTTTTGAAACCCTTGAACGACATTTTTGGTGTAGGGTGCGTTGGCTTTCTTAGTCTCTTGTTGTTCTGCTTTCCTATTCTCTTGTTGCTTTGCGTCGGTGAGATATTTTCGGTCGATTTTCGGAGAGCGAGAGATGATAGCGCTTACTAGGCTTTCCAAATTAGAGCGAAGCAATTGCTGGAGGAAGACATTCGTGAAAGAGATTCACATCTGTGTATGAAATCCCTCAGTTTAGAGCTCCTTGTTGGAGAAATTCCGCATTAGTGGTAGGTCATATTTATGTCTGCCATTGTTTCTCTAACAATTCTTCTTGCGCCATAATCCAATTACGTAAACATTAGGTGTCCCCTCCGTAT